AAAGTAGTCAAGAGTCAATACCAGTGTTATACAACTTGAAGAAAGAGATTTTGGCACGAAGGTGATATGCCGTCTGGAGAGCATTGACGAGGTCATGGCTGAGAGTGAGGTGCCATCATTTATTCCTAAACCTATTTTAAAAACCCCTGAAGCGCATAAGAGTGTTGATAGGAATGGTGAACCAGACTGCCCTGATAATGAATGTTTGATGAATGGTACCGGTACTATTAAAAAATTGAATTTTGCTGATGAGTGTGTTGGTTGACCAGTCTACACCTATGCATGCAAGTGTGAATGGTAACGTTACTGATTGCAAGGCAGTTCCTTTTGGTATGAATAATAGTATGAGAGTGGATATCCAGCCTGATACTTTTAATGGTGATGATATGTCTTTGGATGATTATTTGTGTCATTTTTCATCCATTACTACCTGTAATGGATGGACTGATAAAATTGCTGATGTTCATTTTGCTGCATGTATGCGTGGGAAGGCTTTGTCCTTGTTGAATGAATTATCCCTTCCAGATAAACACAGTTTGAGTGTTGCAGTAAATCACTTGAAAAAGCGTTATTATCCAGAGGGTAAGGAGTCATACTTTGCTACTCTGTTTAATAACAGGAAGAAGTTGGCCACTGAGACGCCAACGGAATATGCTACTTCTCTTTGTGCATTGTCGACGAAGGCTTATCCTTCTTTGGATGTTATTGCTCGTGAGAATCTGATTAAGCAGCGTTTCATTTCAGGTTTTCCTGATTTCGAGATGTGTAAGACATTGACCATCAGGCAAACTCAGAGTTTGGATGAATTAATTACTGTGGCTGATGTTTGTCATTCTATTGATGCTACGCACAGTGCACCTGGTTGTAATCGTGCTAGTAAGCCCATGGTAGCTGTTGTGAATAATTCTGACTGTGATGATGGTGTGTGTGAATCTGACTTTAGTAAGCTGTGGAATGATATTAGGAGATGCTTGACTGTTTCCGTGTCATGTTCGACAAAGGTCATCAACCCCGATTTTCCCGTCAGAAGGGTGGGCGTAGGAATGAAGGTATTACTTGTTATGGCTGTGGTGTCAAGGGTCACATACGTAGGAATTGCCCTGAGAACCAGTGCCAGAGATGTCATGGCAGGGGTCATATAGCTTCTCAGTGTGATAGATATTATGTTCCACAAAATTCGCAGCCTTCCCAGCAAACGGCCAGTGGCCCGGTAGGAAATTTTTCACCAGAGAATAGATCAAATTCTGCCTGGGGTGGGAATGGCCAAACTCCTCGTGACGGTGGGAATATTCCCCAATTTCACCCTGCTCCCAAGAATAATGATATGCCTTTAAACAGAAATCAGTAGCACGGGGGTCCTCAGTTGCTACTGGAAAGATGACGAATGTATGCATGGACCATGATTTTGATAATTTGATTTGTTCTTTGAGATTACCCACTGGCTGGTATGCTATGGTTGATGTGAATGGCATTACTGTACGTTTTCTTATTGATTCTGGTAGTGCTGCTACGCTTATAGATTATGCAGTTTTTTGTTCTATTGGTGGGGAAGGAGTGTAATTTGTCTCCTTGTGATGTTTGTTTTCAAACTGCTAATGGTACCTCTCTGAAATCTCGTGGTATGATTGACTTGAAAATTTGTATTGATTCTCTGTGTGCTGTTCAGAGAGTGATTATTGCTGATCTTGGTGCTCCATATGGTTTGCTTGGTATGGATTATTTCCAAAAGAGCATGACTGTGTTTTGCATATGTCTGTAGGTCAAATGGAGGTTGATGGTAAAACTGTTTCCCTGACTAAGCCTGTTTCGTCTGTTCCTAGTTGTAGGGTTGTTGTAGATAAATGTATGACTGTTCCCAGAGAAAGTGAGATGGTGATTTATGGTCGTTTGAATTGCCCATGGAAACCCAATAGTGACGTCATAGCTGTGGCAGAGGCTGCGTGTGTGTTTAAGAGCGAGTATGGCCATCGTGGTTTATTTTTATTTCCCGGAGTGGTGGACGCCTCATGCTCTCTAGTGCCTCTCGTGGTGGTCAATGTTAGCAAGGAAGCGGTAGAAATACCTGCGGATTTGCTTATCGGTTTACTATGCCCAAAGAGAAAACCTGACTGTCTCTTCTCTGGAACAAGTGGTGCCTGGTGATGTCATGGACACCAGGGAACTACCTGAACATTTAAAGAAGCTCGTCGACGATCCAGAAGATTTAACGGTTGAACAACGTCAAAGTGTTCGTGATTTGCTCGTCGAATTTCAGGATGTTTTTGCTGGTCCTGATGGCAAACTGGAACGAACTTCTGTAGTCAAACATAAGATTAAAACGTCAACATCTGAACCAATCAAAGTTCCATCGCGACGTATGGGATGGGCGAAAAGAGAAATCGCAGAGAAACAAGTGCAGAGCATGCTTGATCAAGGTGTAATAGAACCGAGTGAAAGTCCCTATAATTCGCCTATTGTTCTCGTTCACAAGAAAGACGGAAGTTGTCGTTTTTGTATCGATTTTCGGAAAATTAATCTGGTAACCATCAAAGATGCCTACAGTTTGCCAAGAATTGATGATATTTTGGATGCATTGGGTAAAGCAAAGTGGTTTTCATCGTTGGACTTGGCGAGTGGGTACTGGCAAGTAGAACTTGACCCAGAAGATCGGGAAAAAACAGCATTCAGCTTGCCAGGAAATAATCATTTTCAATTCCGTGTTCTTGCCTTCGGTCTGGCCAATGCGCCATCTTGCTTCCAGCGTTTAATAGACAAAATTTTGGCTGGAATTCTATGGAAAATTTGTCTTGCATTCTTGGATGATATTTTGTCCTATGGAGAAAACTTTGATCTGGCCATGAGCAGCTTACGTGAAGTTTTTGTAAGAATTCGTGCTGCTGGACTTAAATTCAAGCCGGAGAAGTGTAAACTTTTTCGTCGTGAAGTGGAATATTTGGGACATGTAATATCTGAATATGGTGTAAGCTGTAGCGATGGAAAAATTGCTGCTGTTCGTATTTGGCCCAAGCCTGCTAATGTCAAAGAATTGCAGTCATTTCTTGGATTTTGTAATTATTACAGACAATTTGTTGAAGATTTCTCTACCATTGCACATCCTCTTGTTCATCTGACGAAGAAGAAAGTAGGATTTGCATGGACAAAGCTGTGTGATGTCGCTTTTCTTCGCTTGAAAGAACTTTTAGTTCGTGCTCCTGTTTTATCATTTCCACAGGAGGATGGAGACGAATTCATTTTAGATACTGATTGTTCTGGTTTTGGAGCTGGCGCAGTTTTAAGTCAAATTCAGAATGGCGAGGAAAAAGTCATTGCATATGCCAGCGTTACCTTTAACAAGGCACAGAAGAGATATTGTGCAACGTATCGAGAACTTTTTGCGTTGCAGTGGGAGGTCAAACATTTTCGTCACTTCCTGTGGGGTCGACATTTCAAACTGAGAACTGACCATGCCTCATTACGTTGGCTTCTGAATTTTAAAGATCCGGAAGGCATTGTAGCTCGTTGGATATCAGTTCTGGACACTTATGATTTTACAGTTGAACATCGTGCTGGTTCCAAACATGGCAATGCTGATGGTTTGAGTCGTATTCGTCGTCGATGTAAGCGTGAATCCTGCACTAGTTGTGGGAATGGTGATCAGCCCTGTGAATGGGAAACTGTCAAAGTTGCTGCTTTGCAGCCGAGTCATGGTAATTCTATGGAATGGCTCGCTTCGTATTCATCGACCGATATGCGTGAGATGCAGATGAAGGACGATAACATCTCTAAAGTACTGACAATGAAAGAAACGTTGGATCAACCACCTCTAGCTGCAGAACTCTTGTTTTTCTCCAGAGAAGTTCGAATCCTGTGCAGCCAGTGGAAATTATTGGGAGTCATCGATGGAGTGCTTCATCGAGAGTTTTTGCCATCCGCGCCTGTAGGGAAATCCATTTTTCAAATTGTGTTGCCTTTAGTTTTGCGTCGCGAAATGTACCGACAACTCCATGAGTTGCGTTCAGGTGGACATTTGGGTAAAGAACGAACTTATAAAAAATTGAGGGAACGATTTTATTGGCCTAGAATGCACAGTCAAGTATCTTCCTGGTGTCGTTATTGTAAAGCTTGCACTGCTACCAAAACCCCTCATGGGAAACGACGTGCAGAAATGTGTAAAATGATTTGCACTGAGCCACTTCTCAGAATTAGTCTCAATTTTGTGGGTCCTTTACCTAAAACTGAAAGGGGCAATGAACATCTTTTAGTGGTCACAGACTATTTTACTAAATGGGTTGAGGCTTATCCTTTGCCTAATCAAAAGGCCAGTACTACAGCCGATGTACTTGTAACGGAATTTTTTAGTAGATTTGGTACTCCACGAATTATTCATTGTGACCAAGGGGTTAATTTTGAATCTCATTTGTTTAAGCATATGTGTTCCTTATTTGAAATTGATAAGACCCGTACGACTCCTTATCATCCTAGGTCGGATGGTCTATGTGAAAGAATGAATAAGACCTTGCAGCAAATGCTTATAGCATTTGTGGATTCTAGTCGCACAGACTGGGATGAACACATTCCTTATCTTTTAATGGCTTATAGATCTACTGTATTCCTACTGTGTTAATACCTTTCTTAGGGGATGTTTTTATTTTTTTTGAGGGTAAATTTTCTCTAATGAAAAGGGGGGTATTGATGCGGGACTGGATTGTCCTATTTTTTCTTGTTTTATATTTTATTTATATTTCTTGTCTAGTATTGCATATGCATTGGTGTGGGGAGTCTGATTCATAATTCGGCCTATAGTTAGATCCTGTTACTCGACTCCAACCACCACGGCATATGTGAACTGGCTGCAGTTCGCAGCGTTCGCTCTTCTTTGCTTTTGCTGTCGCTGAGTAAGGACCGTATTTTGTCGCTCTTCCATTCTATCTGCTTTAATCGTGGATTTTACACTATTTTAATAAAGTCTTTCCTTTGCATCGTGAACTTCGACCTATTTGTGTGTCTTTGCAGCACACGGGATCTTCTGAACTAATTATTACTAGACTATATTAATTAGTGGCGAGCACCTACCGGTATTCCGGTTAAGTCCCACCACTGACTCATATATGTCGATGTAGTCTGAATGGCGACACACGCGTGCGGGACATAAAAGTAGAAAGACGGCTGATTTAGCTAACTGTTTCATTTCGCACAACACCTAGATGAGGTGAAATGTCTCGGCGTTTTAAACACGCATTGCGTCAAGCGTGAAGTTTGAGTGGACCCCTGATGTAATTGCGTCAATATAAATTCGTAAATCTTTTATTTAAATTCCCATTGTTTTGTTTGAATGTAAAGTATATACTAACAACTATAAATTTCACGAAGCAAAATGATAATGGATAAATACATTTATCTGCTTCTCGATACCCGTGTACAATATGAAAAATGCCAGTGAAAGCTCATAAAAATGATACAGTGAAAAATATCGATGAAGTGTAGACAAAACAAAAACAACGTGACAGATTTGCATCACGACTAAATATTCAGTGTTATTATTCATGCTTCTATTTAATATGTGTTTTTGAAATGCCTTGCCATTTCAGCGATAGTTCGCATTGAGACATTCACAGGGTCGGGATGATGAAGTCAACTTCTTCCTTGTCTTTGGTTATTCTGTTCTTATCGTTCGCATGGAGTCGAGAAATATATTCAGGAAATGATATTGATTTAAAACGCGTAAGTGGAAAAAGTATTTGTCGTATGTTTAATGAAAACATTTCTCTGTCTTTGAATTTACTTGAGCTTCCGGTGCAAGTATATCATCGAAAAATAATTGTATTATTACGCGGGTTTGGAACCTAAGATGTTCTCCATGACGTTAACACTTTGCGTTTCGGGCGGAACAGAAAACAACTTAATTCGAAACGAACCCGGTTTAAAAAAATATCCGTTTTTAAAAAATTAAAGAAAATATACTCTATGCCTCAAGAACTGAATGCCGCATAAATTATTTTACTCACTCATCTTACTCACAGTTGCAAGGAGGAGTCTGGTTTCTCACACTTGCTGTGGACGACTCGTCCTGGACCGTATTATGGAAATGTCATGTTGTTTCATTCTTCAACGTAACAGAGAATACGATGAAGTTCTACACGTACAATATTCCCAAGTGAGTAGTATTTCAACAAAGAAAACAAAGTTGTTAGTTAAGAAGAAAATATAACGGCGTAGGCCTACATGAAATATATTAATTACCTAACTATGTTATTTTTTTCGTAACAGGAATAAATCACAGAATTCTCATTCTGTTATAGAAGATTTATACCGCGACTACCAGGGTCAAATTTGGAATAATCATCAGTTTGGTGAGATCAGTGATTTATCTCCACTTTCTAGATTGTTATCGCGTAGGCCTACTGATGAGGAAGTTTGTTTGCTATATTTAGTTTCCAGTGAATCAAAAATCATTTTATGTTAGGTAGTTCTTTGCAATTTTCATTAATGAAAAATTACTGATACAATCAATTATACCAAGAATATATGACTGACATTTAACTTGGTTTCAGCGAAAATCTGGGAGCAGCTGGATACAGAACTATATCAAGAACAACCATCTGTTAGCATGGAAATAAGACCTCCCTCTAAGGGTGAGAATTGTAAATTATGCTACCAAATCACGAATAGAGAGCGATATTGTAGAAATCCACTTTCTATTTACAGACGAGTCATTGTACTACTCTCATCCACATACCTATTCAACAGACTATTCAACTTTCTTTAGTATATCAGCTCCAATGGAGGATGGTGAGTAATATTCATGAATTTAGACTCTTAATTTTTCAGAATATTATATTGTTGTACTCCTATTGAAATAAATAAAAATGAAACTGCTCCAAATGAAATGCAGTCTGTCTAATTACAGTTTATGTTTTGAATTTTTTACCATTGTTGTGGTGCAGGTCGGAAGCTTTTAGAAATTTTCACCAGGACGCCGACAATAAATGATGACAATCTTTCAGAGCTCAAAGCTTTTGCAGTTGAGCAAGGAATCGATCCAAGCACGTTAGTGACATTCGGATGTGGTGACCTGATTCCATCGGATTATCTATTAGCTTAACGCCAACCCGAGCAGTCTTGTTTGTAACAATGTACCGAAAGACTTGCAATTGCAAATGTAAATGTTACTTAAGTGTTTAGTTTGCTCCATGCAAAATTACCCCAATTGAAGAATATGAGCTAAAATCAATTTCGTTTTGAAAGAAAGATCATTTCATAACCTGAAAAGAAATTTTTTAAGTGGCGGCAATATTGTATTTCGAAATATTTTTGGAGAAACTACTAAATATTTCTTATTTAAAAAAAATTTAGCATAACTTTTTTTCGCCATGAACATCTTCATTTGCGACTTTCCCAACCTGAAAAACGTGCAAAATGAACCACTATATTATACGCAGAGCCATGTAAATCTAGTACTTCAGCATGTAATAAAAAACAGTTTAAATGTATGCTATTGTATGTGTTATTTACCTATATATTATATGCTTTGAAAATCAAGGTAGGATACAAACTATGAGTATAATCTCGATCTCGGTCGCAATGTGGTAGTAGTGCAAAGATCCTATTACGATGCTGCAAATAAGTGCAACGTGCTCGAGTTAACAAGAGAGCGATGGTTCAAATTTATGGACACGAACACCAAAGCTTAGTGTTCTACCATACTTTTTACAGTACCGTCAAAAAACATCCGACTTTCGCAAGAGTAGCACGAGAGAGGTCGACGAATCGCTACAAATACTTTTTTATAAGGTTTGAAAAAATCATCGCACGAAATTTTGAAGTGAAAAACGAATCAAATACAAAGAAATTGGAACAAATAATACTGGCTGAACTTTGTAGTTACTCTAAAATCTTCGGTGTTCTCAGATTAAAAAATCTGTATTTGTATGAAAAAGTGAGGAAAATGGCACTGCATCCGCATGCAAATCAACAATATTTTGTTCCAACAAAATTGCACTTTCATTTCCTAATCGCTGATATGAAAATGGAGGATTATTGATTTTATCAAGATATAAAAGTACTTCCAGTCTTTTCTGGATAAATATTGATTCATATAGATTCATAACCCCTCAGTAAAAAAGAAAATAAACGGGTTCCCTTCCAATTATAATTTTTTTCATATTTGTATCACTGTATTTTAGATGCATGATTAGCAACAATAAATCAACATAATTTATAATTGGTATAATATACAGTGTAGACTGCCAATCATATTCATGTCAGGAAAGTTGCTTCGATTTGGTGATCATAAACACCCTCTAACCTCCTATCAATGGAGGTTTTCCCGAGCATCGAATTCCTTGTTCCGAATTCCGTAACAATGACCAATCAGCAAAAAGTCAACGATAGCGTAAAAATTGATATTTTTGAAGCCGCTCAGACACTTCGCGAGGCATGGTTGTAAACATTGCCTCGTTTTTTCAGTTTTGTGTGGTATTTGTCTGTTTCTAGTTGTGTTTCCAAAAATAGTTGTATATGAAGTATTTTAATTGTTATTGTGACTTCCGATGAGCTTTAGTTTAGTTGCAATAATCAAAAATTAGTCCCGTACAAGCTGCGATAGACTTGGCTAAAATGAGCTATCTGTACGTGTAAGCGGCACGTGGTTTTATATTATATTAAAAATAATGGTTTCGAGAAGGTACATCAGTTTGCAACTCTCCAAAACACTCGCTTAATAAGCGTCCAAAATTTTGCAGTAGTAAAGTATAGGGAGAATTTGTCTGGTGTCAAGGGTCTGGAAAACATCCATTCCGTTATTAGTCGGTTGTTCAGATTATGAGAGTTGTTTTTTATGTTTAACTGATAACTAATGACTGAAAGCGTATAAACATTTTCCTCAAATGGGGGATTCCACTAAATCGTAATCATAAGATAAGCAGAAAGCTTTGTTGCTATTATTGCTAAATGTTGACCAATCAAATGTGGAGATATTGAGAAAGTGATTTTTAGGCGTTTTAGCAAAGTTCCTAGTGTTTTTTGCCATTTTCCCACTGTTTTTACGCGTTCTAGCAAGGTTTCTAGTGTTGTTGACGGTTTTCACTGTTTTTGAGCGTTTTAGAAAGGTTTTTAGTGTCTTTTGACGATTTTTCACTGTTTTTAATTTTGATAGTGTTCATAAGAGCGTTTTAAGGAATATAGATCTTTGGATCCATTCTTGTTGTGCGCGTATGAGATCCTGTAATTTTGGAGGCTTGTTTACAGTTTATCGTTATAACTATGAAACGACAGAAAGTATAAAACTTTGCGTCAGGGACGCGCAAAGTATGTTTGAGTTTTCATTTTTAATAATTCACTTTATTCAATAATGTTGTATTATAATGTATTGATATAAAATCGGGGCACTTTAATCACTCCTTCTGACACACCCGGCTACGAAAATGAAAAAGCATGTTCGGAAAATTCGCCGCAAGAAATTCCACCGCATAGGAAAAATCGCGAGAGCATTTTGCTGTAAAACAAGTATTTGTGATAAAAACGGTTAAGTTTAGTAACAGTAGGATCTTCGCTCACGTATTTAGCAGAACAAAGCGCGGGCTATCCGAACCACGAAATCGCATTTTAATAATGTTTGTAGAGGCTGATATATGAGTTATTTGCCAATTTCTCTCGCTTTGTTAATCAAATATCGCTGACAATAAAGTCACGGAATATATGGTCTTTCGCAGGTGGATGATTGAAGGAAACAATACATCTTAGACAGTAGCTGAAACAGGATGCAAAAACCATGTTATTTGAAATTTTTGACAAGCAGACAATACATCACTTTTACGCAATCGAAAACGCAGTTGTAATAATATTGGCTAAAGAGCAAATTTTAGGCCTACGTCACACAGCTTATAGCTTAGGCCTATAGTCGACAACAGAGAGTAATGATTTAATCGATCAATTTATTACATATGTGACCATTGTTACCGACAAAAACTACAGAGCTTGTTTTCTCCAGTCACTTGTAGATAATCTTCTTCCACTTTTTATCGAGACGGCAAAATCCCTTCATATTCAACTGAAGTAAGACAAAAATTTGAATGAACACTTTGCACAGATTTGAATAAGTAAGTTTTAATGCATTCTCATGAAAAATCCAAATCGATTTCTACTTACATTATGCCTTACGAAGAAAATGGCTGGAGAATCGGTTATGGTCCATATGTCCTGTTATCATTCCGATTTTAATTTTAAAACAGCAGAAACGCCTGAAACTGCGAATGACGTATTGGGTTTAAAGGCTGTAAATAGGCGATATGATTCACAATCATCGAAAAATGGTCAAATTAGGGCGGGATGCCTTTACTAGGCAAACAGCTACCGAAAGGCAAAAGAAAGATTGATCATATTTACCCAAGACACTTGGAATACATTGCGAACTTTTATCTCATTGAATCCGCATTCAGGGTGGATTTATACGGAGTTAGCGCGATAAAACCAGTTCTGTATTATTATTTTATTCATTTGCGAGTGTGACAAGATTAAGATGTTTCTCTATGGAAAATAGGTAACATGCAAAGTTTCTAAAGCTTAGATTCTGAAAAGGACTTTAATAAACGATTAAATTATAAATCAAAATATATATACAAACCTCGTGATACCGCTATAAATCATTTTTACATGGTTGAATAACTGAAATAAAATCTTAATTGTTCAAATTTCAAACATAAATTATACTACATTAAAATGTCTCATATCTTACTCTATTCAAGTTAAAATCAATTGAATTTCATAAATATCATTGCCATTATAATAAAGAGTTAGGTATACGTACATGTGTATGAAAGGTTGAGTGTAGTGTTCACGCCAATGAAAAGATGAATAGAAAACGAAAAGAAAATGTATTTTTTGTTCGTTATTCAATTAATTGGGTTGTTTTAAGACGTATAATCATTTAGCGATAACGACATATTTGGAAATTCCTTTACATTTTGTAATCAATAGCATTACCTATCCGAGTAGCAGGAATCATGCTGACTGGACAGTTTTGTTGCGCGAATTGTTGTAAAAAGAACTTCTCTTCTGAATTATATATTTGTAAGAGATGCCATGAAATACTATGTGCATCATGTCAATTGCATCACGTCGATATCAAAGTAATGGGGAAAAGGTTACATAAAATGATCAACCTGAATGACTTAATAAGTACAACTCTCAACGAGAATTATAGTAAAGGTAGGTAGGTGAAGGTGCATGTTCAAAAAACAAAAAGGGGACAATCTTCTTGAACTTCTGACGTGAATTTTTGATATTCCAAGATAATTCTCAATAAAAGTAATACGTTCCATTGGCCTATTATCAAGGGTATCATTTTTACAAAGACTATAAGTAATATCATATATTCAATTATAATCTGTTTTAATCATCTTAAAACTGCGACTATTTTTTTTTATTCAATACAGTTTAGTTTAACTTCTTACTGAAACCTTGGCACACTACCTTTTTTTTTCTTTCCAGTAGCCCGACTGAGGTATATGTAATTTTAACTTCAAATGACAAAAAAGAATTGATGAGATAGCTGGTAATTTAATTATAAATTAGTCGACGTTATTATTATGCAAATTTATATGCTATATTTTAGTTCCAACAAACTCTCGTCTTCAAACAAAAGCGGGGAGTAAATTTAACAGACAATTCGGGATGAAAGCAATCAGAAAACGTTGGTATATCATGCGATATTATACATACACTAATCAGCCATGAAACCGTGATGATTAATTAGTATATATATATTGTCTGCATTCAAAGTTCAATTATTATTTTATACAATGATATTATAACAAACTAGTCTCATATACAACCCTGTGGGTTATCATGTTCCAGCGTATTCGTAATAGAGTACTATAGCCAAATCATCACGCTTATACTCTATTCAGTTCTTCTTTCTCACTTGGATTAAATTACAGAACACACGTCAGAACCTATTTTCCCTAATTCTTCGTCACATTTGATACAATTCCGATTAATATAACGTTAGTTATAGGCACCATATTTGTAAGGCGGAGCCACACAGTGTTCTATATGGCAGTTCAATAACCTTTTACGTAACAGGCCAATCAAATGATGATCTTGGCCATATATCCATTTCTATTCCAACTATTGGTTTGAATAGAGCGAAGCGATATTGGCTATCTCCGGATAACAATCAATTATATCTGTTAATTTTTAAGCAAATTTCTTATTGATTTCATGCTTGTTTTTCTTATTTCAGATAAACAATTGGCAGCATGCAATGCTGCTATTAAAGAAGCTTTGATTAAAAATAAAAAGAGAAATGAGGCAATAGAAAGAAAAATTAAAACTTCGTTGAAGCAGTTTACCGTAAAAGTAAGTCACTTTATAGGTGCGGTGGCTGGACTTGTTTTAAAGTGAGAAATGGTTAAAGTATCATATTGTGCAATCACACTCGTCCAAAAGTAAATTCATTCATACCCGACTAAAATATATTACTGTTTTTTTATTTCAGTTTTTGCAAATGCTGAGTAGTCACGAAAAACATTTACGCCACCAACCCGATGACATGACCCACTATCAAACGACCCAGTTGACATCCATATGGAAAAACTCAGAAATTTTAATGAAAATATTTGATCAGGCAAATGATTTCAGAACATTCTCGACGGCAGAAGACTCCGGATATATTTCAGAATTGGAAGAAAACTTTAGCCTTTTTGACAGGCACGTTGTGTACTACTTGTAAAATTATATACATTCCACTATCTAGCATATTTCTTTAGGCATGTTGAGGCGAGGGTATGGTGTTTATTTACCATTGTTAATTAAATTTTATGCACCTGTTATTAGTAATCACATTTCTGCACAAAATATAGTTAATTTCTCGTTGAATGGATAGTGTGCTATTAACATCCGTCTAAAAAATTATATATATGAATATGTTCCGGGCCATAAGGATGCGACACTAATCGATTTTTCATTATTTTAGGCTGAACGTAATGCAACTAATGACAAGTTTTGCTAATGCTATGGATGGAAGAATAAAATTTACATCCCTTAGCGAACAAGATATGAAATCAGCTCTAAAAACTTTACCGGATTTAGGAACAGTATTATTACATAAATCCAACGAAGGTCCATTTGCAAACGAAATGTGGGATAAGTGTTACATTAGGCGATTCACTGTTAGACTCGAAGAAAACTGAATTTAGTAAACGTAATAAATATTTCAAGACTGGAATAATACGTATTTTATAGGCCCTCAGAAAAGTGTCGCGGAAACTTGGGGTCAAGTTTGTTAAGAGTAATTTGTACGACTAAAAGAGGTAAAAATCTGAAAAAATATCGAATTTATTTTGCCAATTTTAACTTAAAATTATAATAAAAAATCACAGCTACTAGAAAATCGGAACGTCGTTTTGCTGCCGACTACCCAGCTTCATCAGACGACAGCGTTGGTGAAACTGATCCTGATTTCGGGGTATTTCACATGGGAAAAAGTTTAGTGAAAATTCCTGCAGATCGACATAAAAATCCTACATATGTTCCAAAATATCAAATTGTTAATCAAGACGTAACCGTCCAGGATGAGGTGAATATTTATATATATTTGTTTCAACACAGTTTTAAATTAAATATTGATAATAGATAATTAAAAATAGAAGAAGATAATTTTAATGCCTTCAAAGTGTAACTGTTATTTATCTGCTAAATGGTATCACTGCCTATTTGTAATTAGCAAGACTCGAACCTCATATCTTAAAAACTTCTTTCAACCATAGGTTTAACCGATGTATAAAACTCAATGCGAAATATGTCACAAAAAAAAGTTGTTTTCAAATCATTTGAAAAATAGAAATACAAAATGTAATTTGTGAGGATTTGGAGGAACGTTTATCCGACTCATACTATCGCGTAGCCTATAACATACACTTAAGAGCCAATAACTCGGTATGTGATTATATTACTGTTTTAAAAGTTTTTCACATCGTTTTCCGTTGTCCACTGGAACTGGGTAAATATTAACCAATATACTCCACAAAATTTGGTCCTCTCCGTTGATTTCGGATGTAGCACAAGATAAATAAACGTAACAAAGAGCAAAAAAGAGCATTGTTTTCTCATTCAACCGGCTCAAATAAAAATACTCGTGCACGCCGCACACTTAGATCGGGTTGGCTGCTTGTCTACCACATATCATATGATTTGCAGATGGTTCTGCCAGCTATAAAGAAAAGGAACAAAGGCCACAATCTGCAGAAACATCCAACATGTTTCGGCGCCTGCAAAATCCATTTCGCAAGCACAAAAAATCAGAATTACCCGAACAAGGTCGTGATAGAGAAGCCCAAAATTTTACAAAAGCCAAAGAGATAAATGCCACGAGAAGTTACTCTTCAATAAAGACGCCAACTGTTCCCCAGAAACACAAAGTAAGACGTTCATTCTCGGTACCCTGATTGTGTTATGTTTAGGCTAACTAAAAGAAAAAACAATCGCATGAATTCGGTTCCATGTAACCTTTTTGTTGCTATATTTGAAAAAAAAGAACTTTTCGCTTTTTGTACGTGCAAGCACCGCTTGTTGATGAGTAACAGTTGTTCTCTATTTTGCTCATATTATCGATAGGGTCATCTATTCTTAAAAATCATATTCTGAACTTTGGTTTTTCGACTCCAGAGTTTGAGAGTCACCGGTCGCTCTTACTGGCAATGCATAGCCTTTTATAATATCTCCATACTCATGTTCACACACGATTAAGCCAAAATAATTTAAAATACATTTTCTTATTGTAGAATCACACTAAATTGCAAAGATTTCGACATGTGAGATTTGGCGATTTGGAGGAGAAACGATATCCACAACATTCGGAGATGGACAATCCGGGGATCCTTTCCATACGTTGCCAAAGCGCTCCAGATATTTCGACTGTGAGAAAATGGAACACGGAAAGATCAGAAGGCCAAAAATTAAATACAAACTGGCAAAGGGATGCGGTAGGACGTCGACTACACGGAACAATAAAATCTGTCGTTATTTGACGGTTAAAATTGATCCGGTATCTCTGATTATTTTTCGACAAACATCTATTGATGACATAGATCCTGAAAATGCCAATTCGTATAATTATCTTGGTTTATATATAGATATATACTGTAACAGAATGAAGTGGGATTTACAATCTTGTCGATATATATCGCTAACAGCAATACGCATGATCTACTACTCCTATTTCAGTTCCATATTTATTACTGTATAGTTGTGCAGGTACCTTGTCGGCCACCCTCTATTGTCGTTGTAGTTTAACTTCACTTAATCGTGCAAATACCGCGACAGCGGAGCCCGTAATGTCAACCTTGATTAGATCGACTAAACAGTTGGGGCGACAACTAATGCTGAAAGCACTCGGAGCATAACAAAACCTAAGAGAAACTGAACTTTCGAAAGGACATCAATAAGAAGCAGTGATTTTAATGCAGAGACCTTACCGACGGCTATCGCTCTTTCTTCCCTTTTGTTGACGTCTTAGTAGGGTGTGCTACACTTTCCTCAGCTCTTCAAATACAGTGTCACACTATTAAGTTATGAGATCTTTATTGACAACAGTATAATATTAACGTTAATACTCATTTTGTTTTCGCCCCATCTGTTTAGTCGATCTGAATATGCAATAAACATGCGCTACGATCTACCCTATATTCTCTACTTTTCCGGCAACATTGGCCAATGAACGCAGACTTCTTTATGACGTAACAATTAATTTAAGCAGCTGTTCGCGGGCGGATGAATCTCAGATTGTAGCCTTTCCATGATCTTTTTTAGTTTTATCAGTTAAGTTATGCTAAGACATTGTTAAAAAGTATAAGCAACTCATTAAACATTTGTAGATCCTTATATAGGTCGAGAGACCTTATATAGGTCGAGAGACGAGGCCTTGAAAACGCCCAGAAAATGAGATCAGCGAACCGGTTAGCAATTCTAGAAAAAAACATGTAACAGAACCGGCCAAAAAATATGACTTTTGTGATGGAACCGGCTGACAAAAAATTTGAATCCCACCACTGCTGGTAACTAAATATTTTTTTTAGTTTTGTATGAAAATGAACATACCAACATACCAAACGCATTACAGCTTGTTCCACAATCCCGATGCGGAATTAAATACAAGGGGGTTCCCTGAAAATCAATGAACATAGGTTTACAATAACACAGCGTAAGAACTATACAATTTGAGAGCCCTGCTGCACACTACCACAAATGTATTTCGGTAACGTTTTGTCTGATCAAAATCAGACTTTCTCAGACAAGCCGGTTACAAAAGAAAAAACGGCATAAGAAGTTGCATTTATTTTATAGAAACTAAGAACTTGCCAACAAGCCCAACACACACAACTGGATGTTGATAAATAAATTATCTCTCAATGCTAAGAAGACTAAATAGCAAGCACGAAAGTGATAGTTATACATAACCATTGCTCAAGGGCAATAAAATTGAAAAAGTGAGAGAAATAAAATTCCTAGAAGTTATCTTTGATGAGTCTGTCTTGAAAATCACAAATATTGCAGGTTATTAGTAAAACAAAAATAAACTTGGCAGTTGCTGCGGCAACAACACGGCAATGATAATACGGCCCTCCCTGAATCAGGCCAAAAATTTGGGTCTAGAAAAGCGACTTATTCGCCGGGAAATACGGTACTTATTTTAATGAAAATATTAAACAGCTACAATATTGCTATTGTCTCGGCAGCTGCTGATTGTTTTTGAGCGGGCAGTTAATCTCTCTCCACCTGTTCTACATCTAATGTTGGTGTGTCGGGTTCTGTAGCATGCGTATAGCATAATATTTTCTTCGAACGGCTGATCACATTCTGACATCTGCATGCGCGGGTTCTCTTTTTGTTTAATGTTGGATTTTTGACATTACACATGCATGGTGTTTGTTTCTATTTGGGTGGTGTAATACCTTATGAGCTCCTGTATACCTATTATTGTAATTGGGCGACCAGACGAGATATATTGGATTCTCCCCTTCGTTTTAATTTGCTGTGGTATTCTATGATTTGTCTTGTGTGTATACAAAATTTTATCCTAGGTTAAGGTTCTGCTGTGAAGTTAACGTGGAGGCCAACATACGAATGGTTAGTGTGGTTTGAGAGTTCTTGCATGGTTTGCGATTAATTTACCCCGTGTCCCAGCCAGAATTCAACTCTTTCTACTAGCGTTTTAAATAAAAATAAACTAATGATCAATATTTACTCAAAATTAACAATTTATTCCCAACAAAAATGTAGGGTAGTGTTGTTTCCTAATATGTAACTCTTGGCTGGCTTATTGAATATAAATGGTGTGTACATCAACAAAATTCGCAGGCTGATGTCTCATCCATGATAAATTTGAATTAACATCAATTGCGTCACAATAATTAAATGAAGAAATGATTCTGTGAAATACCAATCCTGAATCCTCTATCCTCGCAGAAGTCAATATCTAAGAATAAAAAAAAAACTTACTTATAACCTTGGCAACCAACTATACCCTATCGTCCTACCTCAATTAATTATAATTTCTTATACTGCTACTGGTACCTTTTAATACTTATTGCTTTAATACTTATCATGCACCCAATTCTGGCAACTTTTGTTTGGGCATTTTTGGCAATTGACTCCAACTATAATCAGCTTGTCAATATATTTTTCATAAAAGTTTATCTTTACTGTTCACTCTAATTTATAAAATCTATCGATTCGGCAGTGGCAAACATTCTAAATTTAATAATATGGTGTGGCAACTAATTTTCATTTATTTATATTTTTACCTACCAGTATGTAATTTATCATGTTTTCTTACTCAAACGTGAACAGGGGCCGCGAAAAATTTTGAAATGTTAAAAGGGGCCGCGAGGTCAAAAGTTTGGGAAGCCCTGGTCTATGTAATAGATTAGGCTAAGTGACCGTGTTTCAGAAGTCGATTGCACCAGAGAATTAATATTTCTAGATTGCATAATCCACCAGGAAGTGTGGTTTTGTTTTTTGTATTATACTAATTCGTGTATGGCTATAATAAATATGTCAATCTGAATCCACTGTTTTGATCTAAGACTCTAAGTGAATAACTCATATCAGTGGTGGGATTCAATTTTTTTGTCACCCGGTTTCTTCACAAAAGTCATATTTTTCAGCCGGTTCTGTAACAAACAGAACATTGACAGTAACAAGTAATGCTAACCGGTTCGCTGATCTCATAAAATTTCGTGAGACAGTTCTATAGAACCGGTACGAACCGGCTGAATCCCACCACTGACTCATATATGTCGATGTAGTCTGATTGGCGACACACGCATGCGGGACATAAAAGTAGAAAGACGGCTGATTTAGCTAACTGTTTGAATATACATTTCGCACAACACCTAGATGAGGTGGAATGTCTCGGCGTTTCAAACACGCATTGCGTCAAGCATGAAGTTTGAGTGTACCCCTGATGTAATTTCGTCAATATAAATTCGTAAATCTTTTATTTAAATTCCCATTGTTTTGTTTGAATGTAAAGTATATACTAACAACGGTGCTCCCGAAGTATGCGAACCAAGATGGCGGACATCGGAACGCAACATGGGTAACTGGTTAGGGTTAGGCGATTATTTTTTTCCAATTTTCCTTATTTTAGTCCTATTATCAGTTCGAAGACTATCCGAGAGCCTCCCGTAGTATTTATACCTAAAATTATGGCCTAACCCTACCCTAGTACACATATTACATTCCGATGTCCGCCATCTTGGTTCGCATACTTCGGGAGCCCCCTAACAACTATAAATTTCACGAATCAAAATGATAATGGATAAATACATTTATCTGCTTCTCGATACCCGTGTACAATATGAAAAATGCCAGTGAAAGCTCATAAAAATGATACAGTGAAAAATATCGATGAAGTGCACACAAAACAAAAACAACGTGACAGATTTTCATCACGACTAAATATTGAGTGTTATTATTCATGCTTCTATTTAATATGTGTTTTTGAAATGCCTTGCCATTTCAGCGATAGTTCGCATTGAGACATTCACAGGGTCGGGATGATGAAGTCAACTTCTTCCTTGTCTTTGGTTATTCTTCTCTTATCGTTCGCATGGAGTCGAGAAATATATTCAGGAAATGATATTGATTTCAAACGCGTAAGTGGAAAAAGTATTTGTCGTATGTTTAATGGAAACATTTCTTTGTCTTTGAATTTACTTGAGCTTCCGGTGCAAGTATATCATCGAAAAATAATTGTATTATTACGCGGGTTTGGAACCTAAGATGTTCTCCATGACGTTAACACTTTGCGTTTCGGGCGGAACAGAAAACAACTTAATTCAAAACGAACCCGTTTTAAAAAAATATCCGTTTTTAAAAATTTAAGAAAATATACTCTATGCCTCAAGAACTGAATGCCGCATAAATTATTTTACTCACTCATCTTACTCACAGTTGCAAGGAGGAGTCTGGTTTCTCACACTTGCTGTGGACGACTCGTCCTGGACCGTATTATGGAAATGTCATGTTGTTTCATTCTTCAACGTAACAGAGAATACGATGAAGTTCTACACGTACAATATTCCCAAGTGAGTAGTATTTCAACAAAGAAAACAAAGTTGTTAGTTAAGAAGAAAATATAACGGCGTAGGCCCACATGAAATATATTAATTAACTAAGTTTTTTTTTTCATAACAGGAATAAATCACAGAATTCTCATTCTGTTATAGAAGATTTATACCGCGACTACCAGGGTCAAATTTGGAATAATCATCAGTTTGGTAAGATCAGTGATTTATCTTCACTTTCTAGATTGTTATCGCGTAGGCCTACTGATGAGGAAGTTTGTTTGCTATATTTAGTTTCCAGTGAATCAAAAATAATTTTATGTTAGGTAGTTCTTGGCAATTTTCATTAATGTGAAATTACTGATACAATCAATTATACCAAGAATATATGACTGACATTTAACTTGGTTTCAGCGAAAATCTGGGAGCAGCTGGATACAGAACTATATCAAGAACAACCATCTGTTAGCATGGAAATAAGACCTCCCTCTAAGGGTGAGAATTGTAAATTATGCTACCAAATCATGAATAGAGAGCGATATTGTAGAAATCCACTTTCTATTTACAGACGAGTCATTGTACTACTCTCATCCACATGCCTATTCAACAGACTATTCAACTTTCTTTAGTATATCAGCTCCAATGGAGGATGGTGAGTAATATTCATGAATTTAGACTCTTAATTTTTCAGAATATTATATTGTTGTACTCCTATTGAAAAAAATAAAAATGAAACTGCTCCAAATGAAATGCAGTCTTGTCTAATTACAGTTTATATATTAAATTTTTTACCATTGTTGTGGTGCAGGTCGGAAGCTTTTAGAAATTTTCACCAGGAGGCCGACAATAAATGATGACAATCTTTCAGAGCTCAAAGCTTTTGCAGTTGAGCAAGGAATCGATCCAAGCACGTTAGTGACATTCGGATGTGGTGACCTGATTCCATCGGATTATCTATTAGCTTAACGCCAACCCGAGCAGTCTTGTTTGTAACAATGTACCGAAAGACTTTCAATTGCAAATGTAAATGTTAGTTAAGTGTTTAGTTTGCTCCATGCAAAATTACCCCAATTGAAGAATATGAGCTAAAATCAATTTTGTTTTGAAAGAAAGATCATTTCATAACCTAAAAAAAAATTTTTAAGTGGCGGCAATATTGAATTTCGAAATATTTTTGGAGAAACTACCAAATATTTCTTATTTGAAAAAAATTTAGCATAACTTTTTTTCGCCATGAACATCTTCATTTGCGACTTTCCCAACCTGAAAAACGTGCAAAATGAACCCCTATATTATACGCAGAGCCATGTAAATCTAGTACTTCAGCATGTAATAAAAACAGTTTAAATGTATGCTATTGTATGTGTCATTTACCTTTATATTATATGCTTTGAAAATCAAGGTAGGATACAAACTATGAGTATAATCTCGATCTCGATCGCAATGTGGTAGTAGTGCAAAGATCCTATTCCGATGCTGCAAATAAGTGCAACGCGCTCGAGTTAACAAGAGAGCGATGGTTCAAATTTATGGACACGAACACCAAAGCTTAGTGTTCTACCATACTTTTTACAGTACCGTCAAAAAACATCCGACTTTCGCAAGAGTAGCACGAGAGAGGTCGACGAACCGCTACAAATACTTTTTTATAAGGTTTGAAAAAATCATCGCACGAAATTTTGAAGTGAAAAACGAATCAAATACAAAGAATTTGGAACAAATAATACTGGCTGAACTTTGTAGTTACTCTAAAATCTTCGGTGTTCTCAGATTAAAAAATTTGTATTTGTATGAAAAAGTGAGGAAAATGGCACTGCATCCGCATGCAAATCAACAATATTTTGTTCCAACAAAATTGCACTTTCATTTCCTAATCGCTGATATGAAAATGGAGGATTATTGATTTTATCAAGATATAAAAGTACTTCCAGTCTTTTCTGGATAAATATTGATTCATATAGATTCATAACCCCTCAGTAAAAAAGAAAAATAAACGGGTTCCCTTCCAATTATAATTTTTTTCATATTTGTATCACTGTATTTTAGATGCATGATTAGCAACAATAAATCAACATAATTTATAATTGGTATAATATACAGTGTAGACTGCCAATCATATTCATGTCAGGAAAGTTGCTTCGATTTGGTGATCATAAACACCCTCTAACCTCCTATCAATGGAGGTTTTCCCGAGCATCGAATTCCTTGTTCCGAATTCCGTAACAATGACCAATCAGCAAAAAGTCCACGATAGCGTAAAAATTGATATTTTTGAAGCCGCTCAGACACTTCGTTCGCTCAGACAGATATTCAGGTATGGTTGTAAACATTGCCTCGTTTTTTCAGTTTTGTGTGGTATTTGTCTGTTTTTAGTTGTGTTTCCAAAAATAGTTGTATATGAAGTATTTTAATTGTTATTGTGACTTCCGATGAGCTTTAGTTTAGTTGCAATAATCAAAAATTAGTCCCGTACAAGCTGCGATAGACTTGGCTAAAATGAGCTATCTGTACGTGTAAGCGGCACGTGGTTTTATATTATATTAAAAATAATGGTTTCGAGAAGGTACATCAGTTTGCAACTCTCCAAAACACTCGCTTAACAAGCGTCCAAAATTTTGCAGTAGTAAAGTATAGGGAGAATTTGTCTGGTGTCAAGGGTCTGGAAAACATCCATTCCGTTATTAGTCAGTTGTTCAGATTATGAGAGTTGTTTTTTATGTTGAACTGATAACTAATGACTGAAAGCGTATAAACATTTTCCTCAAAGGGGGGATTCCACTAAATCGTAATCATAAGATAAGCAGAAATCTTTGTTGCTATTATTGCTAAATGTTGACCAATCAAATGTGGAGATATTGAGGAAGTGATTTTTAGCCGTTTAGCAAAGTTCCTAGTGTTTTTTTGCCATTTTCCCACTGTTTTTAGGCGTTCTAGCAAGGTTTCTAGTGTTTTTTGACGGTTTTCACTATTTTTGAGCGTTTTAGAAAGGATCTATAGTGTCTTTTGACGATTTTTCACTGTTTTTAATTTTGATAGTGTTCATAAGAGCGTTTTAAGGAATATAGATCTTTGGATCCATTCTTGTTGTGCGCGTTTGAGATCCTGTAATTTTGGAGGCCTGTTTTCAGTTTATCGTTATAACTATGAAACGACAGAAAGTATAAAACTTTGCGTCAGGGACGCGCAAAGTATGTTTGAGTTTTCATTTTTAATAATTCACTTTATTCGATAATGTTGTATTATAATGTATTGATATAAAATCTGGCACTTTAATCACTCCTTCTGACACACCCGGCTACGAAAATGAAAAAGCATGTTCGGAAAATTCGCCGTAGGAAATTCCGCCGCAAGAAATTCCACCGCATAGGAAAAATCGCAAGAGCATTTTGCTGTAAAACAAGTATTTGTGATAAAAACGGTTAAGTTTAGTAACAGTAGAATCTTCGCTCACGTATTTAGCAGAACAAAGCGCGGGCTATCCGAACCACGAAATCGCATTTTAATAATGTTTGTAGAGGCTGATATATGAGATATTTGCCAATTTCTCTCGCTTTGTTAATCAAATATCGCTGACAATAAAGTCACGGAATATATGGTCTTTCGCAGGTGGATGATTGAAGGAAACAATACATCTCAGACAGTAGCTGAAACAGGATGCAAAAGCCATGTTATTTAAAAATTTTTGACAAGCAGACAATACATCACTTTTACGCAATCGAAAACGCAGTTGTAATAATATTGGCTAAAGAGCATATTATAGGCCTACGTCACACAGCTTATAGCTTAGGCCTATAGTCGACGACAGAGAGTAATGATTTAATCAATCAATTTATTACATATGTGACCATTGTTACCGACAAAAACTACAGAGCTTGTTTTCTCCAGTCACTTGTAGATAATGAAATCTTCTTCCACTTTTTATCGAGACGGCAAAATCCCTTCATATTCAACTGAAGCTAAGACAAAAATTTGAATGAACACTTTGCACAGATTTGAATAAGTAAGTTTTAATGCATTCTCATGAAAAATCCAAATCGATTTCTACTTACATTATGCCTTACGAAGAAAATGGCTGGATAATCGGTTATGGTCCATATGTCCTGTTATCATTTCGATTTTAATTTTAAAACAGCAGAAACGCCTGAAACTGCGAATGACGTATTGGGTTTAAAGGCTGTAAATAGGTGATATGATTCACAATCATCGAAAAATGGTCAAATTAGGGCGGGATGCCTTTACTAGGCAAACAGCTACCGAAAGAGAAAAGAAAGATTGATCATATTTACCCAAGACACTTGGAATACATTGCGAACTTATATATCATTGAATCCGCATTCAGGGTGGATTTATACGGAGTTAGCGCGATAAAACCAGTTCTGTATTATTATTTTATTATTTTCGAGTGTGACAAGATTAAGATGTTTCTCTATGGAAAATAGATTAAATTATAAATCAAAATACCGTCAAGCTAATAACCGAATTGCGTAAGTCATTTTGGGGAGTTTTGAGTTTTTTATAAAATAGGTATTTATGTAATGCTGTGCACTGTCCGTTAACTCAGATTTTATTTTAAGAATTCCGAAACCCATAAAAATGGAGATTTTGTATGACATGCACATTTGTCCAATTGTTTCGTCATAATGAATTATCATAGTTACCGCAAGACTATTGTGACGTCACAAAGGCAAAATAACCTCGACGTATTTTCAAGTTTCTGCATCTCAGATACTAGCTTAGCGCTCATAAATTTGAATTTTTACAACAGTATAAAAAGGCGTGCACTTGTGATATTCACTATCTGAGTCCAAATCAACTTAGTTGGCTTTTATATAGAGGGACATTTCTGTTTGATTTGTCATATTTAAGTTTAGTCTTATTTCGGTGGGTGTTCAGAGCGTGTTATATTGATGAAATATATATTTATAAACATAAAAAATAATGTAATTGAAACAGCTTAGCTATTTGGAGATTACACATCGTAGATACTAAGAATTTCATTCGTTTTTGGATTGTTTTGTTTTCAAGACTGGTGCATATAGTCAAGTTGCAAAATTGCGTATGTCCCCAAGTCATAGACACATTTCTGCCTGAGTCACAGTGCACCATTATGACGTCACATAACTGCGTCATACAATTTAACTTAAATCCGGCTACGATCAAAAAATTGAACCATGGCAAATTATTGACTCTCAATGGCTTAACAATATCATTAGGTAGTTTTTTACGTTTTTCTTAAAACTGCTAAAAATGACTTACGCAATTCGGTTATTAGCGTGACGATATATATACAAACCTCGTGATACTGCTATAGATCATTTTTACATGGTTGAATAACTGAAATAAAATCTTAATTGTTCAAATTCCAAACATAAATTATATATACTACATTAAAATGTCTCATATCTTACTCTATTCAAGTTAAACTCAATCGAATTTCATAAATATCATTGCCATTATAATAAAGAGTTAGGTATACGTACATGTGTATGAAAGGTTGAGTGTAGTGTTCACGCCAATGAAAAGATAAATAGAAAACGAAAAGGAAATATGTTGTTTGTTCGTTATTCAATTAATTGGGTTGTTTTAAGGCGTATAATCATTTAGCAAAAACGACATTTTTGGAAATTCCACTATTAATCAATAGCATTACCTATTCGAGTAGCAGGAATCATGCTGACTGGACAGTTTTGTTGCGCGAATTGTTGTAAAAAGAACTTCTCTTCTGAATTATATATTTGTAAGAGATGCCATGAAATACTATGTGCATCATGTCAATTGCATCACGTCGATATCAAAGTCATGGGGAAAAGGTTACATGAAATGATCAACCTGAATGACTTAATAAGTACAACTCTCAACGAAAATTATAGTAAAGGTAGGTAGGTGAAGGTGCATGTTCAAAAAACAAATAGGGGACAATCTTCTTGACCTTCTGACGTGAATGTTTAATATTCCAAGATAATTCTCAATAAAAGTAATACGTTCCAGTGGCCTATTATCAAGGGTACCATTTTTTACAAAGACTATAAGTGATATCATATATTCAATTATCACGTGTTTCAATCATCTTAAAACTGCGACTAGCATTTTTTTCAATACAGTTTACTTTAACTTCTTACTGAAACCTTGGCACACTACCTTTTTCCTTTCCAGTAGCCCGACTGAGGTATATGTAATTTTAACTTTAAATGACAAAAAAGAATTGATGAGATAGCTGGTAATTTGATTATAAATGAGTCGACGTTATTAACATGCAAATTTATATGCTATATTTTAGACCCAACAAACTCTCGTCTGCAAACAAAAACGGGGAGTAAATTTAACAGACAATTCGGGATGAAAGCAATCAGAAAACGTAGGTATATCATGCGATAATGTACATACACTAAACAACCATGAAACCGTGATGATTAATTAGTATATATCGTCTGCATTCAAAGTTTAATAATTATTTTATACAATGATAATATAACAAACTAGTCTCATATAACACCCTGTGGATCATCATGTTCCAGCGTATTCGTAATACTATATCATCACGCTTATACTCTGTTCAGTTCTTCTTCCTCACTTGGATTAATTTACAGAACACGTCAGAACCTATTTTCCCTAATTCTTCGTCACATTTGATACAATTCCGATTAATATAACGTTAATTATATAGGCACCATAATTGTTAGGCGGAGCCATACAGTGTTCTATATGGCAGTCCGATTACCTTTTACGTAACAGGCCATTCAAATGATGATATTGGCCATATATCCATTCCTATTCCAACTATTGGTTTGAATAGAGCAAAGCGCTATTGGCTATCTCTTGATAACAATCAATTATATCTGTTGATTTTTAGGCAAATATCCTATTGATTTCATGTCTGTTTTTCTTATTTCAGATAAACAATTGGCAGCATGCAATGCTGCTATTAAAGAAGCTTTGATTAAAAATAAAAAGAGAAATGAGGCAATAGAAAGAAAAATTAAAACTTCGTTGAAGCAGTTTACCGTAAAAGTAAGTCACTTTATAGGTGCGGTGGCTGGACTTGTTTTAAAATGAGAAATGGATAAAAGTATCATATTGTGCAATCACACTCGTCCAAAAGGAAGTTCATTCATACCCGAGTAAAATATATTACTGTTTTTTTATTTCAGTTTTTGCAAATGCTGAGTAGTCACGAAAAACATTTACGCCACCAACTTGATGACATGGCTCACTATCAAACGACACAGTTGACATCCATATTGAAAAACTCGGAAATTTTAATGAAAATATTTGATCAGGCAAATGATTTCAGAACATTCTCGACGGCAGAAGACTCCGGATATATTTCAGAATTGGAAGAAAACTATAGCCTTTTTGACAGGCACGTTGTGTACTACTTGTGAAATTACATACATTCCACTATCTAGCATATTTCTTTAGGCATGTTGAGGCGAGTTATGGTGTTTAATTATCATTGGTAATTAAATTGTATGCATCTTTTATTACTAATCACAATTCTGCATAAAATATAGTTAATTGCTCGTTGAAAAGATAGTGTGCTATTATCATCTGTCTAAAAAATTATATATATATATATGAATATGTTCCGGGCCATGAGAATATGACACTAATCGATTTTTCATTATTTTAGGCTGGACGTAATGCAACTAATGACAAGTTTTGCAAATGCTATGGATGGAAGAATAAAATTTACATCCCTTAGCGAACAAGATATGAAATCAGCTCTAAAAACTTTACCGGATTTAGGAACAGTATTATTACATAAATCCAACGAAGGTCCATTTGCAAACGAAATGTGGGGTAAGTGTTACATTAGGCGATTCACTGTTAGACTCGAAGAAAACTGAATTTAGTAAACGTAATAAATATTTCAAGACTGGAGTAATACGTATTTTATAGGCCCACAGGAAAAGCGACGCAGAAACTTGGGGTCAACTTTGTTAAGAGTAATTTGTACGACTAGAAAAGGTAGAAATCTGAAATAATATCGATTTTATTTTGCCAATATAGTAGGGCGGGGGAAGATAGACACACGGGGTTAGATGGACACTTTTTTTCAAATTGACCTATTGGCGACATCTTATGGGGCTTGGTTCTGCAAATGCCATTGCTGAGTTCGTTGCTAAGGAGGGAATTCGTTCTAGCCATTTCGGTTCAGCGCTTGGCGTAGTTTGTCAGTTGTGTAGCTTTCCACGTGGCTTGTGATTTTTGAAGGGTGAAAAAAGGGCATTTAGTAAGGACACGTTTTTCTTGGAGGCACTATATGCTCATTTTCAGCGAAGGAACTCTGAATCGCGCGTTTGTTGGTAAGTTTATACTTACTGACAATGATTTAGGTCTAACTGAGCGACTTGTGCCATCTAGCAGCTAACTATATCTTTCAGCATTTGATCATGTAAAAATGGGGAGGTTATGAGGGGGTAATAAATTTCTTGCGTTTTTCGGGCTTATATTTACTTTGACCGTTCAAACCCGTTCTTTGTGAATAAGATACCAGAAAGTCTTCTTTTTAATTTTGTTATTGCTTTTACCTGTCAAAACACTTCTTGGATAATCTCAATATTCTTATGAAATTATGGGGGGTGGCCATCTTACCCTTATTTACTATCATGTTTTTCCAGATGCAAGTTTTGGATGCACGGGAAACAGAAAATCCTAAAGAATGTTGAGGAAATACCAAAGAATATCAAACAGAGGCAAATAACAAATAGAGACTACGATGTACCATCTCATGAGGTTAACACCACGACAGAGGTAGAAAGTGTCACAAGTGAACCATGCTGCTCTGTGCTCTCTAACGATATTTTCAAGTAGAACTTCACCAGGAGTTCAGTTAGTTTCTGATAAAGTCAGTGATTCTTTGAGGCAAGAAAATAGCAGAGACCTGATAGCACCAGTTCATGATTTGAATATATTTGCCTCTTCATGTAGCCACTCAGAGAGCCAAGAGGCAAAGAAAGCCATTCAGGCAGGAATTAGAGTGGTAACAAGTGAGAAATATGTAGCCGAACTGTCAGCACTCGCAGAAACAACGCCACCTAGCTCGTTCAGGAAAACTACAGCACTCGCAGAAACGATGTCATCTAGCTCGTCTAAGAAAGTTGCAGCTCCCAGGAAGAAAAAAGAAAATAAACTAAGAATGAGTCACACGAAAGATATTGTTACAGTAACCTCTGTACTGTCTGCAACGGCAATTTTTTTGACGACGAAGAGGACGAGGGATGGATTCAGTGCCAGAAATGCCAAAAGTGGCTTCACGATATTTGTGCCGGGATTTATGGAAAACACATTGTGTCCTTCCAATGTGATGACTGCTCTGCTTGAAGCTTTTTTGTACAAATATTTTCATTCGAATGTAAAATTCCATGACGATAGCTTTCATGCTATCCCAGATGTTCTTTTGGTGTTGTGATTAAGATTTGTGTGAAAGTATGATCAAATACAATTTGGCTGCTTTACTAGGTGGTGTTTTATCATACTTTCGTGAACAATTATATGGGTTCACAACTTCAAAAATTTAAGGGGTAAGATGGACATAAGGGGAATTTTCGAATGCCCCAAAAAATTTTCCAAATACATTGCTTATTTTGATATTCTGATAAGAAACAGAACGCAATACTAGTATTTTGATGCGATTTTATCACATGTCCGTCATATCCGACCATATGTCCAACTTCCCCGAATTTTTTTTTCGTTCAAAAACGTTTCTGCTGTTGCGATGGTTGGAGACCGGCGGACGCCGCCGAGTGGCTAAAGAGTTTAGCCCCTTATGTTTGTACTTGCAAAGTTTTAGGAATATTTGAAGAAAGGTTTTCGAAATATAGATAATTTTCAATAAGGGGGGCCATCATCCCCCGCCCTACTATATCAACTTAAAATTGTAATAAAATATCACAGCTACTAGAAAATCGGAACGTCGTGCTGCTGCTGACTACCCAGCTCCATCAGACGACAGCGTTGGTGAAACTGATCCTGATTTCGGGGTATTTCACATGGGAAAAAGTTTAGGGAAAATTCCTGCAGTTCGACATAAAAATCCTACATATGTTCCAAAATATCAAATTGTTAATCAAGACGTAACCGTCCAGGATGAGGTGAATATATATATTGGTTCAACACAGTTCTAAATTAACTAATGATAAAAATAGAGGAAGATAATTTAATGCTTAGTAAGTGTAACTGTTATTTATCTGGTAAAGGGTATCATTGCCTATTTGTGGAAATTTTTCATGCTTGCTTTTGGCAATGAACTATCATTTATAGTTGTATCGTATCTCCCAAATTTAATAAATTAGCAAGACTCGAACCTCATATCTTAAAACTTCTTTCAACCATAGGTTTAACCGATGTATTTAGAATATAATAACCAAAACGCAATGCGAAATATGTCACGAAAAAAAGTTGTTTTCATATCATTTGCAAAATAGAAATACAGAATGTAAATTGTGAGGATTTGGAGGAACGTTTATCCAAATATAAACCAATATACTTCACAAAATTTGGTCCCCTACGTGTATTGCGGATGTAGCCTAAGATAAATAAACGTGACAAAGAGCAAAAAAGAGCATTGTTTTCTCATTCAACCGGTTCAAATAAAAATACTCATGTACGCCGCACACTCAGATCGAGTTGGCTGCTTGTCTATCACATATTATATGATTTGCAGATGGTTCTGCCAGCTATTAAGAAAAAGGAGCAAAGGCCACAATCTGCAGAAACATCTAACATGTTTCGGCGCCTGCACAATCCATTTCGCAAGCAGAAAAAATCAGAGTTACTCGAACCCGGTCGTGATAGATCAGCCCAAAACTTTACGAAAGCAAAAGAGATGGAGATGGCAACGAGAAGTTACTCTTCAATAAAGACGCCAACTGTTCCCCTGGAACACAAAGTAAGACGTTTATCTTCTGTACCCTGATTGTGCTATGTTTAGGCTAACTAAAAGCAAAACCAATTGCTATATTTAAAAAAAAAACTTTTCGCTTTTTGTACGTGCAAGCACCGCTTGTTGGTGAATAACATTTGTTCTCTATTTTGCTCCTAATATTGATAAGGCCATCGATTCCTAAGAATCGTATTCTGAACCTTGGTTTTGACTCAAGGGTAAGAAAGTCACCGCTTGCTCATACCAGCAGCTCCTAGCTTTTTATAATATTTCCGTTCCCATTTTCACACACGAGTGAGACAAAATAATTTAAAATACATTTTCTTGTTGTAGAATCACACTAAATTTCAAAAATTTCGACATGTGAGATTTGGAAATGTGGAGGAGAAGCGATATTCACAACATTCGGAGATGGACAATCCGGGAATCGCTTCTATACGTTGCCAAAGCGCTCCGGATATTTCGAATGTGAGAAAATGGAACACGGAAAGATCAGAAGGTCGAAAATCAAATACAAACGGACGAAAAGACACAGTGGGACGTCGAATACACGGAACAATAAAATCTGTCGTTATCTGACTTGGCCATGCCTCTCGCGCCCAGAAACGGGTATTACGACGTCGGGTTTTCTGGAGCCATAACGTATTATCACAACCTTGAGTTCCGTAAAGTGTTTTTCAAATTCAACTTACTATTCAATATAATTGACTGATTAGCATAAGTATCTTTTCTGTAAGTAAAATGACGTAGTCCATGCAATTTGAAAATTTATAACGATATAATATATTTTACCTATCATTATAACGTAATATTGGTTTCCAAGGAGCATTTATGGCGTCATTGCTAAAGAGGGGCCTCACAAATGACACAACCTTGGGGCTCTTATTGTCTAAATCCGATCCGGTAAAACGTTGGACCACAGCTAATCCTTGCAATATCTCAAGTCGATCCCGCAGTTTATGACGAACGTATCACATGTCGGGTTTAACCAAAATCACAACTCCCGGGGCGATGGCTTTGAAACGCTTGTCATAATATATGTCAAAATGAATCGCTCTTCCAAACAGATATAAATGAGATAAAATAATTCGTCACTTCGTCGTTAGCATGGGTGTTGTTCGCATGCAACACCACACCCCAAGATATTGACGTGGTTCTTCGCGTAGGCAGTCGTCTAATTAGTTAACCCCCTGGGTTTGATTAAATTTTTATCAAAAACCAAGTCGAAGATCACAGTTCCACTATGACGTAGTTACCCACAAAATTTGCTTTTTAAACTTACTATTTTAGGTATATTTGTTTTATTTAATCAGAGGTGAAAACATTCGTTAACATTTACTAGGATTGACATTTTAGAACTCTGAATTTTATGAGCGAGTTCGCCTCCGCAATTATGTACGAAAGGATTGCGCTTCCACCATCGTAGGTTTGACCACCAAGTTCATTCATCTGAAACTAATCTCACGTTAGATTCGGACTCGTACCATGGATCGCCATAATATCACGAGTCGCTTTCTCCTCGAATAAACACGAAAGCGGATTTTCTGCTACTTCCGTAGGGAGTTGCTGACTAAATAAATCTCTTCACACGAATGTTCATACTTAACTTCAGATTTATGTTGACTTATTAAATTTGTTATAAAACTTCACTTAGCACACAATATTTCTCGAAGCAGCATATGGAAGGTTGAAAAAAAAATTGAAAATAAAACAAAACAACAAACAAAAACACTAATGGCCAACAGCTCAGAAATATGACAAAAACGCCGATATATGTTAAACAAAAGTTAAATCCAACAAATAAATAGTTGGCACACCTTACTTAAATCCACATAAACACAGGCAGTTTGTGTAAAAATGTCAAGGGTAATGGTACTATATCGACAACGCAACAAACTACCCGATTATCAACAATCCTATGAGTAATGTGCCGTCCTAATTCATAGAAAAAGTTTCAATCAAATTAAATGCAATTCAATATACACCACATATAAATTGAAGTAAAATCTCAGCTTTGCTAATTTTCATAAATAACAACTGTAATTATTTTTCACTGTAGTCAGTCAATTTTATGAATTGAGCATAACATCATTGTAACAATACAAAACTCAAATAGTTTCACATCGAAAACTTCGCAACCCCAATTCTTGATACAGAATTAAAGAGCTTCCATTTATCCATTTGCGCGATATTCAAATAAGATTTCCAAAACAAGTAAAAATGAAGACCAAGATAAATCAGTTCAGAATGCATTTGAAAAAATAAAAACTTCTGAGCAGTTGAAGAGTAATTCATTCTGGCAGTAGTTGATTGATTAAACATATGTTAACTTTCCTGAATGCAATAACCAATACATTTGATAAGAGAATAAAATTCAAATAATAAATGTCATCCTCGCACTCAAATGGCAGCATAATGCCTGATCTTAAAACGAAATTCACCAAACAAACAATTTCTATGTTTTTAATAAATTTCATTTGGCTATTTCAAGAACAATATACATTATTGATTATGTTGGAAACAAGAACTTATCAAACGCTATGAATGATCCTAATTAATAGCTCATTGGTAAATATGTTGTAAACCAAAAACAATATCGCCAGTATTCAAACTTTTTTTAAAATAAACCTTATATTTTGTGCGGCAAATGTAAGTTTGTCTCTAATGCCAAGGAGGTTATTTGGAAGATATTCTAGAGAGGACAACTGCGGAGCAAATCACCCTATATATTTGTAACTTGATCTCTGAAACAAACAGAAGTTCAAGAACCTCAAGCGCAAACAAAACTATTCTTATTCATTTCTAAATAAAATCAATTTTAATCAATTCAAATATTTATTTGGACATCTCTGATTTCAACCAAAGCCTAAGTGTACAAAAGAATTCATTTATTCTCTGTATATTTTCAAGAAAATTCCAGTCCATCCCTTGAAGACAAGAAGTAGTCAAGTTGCTTTCAACCATGGATGTGACTGTAACGTTTCTTTGTCTCTGTCACCATAATCATAAGTTAATTCTTCTCCTGCATTTATATCCCGTTTTGCTACAATCACCAATCGAGGACCTGCATTACTTTTGACTCCAGGCATGCTTACAAGTTTTGTTTTACAGTTTGGATTTTTTCGACTGTGATTCAAAAGCCGACCGAGACGACCTGATTCAACAGTGGCATCAACGCTAAAATGAGAGATACAAAGTATGTTCAGAAGATTTTAAATCGTCATTATATTGCAAATGCATTATGCTGTTCTAATGAATAAACTTATGCAGTAATGGAGAAAAAATATAATGAAAACATTTTTTCGAATTGACGCATACTTTCCAAATAGGCTTGGCATGGAGAACCATGTAGATGCCTGTTCCTGGACCACATTTGTTTGTGTCTTTCTATATATATTAAACATCAGCGAAGTGGCAGCAAAGGCTATAAAGATGGACTGATCTAAGCTTGACTCTGTGTTTTTATATGTAGTTAGTTTTAAGTTGGTTAGTTTTCAAGTAGTACAGTGCACAAGAACTGACAGATAAACTGACGAGAGTCAGAAGTATTCAGAAAAAAAAAAACAGAGTTGAACTCGGATTGGGTGTCTCTTACTAAAGCCTGTAAAAGAGTATTTCATCATGCTTTTTTCAATGTTATTCTATGTCAAAAGGTGAGATTGCCCATTTGGTACTTTTATGTCTCATGTTCTAAATCTCATTTGAAGTTTCAGCAATTTCACTGAATTCCCGTTCTCTGCCTTTTTCTTGTATTTTTGTGCCATTTTAGAGTTCAAAATAAATTACCTGGTATCTAGCCTATTTTCTTTTACATTGGGGAACACTATTGGAAACACAACCATATGCAGGTGAAATAAACTTACCAATAATTTGTGTTATCAAATATAAAATAATACATGTAGCATCCGACTGTGGCATCTTTAGCATATTTATCTTCTCTTTGTTTTGCTTCATTCCAATCAATTAAATCTCCCGCATATTCAACAATAAAATTGCCTTTCTTAAATGCTCTAAATTGTACAATTTATTGTTATATGTACAAATATAGATAGTTGAGATGAAAGATTTAGTGCAGATAATGTGCATTTTATCAAAATTGAAACTATAAGTCTGATTTAAACTACCATACTCCATAGTGCATATATCATTGAGTTCAATAAAATTTATATTGTGAAAAGATCTGTTTACTTTTTGGCAATTACACCTCTTCCTTTAGATTCAAACTCTACAACTTCTAATCCATCTTCACAATTAGATTTGATAGCTTCAATAATAACATCTTCATGTTCTTTCTAAAAATATAAAAGTGTTTTCACCGTGCATGGTTCAAATAAGGAATATAGTTTATTAATAACTCATCTATGTGGCCAAACTTCAGCCACTGCCATCACTAGATCAATTTCTTTGTATAAATAAGCAAGATCGTATACTTCAATACGTTGAATTAAAATAATTGTCTGGGACAATATAATATAAATACCAAAAATTAGGCTCGAATAAAGATTGAAGTCCCATGAATAATTTTAACACACCTGTAATAATGACTTTGGCTTTCTGGAACTTCTTCTTACAGGATAGTAATCAGTCAGAACATGACTTCTCACAGAGGGTTTAGAACTGTTACAAACAATAAAATTAAAAAATGAAACAACTATAAATGAAAAAAAAATATTTGCAGAGGGGAAGTAGAGTTAAAAAAAAATGAATTGCATGAATCATATGCAAAACCATGAGCTCTCATCCAAGGCGTAAGTAGAGAAACCATAGGGAAGTAGGGAGGTTTACAAGATTCAAAATTTATTGTTGTTATTAAAAGAAATAACAAAATTCCAGAAGTTACTTTACATCGCTGCTCAAGGAGACAACAAAATCTTCTTGTGCAAAAGGCATCAAAAAGTTTTAACATCATACTTCAGATATGTAGGGCGGCTTACCCACTTTGCGGCCATCAACTTCATCGATCTAATTAATGCCGAAAAAATTAACAAACCGCGACGATATTTCTCATGCGTTATCGTCCACTTGTCCCTCATAGCTCTGCAAAATTACACTAAAATGCGGCCACACACAAAAAAGTTACGACCGAAAACCCGACCGAGGAAAAAAACGGATCATTTTTTCATGTTGCCAACTACCCATTGTCCATTAAAAAAACTTGAAAATCCATACAAATATAAGAGATAAAAAGATGAAACTTGGCAAGGGAGTAGAGTTGTGTTTCTTTTAACCATCTTTAAATTTTCGCGTTTCTACATTTAAAGGAGGGGGAATAGGAGGGTGCGCATTTCCAAAACGTCGATAATATCTTTGTCGACCAATTTGCAACCACTGTGTCTTTGTCTGTTTGATTGCTGTGATGCGGTGCTTTGTCTATAATTTGACGAGTTTTGTTCGAAATGACCGTGTTCCTAAAATATAAGACGGTTAGAAATGCAATTAGGAGCCAAATTGTTTCATGCATGGCTTGAAATCCGTGACCGCACACTGGTCGTTCGGTCGCAAATACGTCTTCCGAGTGTTTTTAACTTTGGCGGTTTGTATAGCTTTAACCCCTGGTCGTAGAAAGTTAATTCGAGGTTCAGTGTGTAAAATAAATGCCAATGCAGCTACGGTGAAAAAATTAACGAGTTGGAAATATTGGTTTTTGTTTTATAGCGTTTTGAATGAAATTGTGCGCAGACTGGCTACACCACCCCAACACACAAAAATAGTAAATTTTCAAATAACATTAACTTAAATCAACTAACAATTCTTTATACAATTCATTTTCATACAATTCAATAAAAATATGCTGCTACTTTGACATTACAAGGTTTATTAAACTATTCATCAACAATCAACATTACAAATTTACTTGCCTAAATATAATATAGTTGTTACTGTTAGTACGGAAATCAGTCAAACTGCTGCACTCCACAGAGCATCAACAAAGAAAAGATTTGTTTTTGTAATGATGTAACCACTCGAGAGATTACTGGATTATGTTGTATAAAGTATCTATGAACTATCTGGCAATATTGAGCATGTATTGAGAGACATACGGAAAGTGGAAATAAACGCTATACAAAAAGGAAGGAGCTTGAAATTATGCTTACCTATTTTTGGTTTTCTTCTTTCGTGTAGTATTTTGAGTGGACTTTTGTATTTTGACGGCCTTTTTCTCCTCACCCTCACTAGGAATCAATGAAGAGGGAAAAAGATTTTTTGAAGATTCAGATCCATTTTCAAGTGCATTGATAGATAATTCTGATTTATCGATTGTATTTTGTTTAGAAATCTTTTTTGGACTAGCATCTTCTTTATTGTGTGAAACAGTAAGCTGCAGATCAGAGGAATCTGAACTTTTCTCTTGTGAAATGTTGTCAACCGCAAGACTCGATGCTTCTTTCGAAGTAGACTTCTTTTTATTTCTGCCTTGTGTTCTAAATTTTTCAATAAGTCCAATACTTTTAGAAAGAGGACTATTTTTAACATCACAATCTAATTTCGCCGTTTTGATGTGTTTTGATTTTATAACGTGTCGCTTTTTACTTGGAGTGTTCAACTGCTGTGAAGTGTCAATAAAATTTCCAGAAACATTGGAAGACTCATTTTCATTAGTTGGCAAAACGTCTGAACTTGTTTCCCCTTTGATCGACATTATAACCATTGGAGATAATAAAAAATAATGTCTCTATACAATACTGCAATAGGACCCAAACAATGCAGATTACTTGTTCTCTTTACTACTGTAATAATACAGTAAAATTCTATTCGAGATACACAATAATATCTTATTCCTGAAATGAAGAAGACAATAATAGATATTTCAGTATTTGGGACTGTTTTAATAACTCCAAACAAAAATGCGATGTGAAATGTATGACTGCTTAAATAACGCCAAACAAATATGTGATGCAGTAATGTCTGAATGTAGAAATATTGATTTAAAAATAAAGTCTGTCTGGCAGGAATGAATTTCACATCACATAGCCTACTTGTTGGTGGTATTTACGGTGAGCAGTTACAGAGTTACGGCGCGGTATCTCATGGCACATGGCGTTTACTTTGCTAAACCCAATAATTACTGGTTCTACTGTTCTATGCCGTAAGAGCTACGGTATGTCCAGGTAGTTCAGCTCAGCGAATTTATTTTTACAAGGTTCCACATACAGATAACATGGATTTCAGAGTTGGAAAAAATAAATAAATAATATACATAATAACACACACAAAAAAAACATATAAGTTACACAAATGAAGATTTCAGTTATTCCATACCCGATACTGGTACTGTGGTACCACATGCCAGTATGCAGGTATGATTATCCAGTATTTTCAAGTACCGGTATCGGTACTGTAAAGTCTGAAAGTGTAATCTGGTACGGTAATGCAGTTTTTTTAGTTTTCACCATGGTTATCATTAAATATAAGTTTATTTAATTATATGTTTTTTAATTATAGATTTATAAAATTATAAAATTTATACGATAACTCATCTAGGCTGTTAAAATTATGTTGAGTTTTCAGAATGCAGCGTAATGTGTAAGAATACCGGTTACGATTTTCTGCCTGTGATCTCTGCTAGATTCACATAACATCTTGGTTGTAAAAACAGCTGGACTAATTTGAAAACGTTCGCAGTCAGGCGTACAATGACGTCATATAGAAGTGTAAAACACCCACATTCAACGCCAGTGGTTCTCAACCGCATGCGGCTCCCAACTATTCTTCCCGTAGCTCTCATTATCTTTTAAATATTAATCATTTTCAGTGAAAATTTTACCTTAAAATGTAATCAATGACTTGAAATTTAACGACGGACGTGCAGTAGTTGCATCGATGTCCTAATCCTCGTATCTGTTAGGTCATTTCGAGACAAGTGCAACTTTTCACTTTTTTTATTTATTTATTATGAGGCCAATGTTCAGCCTACATTTTAGTACACTGATTTTATTTTTTCTAGTAATCAGTAATCACAAGCAAGTTATCTCGTACAGTGTGCAAACTTTAGGTATTGAACAAAATATTTATATGTTAGTTCGTCAAGATAGAATGTCAAGCAAATCTTTATCAAGTTTTTCTGCTATCCGGAGAGCAGGTAAAGTCATGAAGACTGCGGTACAGATAGTCTATCGTGGAAGATTGTATACCCGAACAACTTCGTTTTGGCCCCCGGGTCGATATATTTGAGCATCGCTCTCCTGTTTATGTGAATTTTTCTTGCTGGGTTTTAATTTTATTTTAAATATATTATTTTATAGTATCTGAATTATTTATATATATATATATAATATCTTTGCTGAATTGTTGTTATTCACGTTGCTGTTGCAGAAAGAGGTCGAATTTCCTTCCAACTACTGAACCAATCATTTAACGTTGACTAAATATCTGAATTAGAATTTAACCAGTCTCTCAGACACATTTCCACTCGGACAACTTTTGAAGCATGGTTTCAAAGCACGGAATCGCGATTTTATTGTTGTTAGATTTTTTGTGCTTTAAAAATAAAATAATTTAGAAGCCATTTTGTCTTCGAGAACTATGTTATCACACAATGATACCAACAATCTGAGATAGATTAGACTGCACTTGTCAGTATATTTCAACGTGGAAGAGTAGAAAAACTCTGCAATGCGAACATTTAACAGCAAAAAACGCTTAAATTTACAAAGTTTAACCAATTCCACAATTGAATATTCTGCCAATATCATTATTCTGTTTATTCAATTCTTAAATCATTATTCATTCCTGTTTCAAAGTAATTTTATATGTTTCAAAATATTTTTGAATATAGATAATCATATATCTCAAATAAAAAAATTGTATGACAATATATCACATTCACAACAGAACCTAAGATTGCTTAGGTTCATCGGCGTTTAATTGATTATAGGATAGGATTTACATATTTACCCCGGGGGAGAGGAAAGCCGATAGGACGGCTTAATCATATAGGGCGAACCACGGCCTCTCGTCAGGTTACCATTCAATGTCGGGTATGGCGTAGGCTTACCATATGTCCCGCTTTTCAGCGTTTTGTCCCGCCGTCCCGATAAGTTAGCCAAAAGTCCCACTTTTCCAGCATAATACACAGACATGTTCTCGTTACGGTTGTTTCTGTGTAGCGCAGCGCTAGCCTACTTACTGAAGGTGAATGCGTTCGTTTCCCGCTGATTCCCATTGATGGCGGACGTATCGCATGTAAAACCAATACTAATTAGTCTAAATTCGAATTATTTGTACCGGTATCGTTAACGTCAATTCCTTCCTATTTTTCGAACTGAACCCGATATTTGGACAGAGAATATGCGCATGAACTTTCGATAACAATATGGTCAATAAAGACAGCCAGGACAGCTTTAAATGTAGGAATGTAGGCCTATGTAGTAAAATCGGTAATGTGAAGTTATAAAATCACAGCTAAGGGGTCAATAGTGGAAGAAAGAGACTTAGACCGGTGGATTTTAAATGAACATCGTTTTTAATATATATATTGTCTTGATAACGCCAGTTTTCGTATTTCTCTTGAAGAGTGATAAACAGGTTTACAGTACATGCTCCTGTAATTACTGTTAGCAAAACTTATCAATTATACCGTATTTAATAGTTTCAAAATGAGCAAATATTAAAGTCTGTGTATGATATAATTTTATTCAGTAATACGTAACGAACAAGTTATTTGAAACACGTTAAACTTTTTGTTGTTTCTACTCTTAAGCACATCACAGGTTTTACTGATGTCAATTTAGATCCCTAAAATGTATTACAAATTTATCTTGTAGTCATGTGGTTATAGTTTGGAATTCACCGAAAAGCATTTTTTAAATTAAAATCGCAATTTCGATTTTAGTTTTGGCGTCCCAATGTCTTTTACGTAGGCTATGTTCGCCGTAGGCTACTCATCTCAAAACGTTTCGAACATCGAAGGCCTCTTCGATAAGAAAGATAAGAAAAGTAGGCCGTACAAGTCAATGCAAAAAAAGGATAGAATGTAAGAAAATGGGACAGATGCATTTTTTATATCCGTTTATGAAATAAGTTTTGTCACAGAACTTTTTTATTATTAGAAAGCACACTGAAAGCGAACGAACAGCAGTTGGAATTTACAAGACAATGTCTTTAAAATCCTAATCGGAGAAAATAAATCTCAAACTCTTTCAAACAAACAAGGATTCGAAAATATACCATATATATATATATTTCCCCCACAGCTACATTGACTACTTTAAAATGAAATTATCAGATGCAATATTGAGCGAGCTAAAAACACATTCTGAAAATAATAAGGGAGTGTGCAAGTGTTAAAGAATATTGTATTGACGAACCCAGTAAGACGTAATAAAAGTGAACGCTGAAAATAAACCGATTAGATATGTGTGGGTTACACATCGCTTTAATATCATGACATGGGAATGTATCAAAAACTGTTGAAATGGAAATAAATTTTATTGGATGGAAGAACAAATTTGGGTGCTACTGAATTATGCGCACCAAGATGTCGCATAACCTGAACCCTAACCTGGTACACAACCTGAGTTCAGGTTGTGCGCCATCTTGGTGCGCATACTTCAGGAGGTCCCAAATTTGTATACTGCACTTGGAGCAATGTTTAAATGAATCAAGTTGTCTGATTTTTTTTTAAATGGCATAATAAATTGAGTTTTGGATGATTTAATAAATCGTATCATAGATACTTGTCTCTCTATGGACATCAATGATATGGATTTTGTTGAGGTCTGTTTTGACAACTCGAACCTGTCTCTGACTTAACAAGTTTAATTGAGAAATATAAAAGCCTTTCTTGAAATTGTGAGAATGTCTTTTCTTGGTATCTTGAATATGAATCTTGTATCTTTGGTATCTCGGTATCGTGAAATCGGTTGACTTGCATACAATATTAGTCGGGGCAATTTCCACTACTCTCCATTTTGTTCCAACCTTTTCTGAACTCGTGTATCTCTAAAGATATTTGTTACCTGTTGGGCATAGGAGGATTTGTGGTCATTTGTTTTTGTCATTCGTCATCATAATATTTTTCAAACAAATAGTCAATGTTTATCTTTTGATGATTAAAGTGAACTTGGACTAAAGGTCGGTACAATCCTGAATGAATTTAAATATTTAATCAAGCATAGCTTAGTAAGTATGAATATAACTTCGCCAATAAGAACTGTTATCTTTGGGTTTGAGTATAAACAATGTTTTGCTAACAGTACAAGATTTTTCTTCTCCAAAATGATGGGTTGCGTATAAACACATTGGTTAACATTTACTATTCGTTATTGCATATTTATTTTAACGTGAAAAACGTGTATGGTCCTCATGCTATGTGACAATAACGTGGTATGGAGAATATTTTCGAATGGCCCATTAGTAAAACTATGAGCTTCGCATTTATTTTTTTAACTTCAGTTCTAAAGTTTGAGGTAATGTTGAGTACAGGATGACAGGTATCAGAGAACCAAATTTTTGGGGTGTCACTTGGATATGCTTGCTTAACGTGATCCAAATCGCATACCAAAGTGACACCAATTTTTGACAACCCTTTATATGCGTTGGTCCCAATCGACTTTTTATACCCCTTTTATTATATGACATAAATAGTTAATCAATCACGCTATTACATTTCCCAATGTATCTTTAAAAAGCTTATTTTCGTCGCTTTCCACTAAAACGCGACCAAATTACGTAGCGTAAATGCGTCCGACCATATGCCGGTAAGAAGAGAGAAATTTCAAAAAAAAGTTTCTCACTTTTTACGCTGTGGTCAACAGGTGATTGATATGCGAGAGAAAGAGTTTTCATTTGGACGAGTTTCACGTCACCTTCAAAATAAGACAAGAGTGGGATTTTGAAGTGAAGTGATATTCGTTTTATCGAAGAGCATTTGATCGCGTGCTGTCTGGTATCTTTGTTTGTTTATTATGAGCCGGAGAACGTTGCTCGTTGTACTTTGTTTTCAACTAGCAACAGATCATTTGTTTAGTTTTAAGCATTGAAATATTCATACAAATAAAATTGACCTTGTAGCGAAATAAAAATTATAAATTGAAAAAATATGATGACGTCACCGTAATTAAGAACACTCGGATCAAGCATGGATATTTTAAACTCAAACATTTTGAGTTTTGAAATTGGTTTTGTTCACATGCAGACCACTATGAAATACTATTGACCCCCCAAAATAGATTTCATTTAGCCATAATCCCAAATTATGACACAGATCTGCCATTCATGACCAGGCCGATCCTAGCGAGATTGGTTTCAGAAACGATGAAACTGTAAATTTATTGGAATTATTTTAGCATAGATTTTTATTTTTTTATTTTAGGATGGCAAATTAGAAAGCAGAATGAAATCATGGCAAGGTTAGTTTTAGACTTTATATGAGTTAAATATCACAACGAGAAAAACCCGACTAAGATTGATCATTCTTTTATAGATAATAAAAAAATGTCTGAAATTACAAATCTTAGCACCAGCAAATATCCAGTTTTAATTCAATATAAAAATGTTATTCGAACTTGTTGCATAATAACTATTTCAAATAAAACAACAATTTTGTTGAAATTTGAATTAGAAAATAAAAACTGCTCTAACACATATCTTTTAACAATTTTGCAGTGATTGTAATCACAATAGTCTATCTCAAACGAGAAAACATTTTTAGCTTATACTTGTATCCCAACGCATTTTTATCGTTGCCTGCGTTAATTCGAAGTCAATAAAAACGAACTTAGGCATTTGTTCCTGTGGATTTTAATACAATCATATACGCCTTGAAAATAAATTTATGACAGATCTCATGCTCCAATACTACAACACATTTCGTGATTTTGTACAAATGAATACATTATTTTAGTATGATTTTGGTCACCATCATCCATTCTACAGTAGAGTTATATCATGAAAATGTTGTAAATAGACATCATATGTTCTGCCGAACTTTACATTTAGCGCCTTTATCGTAATAAGAAGACGCTTACTCGTTCGTTATCGGTTAAAAATTGACAGCGCTTTGAATATTCCATACTACGATTGCGACTCACGTCACGTTCAATAGTACTAATCCCTTGTCTATTCCAAACACAGGAAGTAATGCTACTCATAAGTTAACGTTTACTTGTCCAAAGCGTTACGGGCTAGACTTGGAAAGATACTTGTAATTGTACCGAGAAGCGATTGCCAATTTATACGGCATTCAGGTCATTCAAATCAATGAAGACTAGACAACTTGGACAATAAAAGTCTTATAAGTTAGAGTTCAATAATTTTTTTCAAAACAGTGACAGGGTATTTTTTAAATTGTGTAAAAGATATCGTTTCCAAAATTCAGACATTTGGCTTGCTACTAAATGTCCGCATTTTATTTTCAGTGGGCACGTTTTCTGGCACTATATTTTGGCGTATATTTAACTTGCTACTATATTTACGATGTATTTCAATATTGAGAAAAGTTGCAAGGGTGAATTCAATACTTTGTAATTAGTGATATGGGCGCCAAGTTGCCGGCCATTGAATTGAGATAAAATAGATATATATTGTTATTTAATTACATATATATAGTTGCGCACGGTCAAAGATAATTAAAGCAATTTAACTGATTTGCATGATTTCACTATAAAGTGAGCAGGATCAAAAGTACTTGTATTTTAAACGTCAACTTTTTAACTTCGTCAGATTATGGAATTATTTACATCATTTTATTTCACTATTTTTCCAGATACAAATACGTAATTAAGTGACCACGTGGAAAAAGTCTGCCATGACATTTTTGTTGTCTTTTCTAACCTTTTATGTTTTTATTTGGACATACGTACAATGTAGGCCATGCAGGACAAGTAAGTTAAAGTATTCAAACATAAGTTAAAATAATTCATTGAACTCATAATAAAGCTATTTATTATGTAAACTATTAAATGCTTTGTTTATATTATTAGCATCGGTGTTAAAAGTATATATACCAACAATAACAAAATAACATTTTCATTGCCATCGGTATATAGAAAATTTCCGAGCTTATAGGTTATGTATCTCTGTGTAATTAATTATTATACATTTCAACAATTTTAAAAAAATGCTTTTTTATTATAGTTTCAAAGAGGATTTTAAAATTCTAGATTAAATCGGATAAATATGGATAAGACAAATATGGATAAGTAAACATATAGATTTAGGTACGCTACTTTCAAATTGATATGCTTACAGGTACACACATACTTGCCAGTGCGAAGTTCAGAATTCATCAAACAGAAGAACTAGAAGAAACATCAGGAGGGATCAAACTTATCAGAGTTTTCAATTGGACAGTAACTGGCATAAAAGGTAAAAATATTATTTCCACTGACACAGTTGAGAGTCTGTGATCAAAGTTTTGTGTTGTCCGTGCTAGCGTCGGGAGGTAAAATTCAGCCCGAATAAACAATATAAAAATGCATTGACTGCGCATATTTGAATTCTGAGCAATGAATATATCAACCCATTTGTTGTAATATCACAGCAGTTAAACTTGTATTCGGACATATGGCGCAACGGATCGACAGTATCTGTGTATCTGCCCGACTATCTCGGCACATTTACACGGCCAATACAAAACCTGACTTTTGAATCCTGTTTCTACACAAGTTCTTGATTAAGTATTGAAACAATTCACTCCTAATTATTTTCATCTGGTAAAAGTACTGTGCACCGAAACACTCTTGCATTGATTTAATTTTCACTGATGATGTAATTCATTGTATTTCATATATTTCAAGTTTTTGAGAGTGAAGTCAAAGTTCTTATCTGTCTAGCCTACAAAACGATATATATTTCCCTTATGTTTAGACTCCGATTACGATGGAATTGTTGTTAGATTGCAGCGGCCAATGGCTCGTGGTGGATCAAAATTTATTCCGCCATATCAAGACTGTCAGGCGAGGTGAACAAATTCCGATATCTATATTTATCTTTTGTTTCGTTGGACACGAAATGTACCGATGTATTGTCATTATTATGTTTTTTTGTGTGTGATCTGTAGCATTCGTTTTTGTGTGCGATAACGTCATCAAAGATTGCGCGGGCCGTGAAGACTGCGGTACCGGTAGTCTACTGTGACAGATCGCATCACCGTACTAATTCGTTTTGGCTTCGACTATGTGTTGCCTGATTTTAAACTGCTCTGAGTTTTACTTGAGCCATGTAGTGAATTCTCCCTTTTCATATCGTTTCGAATATTAAAGCAAAATTGGGTTAAAAATATATAACTTTTTTATTCAACAGTGTAATCTGAGACTAATTCGTCTAGTCTAGATATCAGCCTATGCTTTCTCCAGAGTAGAAGAATTATTACTCGTAAATGATACAATTAATTTTTATTACTTGTATACATCCCAAAACATCTCGCAATCAATTCGACAAAACGTAACACGAAATACATTTTTTTTTAGCTCAACTGACCTGTGGATCAGATCATCAAACGACACTTTGTGTGGTTTCGGAGATAATATCACAAAAACAGATTGTAACTATATTTCGGCAAAAACACTAGGCGAGGAATTTTATTGTGCAGTCGATAAATATTCGGATGCTTCTTATGATGGATTGCCTTACAAATGTAGTGGAAGCACGGATATGATTTCAACGAAATATCAAGGGACTGGGAATTATTACTCTTTACCGAACGTACGAAAATCCTAGTAAATAATGTTGTAATGCATGGATATGATTAATAAGGAATTTTTCCAAAACACTATAATCTAAAATATATTCATATGATTGTGTTGCGTAGGTACAAAAATTAATATTATATATTTCATTCCTGCAAAACTACTTCTGAAAGAATCGACTTAATTTTAACAAAATCTTATCAATGCTTTAATTAATGAAAGAGTATAAATATATGACATAAATATGATATTTCAATCATTCCAGGATCGTAAAAGTATCAAGTATGAAACGGAATTCAACAAAAATTATTTGCTATTAATCTATGCTTATAAAAGGTAATACATTTTTTCAGTATCTGTTTAAGATGGACAAAGGATTTTATTTTATTTTTTGTCATAGAAGCTGAATGTTTTAAAGTAATTTTCAAATATTATATCAATTTTATGAATAAGTCTCGTTCATGCCAAATTTCTTTTAACTATCCAATTATGAGAGAATCAATTTGAAAACATCTTGCTTGCCCCAAATAAGTTCTTATTAGCGATTTTTTTTATGATAATTCGGCGATTATATCAAAACATGTTCGATTTTTTACTTTTATTGACACAAATGGAGAAATCGACATAAAATATCATATTTAAATAATAATCAAATAAATCCATATTTTTTTATTGAAAGACAATTTCTGAGCTATCGAGAAACAGCAACTGTGAAAGCAAATTGGTTTTGTGCAGAAACTGTCGCAAAAGTTAAGAAAATTGACGTTTTAGATGCAGGTCAAAAGTGTTGCGGTAAGAACAAGAATTTTGACTTAATTTTTGGGTGAAATTTAGAACTTTTATTATTTTGTTGATGGCATGCGTTTTCTTTTTGATCGAATTTGGGTATTCTTATTTAAAGGTCTAATAATACTATATTTAGTAAATAAAAATTCGTCTTTAATTTTTATTCTTTTTAATTTTTTGTTTGAACAGTAGCCGTGTTGTTTTCTGTATCGGTATTTATAAAGTACAACCTTTGCTGCAAGTAGTTGAGTAATACTGCCTTAGGTTATTATTGGTCTCACAATTGTTAAGCATCTGACCTAAATTTAGTTTTCAAAGTTACGGATACCGACAATTATTATATTCAAATAGTTGAATTCAAATACTTGCTTTAATCATGAGTTTTTTGTTTTAAAGATTGTATGGAACATCAAATATATAGTGATTCTGAAACCATTGATAACATCCAAATTTTTGGTTATCGTTCGTCATATTTTGTTTTTAACAATTTAGGCAACATTTGGTTTCAATCTTTTCCCCTTCTTACTATCTTTTTATTGAGACTCATTTCGTAAAAATGAGAAAAATAAACCTGTAAGTGGATAGTTCAATATCTTTAACAGCCATAAAATGATTAATATCTGACTTCGAAAAAGATTAAAATTAAATTTAGAATGGAACGTATCTTCGATGGCGCCAACTGATTTCCAAATGGGAGAATTCATTTTGGACGAAATGAGTCAAACCTTAAACGTGACCGTTTCATGGATTCCTCCAACTCCTGACAAATCTTTGCTTGATGTATTTCGACTCATCAGATTCAACCAGAGACCAATAGAGGGATACAATCCTCAAATGACAGTAAGTTGTATTATTGTTAACCTAAATTTCATTTGTCATAACAAGAAAACGGACAATTTTATTGGCTTTTTTTATATTTTCTTTCCCCGTCTTGCCATCCATTCGAATTTGAAGCGACCAGACCAATTACATCATGAAGTAGCATCGTGTCGATTGCACTAACTTGCATTCCATACATTTATTGTCCATTTAAATGATTCAGGAACAAGTAACTGAAGGAGAAATCGAAGGTAACGGATCTTGTTCCCGTGATAATAGAAGGCACGTTTCGACCATTTATAATCTACTACCAAATGTAAGATACTTCATGATGGCAGCAGCGTATTATAGCGGAGAGAATGGGAAAAAGTGTGGAATGGGTTCTTGTGGCGTATCGAAGAATTTCGTTCCAGGTAACAGAATGTGTTACAAGTGATGGATGGGGCAAGCTCATATTAGGATGTAGGCTACATAATAAACCATTTGACAGGCACTTGAAAACATAAATTTTATGCCATTTCATTAGTTTTAAAATTATTTGGTGAAAAGAGTTATTTATAATTGCACTGAAAATAAAACACAAATCAACAAGGTTTTGTTTTAATTGAGTTACAAATAGTAGAATATGAACAGCTGAATGATTCATTTAAAATGAGTAAAATTTTAGCTACATCCAAGTTTCCGTCATTACATCACTTCATAAAAAAAATTAATAAACTCTGTCTACACATACAGCTTAACATACTGTATGTAAAAAACACTCCTTTCAAAAACTGGAGAATGTATTCCGTGAATGAATAAGAAAAAATAAAATATTCAAATTTTATGTTTTGTTAATCAAATGGGCTCGTGCTATTATCAGAGTTTAATTTTAAAGTATGAAATGATTACTGCATTCGTAGAGCCTTTTCTGTGTAGTTGATTTGCCTATCTAGCCAAGAACATTATATGTTCACATTATGTCATTATTAAGAAACTGATTGCTATTGAGCTACATCGGGTACTGTGCATAAACTTCCAAGAATGCAAAACTTTTTATTGAATTTGATTGTAACCATGTCAAGAATTAAAATCCTACAATTTTGTATTATGTATTCATACAGAAATATGTCAGATCACGATTGCAGTGTATGTTACTCAGCTATTTGCCTCTGACAACTAAATCCTTACGTCATCGTACAATATGATTTAATTACCAATAGTCAATGTGACTCAAAAATGTATGAAAATTTAGAATTAGTACGAACCAAATTGTTTTCATGAATTGTTTACCATTTTATAGCACACTTCATAGGTGTCTTAATGTCATATATTCTAAATAATAACAATGACACAATATTACAGAATTCAACCCGTGTGATGAAAAGTGGACAAAGTGCGATGCCGATTCCAAATGTACTATTATTAACGTGGTTGACGAAGTAGTTGTTCCAGAGACCGTTTGCGTTCCCAAGGAAAGTTCTGATTACGACATGCCGTCATCGACGCAGAAAACCACGGGAGCGGTGTTGGCAGCAAAACAAATTCAAAAGATTCATAAAGTCACAAAACTACCAATCACAGAAGTCACAGTGAATACATCACCACAGACAGATACAAATCTAAATTCCGAAAGCACCGTCACTGCAGACAATTCTTCTACGAGGTTGGATAGACACGGTAACAAAAAGTCTTCTGATAATACCGTAAAATTAGTTTGTCGAAATCACTGCTCATATCATACATATAGCTAAAAATGTGACACAAATTCAATATCGAGCCGCTCGTAATTTCTCTGAGTGTGCTGTGAGTTTTCTTTGAATTTTGAAACAATCGTACACAGATGGTAATTTAATTGGACACTTAAATCATGATTTATAGTAAACAAAGACCGATCATTTTTCGTTATAGTGAAGTAAGATTTTGAACGCGACAGATTGAAAATTATATCTCTGGTTTCAATATCTATAAATTTTAACTTTCGCAGAGAAATTTCTCCAAGGAAAACTATGTCAACAAAATCCGTACTATTGTGAAGAGAATGCTTTCTGTGTTTCTGATGAAAAAACCAACGCCATGACATGTTCATGTTCAAGTGGATTAGTAGGGAACGGAATAAGCCGGGCATATAACGGTATAAAAACAAATATTATTTATTTGGCTTATGTACATCGGATCGGAGGTGGCGCATAGTTCTTGGCGTTAGAAATATGCTCGCCATTTTGTGGGATTCGAATTTCGTGGGGGAAAAATTATGTTCAAGTAAATTGGTTCACGTCTCAGCTGGTCTGCGTTACTATATCGATACCCGAGATGGACTGGTAACCGGGCGCCATATGATTGATTTGTCTTATAGGATCCCCCATAATGGATAAATATTGAATCTTGTTCTATTTTTAAAAAGTGTTATATTGTTTGCAGGGACCGGTTGTTCTGGTTGTCCAATTATAAGCGACTGTGATTTCATGGCAAATTGTGTTTCGTTTGAAAACCCTTCTGATGGATTCAAGTGTCAATGTGATGAACATCACTACGGCGACGGGTTCGTATTTACTTCTTACTTTTTTTCTTTTGTGTGTTTTGTCAACCTAATCCAAACAGAAGCTAAAAGAAGATATGTAGGAATTGTCTGAAGCACACAATTCTCCTGTCTTATAGGTGTTGCTGTGCATATCGTTTTGAATGAGCCATGGCTGCATCGCCCGCAGTCTGATATGTCCAAATCTTGTTCGGTTTGTCTCGGTCGTAAATATTATGAAGTGAGGCCGTGCCAAATTTGCAAGGAAATGCATTATCCGTTTTAAACCACGAGTCATCGCATGATGTGAGCTAAGCTTTGTGTAAAAGACGTTAGAAACTAATATAGTAATAATACGTGATATGAGCAATCCTGTATCTCTGACTTGACGTCGAATAAACATACGTTGTGATCTTTGTACAACCAGTAATCTTTATTAGAATTGGTTTAGCACAAACAGGTTAAAGACAATATGTTCTGTGTTGACATTCTGTCGATAATTGTTTTCCGAAACAATATGAATTAGATATTCTGCAATTGAACCGTATGGTTGATGTCGCTCTATTTTTTATTTTATTGTTGTTGCTAATTAAAAAAAACAAATCACCATTCTGTAGTTCTGGCATTCACCCGATTCAACAATTCAACGATTCTCGTAAGCGATCCGACTTAAAATTCCTTGTGGGAGTATTTTTATTGTGCTGAAATAAACGCATCGCTTTTAGGCCTTTTCACAATAGAAAATAACATTATTTTGAGAGATAGTTTTGTCTACTATGTAGATGGAAGAAAACTTAAAAAACTGGAATGTAATGGATATGAACACAAAAACCGACAACATGCTTTAATTTGTTATATATATGTATCATCACATTTTCAGGCTAAAAAGCGGTACCGGATGTAGATCTCGCCCAAAACGAACAGCAACAATAGTTGTACCCGTCGTTCTGCTCGGCCTCATCATTTTTGCAATTATTCTGTGGTGTTTGTGTTTTTCTTCTCGCAAGAAAAGCAGAAGAAGCAACAATATAGCACTCTAACTTATGTTGTTTAATTTGTAAACAAGCATTTGAAAACTTAAAAAGTTAACGTTTTATTGATGCTTCTAACACTTTGAAGTATGAATATGTATCGATTTGTAATCTTATAATAACAATTTGTGTGGAGATCGAACAATATGTTGACCCTCTTTTAATTAACGTTTTTACAAATGAGAAACTTTACTTTGAGAAGCATATGCAAGAACAGTTATTTCATTCACTATTCTGTACATTTTATTACATTTTATGTATTTTTTTTTGCATCGCGATGACCCCCAATGCCATATTCTTCATTTTTTATGCTAACACCTGCGTTATATGCAGTTTATATAAAGCACTTTCAAATTGAGAAAAATATTCCAAATAAGACATTATGGTCAAGGCCGGTGGCCGCTGTGGACCAAATACTTCCATAGGACCCGCGCTAATTGTAGGTTTACCAAATTAATAAATTTCACCATTATAAATTACAATAAACATGTATATTGTGTGTTCTTATTCTGCACACACAAAGTTATTTTTATTGTAATTTTAAACTCAGTTAAAAAATACTAAAATATAATTATAATTTACTCTCTAATACGAAATTCTGAATTTTAATTATTATTCTTATAATTCCTGCCTGGGCCCCGCGCAATACGTTTGCCACAGGGTTTTTATTTCCTTTTTTGAAGGCGTATTCCTTCTAAAAATACTACAATTGTTGCTTGTTAACGTTTGCTTTACAAGTATATGCATGGTAATTTTATGATTTTTCAATTGAATTAGAAAACCATTTGACCAAGTATAAAATACGTGACTCGATTTTATCATAAAACTGTTACTTGAAGTTTCATTTTCTGAATAGATGTTCAAAATTAAGATGATGTTGTTTTCTACAGAGAGTTTGTACAGCCGGCAGATGTCGCTCGTGGTATGTTGAGGTTTCACTTTTTCGCAAGTAGGCGAAGTAGACTATCCCTATGTCGATTTTGATTTTTTGTATCGAAATGGAAAAATCAGTTTGCTCAACAATAACATTCATTGAAGAAACATATCCAAGCATTAAACAAAGCATATGAATCAGTAAATCACTGTGCCGAGTTTTGACTGTTGTAAGCGTCATGAATGAAATATATATATATATAAATAAAACAAAAACATTTCATCTATAAATGTATTGGTCGTTGTATTTAGAAGAGACTTATGCAGTCGCATAAACTTTGCCAGCAGTACCAGGTATTCAGATCATGCCGGTGAGTGAATAATTTTTACTGGTTATTAAGGTATTGAAAAATAATGGGGTCAAAAACCAAGACTAGAACCACGGTCCGTGATTTTGATTATTCCTTTTTTCAGATACATGCTGTTCGCGGCATCGACCCGGTGCAAATGAAAAGAACTCGTTCGGGTATTACGTAGTTGATGCATTGATTGGATTTGGAATGAGGTATAACAAACAAGGTAATAATATGTTTATTGTTTATAGAATATTGAAGTTCTAATAATAATATTATGGTACTCCCGAAGTATGTGAACCAAGATGGCGGACACCGGAAGGTAAGATGTGTACCAGGTTAGGCCGCTCATGTAATTTCAGGTACAAATAATACGGGAGATACATTTGACTAGTCCCCGAACTCGGATAAATATGTGAAACATACCATTAAAGAGATTTTCAATTGAACTTGGACTTTCCTTTTGTTTTATTTGTACCCGTTATATCATAAAACCAATCCTGGTGAGAAACATATTCTAGCTATATGAAACTTTAAGAGTGTTTTTAATTTGTGTAATAATTTGGATTTCTTTTAAAAACTGTGCAATTTATATATATATATAATATGAGACACCCTGTATATATGAACACTTAGTCAAAAATATTACCGGTATTCTAATATACAAAAACAGGTTATACCCATACCACATTTGTCAAGTGTTAGTATTTACAATGTAATCTCGAAAGATTTTTCAAGTGATGTTTCGCACGACAAGGCGCCCAAAAAATAACCTCCTTTTGAAAATAATCATAAAATTTACACGCATTTTAATACATGCGTCACACACAGTCAGTATTTTAAATTACATCAAAAGCGAATCGCAATAACTATATTTTTGAAGTTCTCAAATCAAAACAACCCCAGTTAATATGTTTCGCTTCTAGTTACAATGAGGCTAAATATAATGATGAAAATTACGTTTCTGGGGTGAAAGCTTAGTCTGTTACGGGATAATGGGGTAAATGTAGACACAGCAGACCCAGTGAAGCATCTCGTCGATAAGTAACCAAGTCATGCGATCGGGTCCCAGCATTAAATAAGTAGAGAGCTTAGTAGTAGCTATTTTAGTTCGCGAGGTATTTAATCTGACATATATGAAGAAAGGTAGCATTTTTGCTACCGTTTATTCGTTACAACCATTATATTCATTTATAGTTAGGAACTTGAATTTTGTGATGTAAACTAGTATGTGGAAAAATCGCTGATAACGTTACAATATATATATTCTTCAAGCATAAATTATATTCATGTGGTTTAAATAAAGAGTAAAATCTGAGTTTGCTTTGTTTCATTCAATAGCTCCACGTTTTGCGGAGTCATTCTTCGGCAATTGTTGACTATATTTAAAAAAATATCAGTCATTTGTGTGGAAAACATTAGTAACTTTATAATATTATGGTTCGTCGTTGTTACAGAAACGCTCAATAATGTTGGCTTCAATTCAAACCGATTTTTTAATTTCCATTTTAAAATGTCGATTACGCTATCTCGCTTTGGTAAATATTAAATATGTATACGTATATCTGTTTTTTAAATAATGAATAAAAATTATAATTTGGCAAATGTATGTGTTATCCCGGGTAGCTTCCGTAATTGAAAAATACAGTATAGTTTGGCGTGAAGCTGGCATCAGTGTAACGATTTATCGTTCCTCTATTCCCAATAAAAGACAAGAAAGTTAAAGCCTATTCGTAAACATTTATATGATCTGTTATGATGAAATTACGTTGCACAATCTTCATTTTTATTTTGTAACTTCAATACCTATTAAAAAAAGTTCGCTTTTACAAAAACTTCAAAAAACTAAAAAAATTTTCTCTTTTTTTCTAAAACTGTGAATAAATGTCGAAACTGAGAACAAAAATTCCCGCACAATATACACTGAACAAATCGTAAATTGCATAACAAATTTTAGGTCTTAAAATAAACATCATTTCAGTCAAAATACACTTTTTACCAGATTATTTATACTCGTGTGAAAATTACCATAAAAACATTCGCATTTTGTGCTTCTTTTTAAAAGTGCTACTCGACGAATGATGGATTGGTGAACTTAGCGACCGTATAATAATAATAATAGTCAATTCGCGTATTATTTTCTTATAAGAGGTTATGTTTGAGATATGACGAAATTATTTCTATTCATTCGATTTGTATGCGGGCAGAGCAAAAAATAGTAATCGTACGAATATGTGATCATAACATATAACTGGGCTTGAATGTTAGTAAGTAGTATATATGGAGCAAGTAGTAGGCAGAATATTACAATATAGCAGCTTGCTAGAAATGATCACAGGAGAGGTTTATTTTATTAACGACTGAAAAAATCATTATAGTTTATCTTTGCAAATGAGTATTTAAAGTGGCAAACTATTTGAAATTGGTGATAATAAACAGACTATTATCCAAATTTATGAGGAAATTGCGTTTTTAATTAACAAATTTCATAAAATAAATAAATTATATCGAGTGAACATTTTATGACATTTCGAGTTTATGAAATTAGAAATACAATTAGATTTACTTGGGCTACATTTCAATGTGTCATCTACTATAAATGAGACCATGAACTCCTTTTGCCCTGACCTCTTTTTTGAAAATTTTGAAATAATTTTTATTGCTGCTTGGTAAGGCGTCTTGTTCTTATTGCGAAACCATTATGAGAAACTAATTTGGCGTCGACTGTAATATTTATTATCTTTAAGGAAAATGGGCCAGTCAACTACCATTTTTAACTACTGATTTACGAGGGCATGGTGTATTGATCAAGGATTCAATAAAAAGATATCTACAGTAATTCAGTTTTAAAATCTTTATTTTTTAAATTAGTTCCGTTTTTGGAATAAAAACGAGCTGAATTTAATTTTACCTACTTGAAAGCAGCAGTGCATGACAGCAAGTGATCAGAGGATAATAAAATTTTTGGATTTAACATTGCTTCAAAGTTTGTATAGATAATATATACCAGTTCATTTTGTTATTTTTTCAGTAGGAAGACATGTGAAGTCACGGGTTATATCCCAGTAATCGAGCAAGAAAAACATCATTTCCTATTTTTACGCGATCATTTTTCCACTTGACTGATATAGTCAAAGTGCGTGTCCTCTCGGTCAGAACGTGAGTCGTTCGACACATTTTTCGATCTAAGATGTTTGTCGACGCCAAATAGATTAGACTTCCTTTTGTCTGTCGCACGAATAGGCTCAGGCTATACTTTGTTCTCAACAGTGAAAAACGAACGAAACGGTTTGAACTTTTAGATGTATTATTAGTTATAACCGGAAAGCGAATATCGTCATATCAGAACGTTTTATAGCAGGTTAAAGGCTGTATTTTAAAATAAATTTTAGCTTAGATTAAGGGATAAAATGAATTTATAGTTGACTTGAAAAAGTTTATAGAAGAAAGCTAAGAAAAATAGCCCAATTGTTCAGATTAGACAATTTTAGCATTCAATCAAATCTTCTGCTTGAATTTCGTATATTTCAGGGCACATTGTCCAACCAAAAAATCTTTAGTATAGGAAAGTTCCAGCCGCCAAATTTAGTAGTATATTACTCTAAAGAGGTAGATTTTGAATTGATGGAGTGAGGCATTCTACGTAAAAATTTACCCTGTTTGATTCACATATCATTTATATGACATTGCTTTGTTCATTTCAAGTCCCAACTGTATGTATTTGAACATCTTACAAGTTTTGAATCGAAAAAAATAAAAATATATATGAGATGCTACAATTTTGTTTATCATTGATATCTAGGTTAAATATACCAGATGTTTTGTTAGCGAGTTTGTGTCGTTAATGAATTTCTGCAATTACAAAAAAGTAAATCTCAATTTTAGGGAAAACACGATCCTGAGGCAGTCTGAATGTGAACTTGAAGTGTAGTTTAAATAAACGATTTAGCAAACCACAAAACAATCTTTAAAATTGTATTCCTAAAGGTTTTAAAGTTTGGAAATAACCAGTTTTATGTTCTAGCTAGCGTGCGTTAAAAAGCCTGTTATTTCATCATCAGTAAAGCAATTTTAGTTTAATTAATATGTTTTTACAGTTTGCAATTTTGACATGTTGCATAAGACTGATTAGTCGTCATTGATCGGTCAGTTGTTTCGCTGTGATTTATGAAATTGTAATTATTAGGCGTTTTCTAATACGTCTAGTCATTTTAATGATTTATTACGTTTACTGACAATAAAAGTCAAAATATACTAGGAATTTCTTGTGATAAATAAAATCTATATAATACTAAAGTAAAACCAGAGCATTAGTTAGAGGATTCAAACGCCTTTGACCCCATTGATAAATATTTTGAGAAAAGTTATTAAAATCGTATTTTGAAGTTGATTTATGGCATCCTGAATCTTTAAAGGTTAACTCGTTTTTTGGTTTCGAATATATTTCCCAAATATTTATATGTTATTTCGTAAGCAAAATTGAATTTTTTGGTCATTTGTGCAAGTCTGTATTACAAGCACTTTGGTACATGCTAAAAATCTATTCGGAAATCAATAGTACTATGAAAAAAATTTGGACAATTTTTTTTTGTAAAAACGTCTTTTCGAAATATTTTACATGGGAATCGCTGATTAAAAGTTTTTATTATTCCAGAAATAATGCTTTTTCACTGTTCCTATCAATAAACATAAGTCAAATTACAAATGACGTACTCTCTTATGAAGCAATATTTCAAAAATCGCGTTCATTGTGGTCAATGCTAGTTTACTTAATAGCTTGGGTATATTCGACCAGTTCAAAAAAGAGGTCTTATATTTATACATTAGTATATTGTACTATTGAACAATAAGATCAATAACTTTGATTTTACATGATTTGAAAAAATAGAGTGTAGGCGAGACAAGAGAAAATCTATTATTAATTTACTGTCGCAAAGTACGTCTGAAAACTAAATATATCAGTCAAACGCAGACTCTTAAAAGAGAAAAGCGTTATTTTTTAACAAAATTATATATTTCCTAGGCGTCATTATTTGGGATAATATAGCTCTAGGACTATTGACTGACTTAACTTACCAACAGTCAATGAAAGTTGACTCCGACTATTACTCAACACAGAAAGTTATATAATTACTATAATATAGAGTTATATGTTATATTTAGCAGAATGACCAATGATATATAGTGTAAAACCAATTTTATGAATATGAACAGGAAAACTTAACAAAGTATTTCTAGGACTAACACGCTTTGAACAAAATAATACCTTGGTAATGAAACCTTGTGGCTAGTATAATTCGCGTGTTGAAAACGTTAATTAAAAATGGTTGCTCTTCAAGGTATAATTACAGTGGCGCCAAATTCATTTATCTCAATGCTTTCAAAAGTATTAACTTGGGTAAGCATGGTAAAGGGATATAAACCTTCATATCATACTTGAGTAGATATAAAGCATTGTCGTTTCCGGGTATTTTATGTGAAAGCTTTTTAGTCAGGAAGCTGAGCCCTTTACAGGTTAGCAGTCAACGTCTTAGCCTGTATTCTGAACTTAACTTAAGCCTAAAACTAAGCTCATAAGTTTTATCTCTAGCACATTATTCGCAACTCTTGAAATGAAAGCCACAAAATTGCTATTGGGTTGGTATAAGCTTCAATTTTACGTTTGGATGCACCTAATACTACCGATTACACTCCCACACCCCAAAAACGATAATGGACGTCTTATGCCGTGGATTAAAAAATTATAAACGAATCTATTTGATCATATACTTGGCCTTGAACCGAGATAAAATGTCATATGTGCACTAGACTAGATCAGTCTTCGTCAAACTCTGCAGAACGATTTACAACTGTAATTGGTTTTTGTCAATCACCTCGCGATAAAACAGTCAAGAAGCATTAGAACTACAATTAAGAATACTGAGGAAACGGACCATTTCGAAAATTCAAACTTTGTAGGACAATACCACGTATATTGCGCACAAATTTCAAGCAATTGTATGGTGTGCAGTCCTTTAAATGAATCCAGCTTGCACCATAGGTAGAAAGGTTCAACATAAATATCGAATCGTAAATTACTTTTGAAAATTTGTAGGAATTTTTAGTCATGGAATCTGTAACTTTAGCAGACATGTGGAACAACAAAGTGATATGGTTTGAAATATTATTACCTCAAGAAAACCTTTATTTATTTTAGAATACCGATTAGAAAGATATTGATTTACTTAGTGAATAGAATTAATTTGTATTTTTTGTAAAAGTTTTTTGACATTCATAGCAAAGTTTTCGAGCATACGCTTGCATTAATATGGATGTGAGTAATGATTTTACTATAGCTTTACTACTAAAATGCTTCTTTATGCAAATATTTAAACTTGTAGAGTTTGGTTTTGTTAGGTTTATGAAAATATTTTTTGAAATAAACAGATAGTCTATTTTATCCACAGTAGATTTGTCGTTACATAGATATCATTTCGTAGTAAAGTGACATAGTTCAGCATGTACTCGCGCTGATCGATGGCTTAAGAGATATTTTATTACAAATTTTTATATACCTTGGCCAAATGAATTGGCAACGTTTCATTGCGTTATTCAATAGAAGACGAATAGTCGTCGTGCAAGGTGACAGTTCCGGTGTGAACTTGTTGAGTCTATGACTTCATGTGCATGAGAGTGGATTTATATATAGACAAAATAAACAGGATAAGATCGTGAAATATATGAGAAAATAGAAATAAAGAGCTTTTTGTACACTTTTTTCCAAATTTTCAAATAGATCAATTAAGGTAGCTGATTTGCAGTATCAAATTTGATATGTTATATTTTCTAGATTTGTGAGAGTGTGTTATAGGCTTATGCAGTTCACTTATATATTATACAACTGATAATGTAAAATGTCTAAAGTTTGTTTTTTGAAACTGCTCTCCTTTATATGGATGCCCATCGTCTTCATTTTTCTTCAAAAAGCGGTCACTGGACAACTAGTATTCATGCGTACATGCAGTAGCAGTGAGAATATTTTGTTTTTTCTTACTTTGACAGCCTTCAAACATAATAAAATTGAATCTGACTTTCTCTTTGTCACCAAACTTTGGTTTGGAGTCAACAAATAAAACCTCATCTAAAAAAAAAGTTCCAAGCATGGGGTGTGCAATAATCTGGTACCTGCGAGTAATTCCAATCCATTTGCGTTGCAAAGCCTAAACCTGAGCCCATTTATTAATTATCTTTGCCTACGACGTTAGTTACGATGGCCTAACAGCTTGTGGGAAGCGAACAACACATGTCATAGGATCAATAACCATTTTTGTACCTGCAACTACCGGAAAGCCTAAGTTAAATAAAGGTGCGGCCCGCGGTTTCATCCAGCTTTTGGTTCCATATGAATGTTAAATGATTTTTACGGAATACATGCTCCTACAAATATTGCTATCATAGATCGATTTGGCTTAGTTGAATTGCAAAGTAACTCCTCGCAAGTGTGAATGCAAGTTTCATATTTGACGAAGATGGCAAGCTAATATTGTCAGTTTGATGGCTGGAACTCATGTTGTATTAAGGTTCTATATTCTTAAGCTACGCATTTTATAACGTAATCAAGCTCCCTCCAAATTGTGTCACCCACCATGGCTAACAACAACTGGATCCAATGCATTTTGTTTTATTATTTAACTGAGAGAGATTGTAGATATAAAATTGAACGCACCGTTTTGAGAACTTGATCAAATTTTGGAAAATTGTTGTTGTATTTGTTACATGTTTTATGACACTTATAACACCAATGGTCTTTTACGCCATTGATCAATTCGAATTAAAAATCCTATAATAACATATTATACAATATTTTCAAATAAATAAGTTGACGCTGATATTAAAATTTGATGCACTGATGTCACTTTTATCATGATTTTTTCATGTATCATCTTTCTAGCTTGAAGAAGCCACTCATACGGCGCATGAGTCAAAACGCGAAATCGTGAAATTATACTTATTTGTTTCTATTACCTCACGCCTACTCAAAATATTTTATTTCCGACAAAATATTTCCCCCAGAAGCTTGGTCATAAAATAGGTATGATAATATCAACCATAAAAGCTATATTTCAGTTTAAAATATCATAAATTTTACCTTGATTTCTAGGTAAAGTAAGAATCAGAGATACAGACATTGAAGATATCACTTACGAACCAGTTCCAGTATTCAATCAAAACAACGACAGTTTTCAATTGTTTATATTAATCAAATGGAATGTAATTAAAGGTAAAAATCCTAACCTGTTCAAAATTTACCTAAACAACAATTTAAGGTTCATAATTGCAGGGTTGAAAATTTGTAAATTTATATTCCAAATTGCTCTGAATATTTTTCTATATAATAATCATCTGAGAGCAAATACAATTTTTTGTAGCATGAGAAGCTTTTCGATTCGACCTGGAAAATTATTTTCTTTAAATAGAAAAAGGATTACTCCCGTAATATGTGAACCAAGATGGCGGGCATCGGAACTTAGTATGTGTACCAGGTTAGGACTGGGCCATAATTTCAGGTACAAGTACTACTGGAGTCACTTTGCTAGTTACCGAACTCGCAATAGTAATAAAATAAGGAAAATTGGAATAAAATTATGGCCTAACCCTAACCTGGTACACATACTACGTTCCGGTGTCCGCCATCTTGGTGCACATACTACGGGAGTACCTGTTGAGTAACAGTATTGAACACCACTTGATTTGACTCATAATTTTCTTCTCAGGATCATTAAAACCATTAGACGGATTCGCAGTACATTTTCTCGACGATAAAACAAAAAAGAATTACTCGGAATCCTCTCCAAATATACCAATTAACTCGACATCATCATGCGTTGCAGGGTAATTTTTACAAATCTTTTTGAAAGTTTGTTGAACCTGAATAGGTCAAGTCCGATTAGATTGTCGAATAACGCCGATTAGTACGATGTACACTCAAATTCTGAGAAAAAGGCAAAGACTCGTAAATAGGAATAAGATTTGAATTTACCAGGTCTGTTTACAGTGGGTGGGTTCATACCAGTTTTTTGAGTACTAAACTGTTTTTGTTGCGGCGGGGACACTTACAATGAGGTCAACAATTAACAACACATTGTGTATCAATTCAGGGGAAGTCATATGTGGGTAAGAACGGAAAATCGAACCGGATGTGACACGGAAGTCAGTCATGAAGTTTCCGGCTGTAATTTGGCGCCAGTGGATTCTTGTCTCTGCACACTACCTAATTGTTCCCTATACACACTTGGTTATGAGTTGCCATGTACAGGAACTCCGCAATTTTTGGAATCTCAATATCACCAGACAGTACCACCTGTGAGTATCAAGCTTTTTCAATAAGATCTTTTTTTAAAACTATCCGATTCGCCTCATCTATTTGATTGAGAGTTATTACCTGATCGGAACACCGACAAAAAACTCAAAATAATTACAGCAGTATGTATCATATGCGATTAACGCTTTGCTTGTTTCTGGTCGGTTTGGTCAATGCTTTATAATTGAATTACATTACAATCTTTTCACCATGTGTTTTTATTATCTTACACTGTATGTTCTTTTATCCAAATGTAGTAAACAATGTTCTTGGTATTGCTTTTATACTCATCTTATGTCAGACAATCGAAATAGTTTATTTATCTACTTTTACAGACGGTTACAGAATTGATGTATCCCGCAGAATTCCACGTTCAATATGAATTTTCAATCACTCCGTACTACAGGTGAACTACAACTACACAATAATTATAATCTATTGGTTTTAAGACATGGATATTTTATTTTAAAACACTTTAATTTTGTTTATATTAATAAAATCACAAATATTATTGATTTTTCACAAATCTATTTTCAACCTATTTTTTGCAGAGAATTCATTGATCGTTCTCCGTTTACGGCAGTAGTAGGAAGTATTGATAATTGTGTTGATATCTTGGAAAAAGCTACAAAAAGTCGGGAAGCAGCAAATGCATTATGTTGTGGTATGACCTCGTTTATGATAAGCCCCAAATAGCAGTAAATTTTACAACACCTAAAATAATTCACGACCAGTAAACTTATTCTAGATTTCGTTACGTTATAAGTAAATATTCTACTTCAAACAACTCATTACCAGCGTAGAGGCCGCAAGAAATTTGATGTTTTTCTCTCAACTGACTTGGCTTCCGTTTGTTAGTCGCGATGAGTCCAGTCAGTATTAAATATTGGAGACAACAAAAAAATATAAGCATTGAGCTCGATTTTTATAATTAAGTAAAAGCAGAAAAGTTATAGAATTTAATGAATTTTTACAAATTTTAGCAACGAAAGTTCGTGAATAAGCGTAAGAAATAGAAGTAAGTTGCTTCCCAGAGAAGTTCATTCCATCGAGCAAAAAAACAACAACATGAAGCGTACTGAAGCGAAAGCAAATGACAGTTTTTTATTTTTAAATGACAGTGAGAATACTCATTTTACATTGAAATGGCTTATTCGTGAATTTGAAATAATTCAAAATGGCAAATTTAAACTTTTCAAGATGGAATGGCATTTCTCGAAGAACAAATAACTTTCAGAGTGGAGTGTTTATTTTATTTCGCATGAGATTGTAACTTTTGTTAATTGACGTTTCGTTTTAATTTTATTTTTTGACTTGAAAGATTATATTGATTATTTAACGTTATGTTTTCGACAATATTTTACGTCCTTCGTTGGAAAGAAATCTAGCCTCTCTCTCTTCTTTTGAACCTTTAGTCCATAATAATCCATATAAATAAATGGCTTCAAATCAATTATGCAAATTTCTATTTGCCAAGTTAGATCGATACAGCTAGCGTGTCCGGCCGAACGCCGAAAACGTTTTCATGAGTCTTGACTCTTAAGGGTCTAAAAATCGTTTCAAGCTAGGAAAAATTGCTATGTATGATACAAAAAGATGTTTTCATTTTTTTCACATTTCAAAAGGGGGTTCGACCCTCAAAACCACTACCCTGGCTACGGCCCTGAGCGTACGTACGTTGCTTGTTCTATAAAACGTATGGCTTGAAATCAAATTTTGCACTTTTTCGATTGCTGCTTCCAAGCTCAAACACGCATCAATATCAAGCCTTACAGCCTGTATTCTAAGCAAAGTTTAGGGTTCTGGAGTGGTTCTACATAAAAATATTTTGATTGTAACATTGAGGTATTTTCGTATGTTTTATCAGATTTTTATTTTTTTTTTTCAGAACAAGGAGCACAGAATTTGGTGGCTCACAATTTAACATTTTCCAAATCAGTTCCAATATTTACGAAGGAAGCCAACGGTACATTAGTAAATAAAACAGTTACATGGTTACCTCCATCAACAAGATCGCGAGTTCTTAGTTATCATATTCTCATTGTACCAGTTGCAAAATACACTGTAAGTATTTTGTACGCTATCTCGTTATTTAATTCAACTTTTCGTATTTTGATATATATATATATATATAACATTATCTTATTATACGATGATCTGCTGACGTCTTAATATAAACATTATGCTAATAACTGTACTATCAGAAAAAGTTGGCTCTCTGATATACAACATATCTCGAATAAAACGAAAGACGATTAACCATATAGTAAACAACCGACTCTGGTCTTGGTAGGACCGGACACGAAGATAGATGAACCGATAATGTTAAAAAAGGCGTATAAAGATTGAAAATCTTTCTAATAGATATAGAAAAATATAATGAATATTCTCTGTGTTATTTAAGTAAAACGTGTTCATATCGCTTATATATCAAAGTTTAACTTGCATTCGGTGTTCGGCTACCGTGACCTTGTCGCTTGTGTCGATTTAATATTTTGCCGACTCTGTAAAAATTCAGTGTTCTCTGTTGCGACTAAATCACATTTTATTTTTGCTACAGGAAATTCTTAATATTCCGTTGTTCGACAATTCAACCAGTAAAGAGGACAACGTAACAGATATTGGTGTTGATAATTGCACATTCACAACATTGTTCAAGCATCAAATAACTATTTATAATCTAGAACCCAATAAAGCATATGGTATACGAGTAACTCCTGTTTTTGAAGATACGGAATTGGAAGCATGGTGCGCCAGTGCAAAATGTAATGCAGAAAAAAAATTTTTCGTCGAAGGTACGACATTTTTTATTTATATATTTAGAGTTAGGCTTAGTAATAGATATTTGGCCTCAAAAGCTATTTGAGTACTTTCCTCCGTGGAGGGATATTGCTCGGTCAAATAGATGTAATTCCAACCTGTTTAAGTATATCAGCATATAGGACATTATGTTGCAATGTTCCAGCAAAGAACAAATAAGGAACGTATATTCATATAACCAAAATCTACAAATTTCCAATTTTGTAAATTGGGGCAGTGTGAACTGAATTTGCATAAAACACAAAAAGAAAGTTTTCTAACTTTTTTAACACGATTCTAAATATCAAGCATTAAAAGCTATGAACTCGCCAACTTTTCGTTTCTAACTTGCATTGTCCAGGGAAAATTGTAAATAATCATAATCAAATACTGAAATCTGCACTAGTATTTTCTATTGTACTTCAATATAGCGTGTAACTATGGCTGTTGCTAGCAAATATTTAATTTAATTCCTGGCATATAAATACGCATTTTGTATTTTGTATGTTTCAAAAAATAAGGAAACAAAAGCATACTTGTCTAGCTATATGATTTCAAAGCCCAATTATATTTAAATGAATTTAAATAGACAAAATAGCACTTTCATTACTTGATCGAAAAGACCCAGTATCTTTGCTGATGGCAACTGCAGGGCACAACGACCAATATTGTATCATTCGTTTTACAGCTGTGGAAGATTTATGCAACGAGGACTATAATTTATGTGTGCCGTCAGCAACTTGCTTACAACAACCAGATCCAAATACTGGCCGAGGAGCGACTTGTCTTTGTGACCGCGGCCTCGCGGGAGACGGATTGGTCCCTGCTATTGGAGGTAATATTTTATTCATATTTTCATCGTTCCCATATACATTATACCTACATACTTTGCCGGCTTTTTGACGGGTAAGTCTACCATTATAGATAACTAAAGGGTGTTTATGCAATTCACTTGTGGCCTGAGCCCGCCATGGGGTTTGCATTAGGTAAAGTACTACTGTGTACTACTGCTACTAAGGTACTACTACTGACACAGACACGCATATCTCATAAAATAAAGAAACTCTCACGAATGTTGAGTTGCTAGTGACGAACTAACGCTGATCGATGCGTAGAAAAAAATGCGTAAACCAACGCAATAGGGGCAAACTTCCAGTGGTGGTAGACGTAATCTGACATTAATGAAAACACTAAATGTTTCACGTCGAGTATACAACTAAAATATAGAATGATGATATTGAATAAAACGACAGTATGACAGAAGCATAATTCACGCCATAGAATGCCATATAGTTTGAGACGTTTCCTGTTTGTAATAATCGGAATTCTTTCCATTTATTACATTCAATTTATTACACCCAATTTATCACATCCCCGGGTTCAACACTGTCGCACCAACATAACTGGGTCCAACTAACTATATCTTAAGCAGAGCCTTCATATGTAGATATTCAGTATGATCAACTAAGCATATAGATTTATACATAATGCGGGATCAATTGAATGAATGTGAAAAACAATCTTACTTTTACCAGGAGGATGCTTTGAACTTAATGAATGTCATACAGATAACACATCGTGTGTTGCCGAAGCTATATGCACTGACAGAAAAGCACCAGAAACGGGAGTCAATTGTACTTGTAGTTCCGGATATGATGGTGACGGGTGAGTACTTTTTTGGTGACCGTACATTTGAACCCATGTACATTTGAACCCATGCGTATATCCACGGGTTCAATCTATATGCGGGTGCTAAAACCCATGGGTTAGGGTTAGTATGGGTTTAACTATCCGTGAATCAAAAAAAAATTCTATAGGTGCAATAGCATACAGGTGCAATTGTCATGGGTTCAAATGTCCGTGGGTTCAAATGTAATGGAACCCTTTTTTTTTTATTCCATGAGTTCGTTTGTTCAAACTAAAGTTAATGTTTTTATTTCAAGTTTAACTGATGGGTCTGGTTGTCGATCAAGATCACTATTGGGTGTTGCAATAGCCCTCCCACTGATTGTAATCATTGTAGTTGTGATTGTAATACTAATATGGATCAAAAAGAAACGAGAAAATGACAAGTTGAAAAGGTTACTGGAAAAATACGTCCCAGACACTGAGCATGGAATTCTTATTTCATATTTTAATCCCGGATCAAAAGAAGTGAGTAGCCTTGTTACGTTTTATTTTTTTATTTTTCACTTTGTTGCCGCTATGATACACATGAGCGAAGTTGTCTGGCAATTCCATAGTCTCGTAATTGCGTTGTCTGGAAAAATTTTCAATTTCAAAGTTTGTAGCTCCAACTAAAAATTGCTGTTTGTTTAAGAGTTTTGTTCAACGAGATATTGTAGTTTGACACAAAAATGAGAAAACTCTTGATGAAAAATTCCCTTCTTCCTAATATATAAACGATACACAAAATTTACAAGACAATCGAAGAATTTGAGGTGTTCTTCAAATTGACTCATTATCACCAAATCGTAAAAAGATTGCATTCGGCCATTTCTTTATTATATTTAAAGCATGAAGGACCCTGGGCTCCGACTTTTGGAGATCAATGGGAAATAGACCGATCAAATCTGCATTTTGGCGACGTTATTGGAAGAGGAAATTACGGTGTTGTTCATAAAGCATGGCTAAAACCAAAAAACCCTAAGGGTAATGATTCAGCGAAGAACGGAAAAGTAGTCTCTCGAAATGGTGACTATTACAATCCGATTTCATCCAACTCAACGGAGGATGATAACTATGAAAATGCGGGAGAAGATGATTCGTTCGTGGTGGCTGTGAAAAGTCTACAAGGTCAGTAATTCTTAGTCGAAAAAGATTCCTTTTTACATGACTAATCAGTACTATCTAGGCATGTAAGAGAAACGCACGTCAACAAGATGTAAATTTATTTTCATAGCTCGTTAAATATCAAATAATTCATATTTCATTTTTATAAAACGACGTCCTAAACAAAGCATATTGAACCATATAATTACAACGAAAACAAACAACCACGTTCCCAATAAGCGAAATAATTTTGTAAATCGCCTTCAACACTTGGGTGCAGTTTCTTGGTAATTCTGTGGCTGTGTAATGTGCTAATCCTTTTTCCTTAGCAAATCTATGCTAGTTCTGTGCGAAAGTTTCGATTTATTTTTATGAGTTGCCATTTTCATTTTTCAGAAAGTACAGATAATCAGAAAAATCTAGAGAACTTCCTAATGGAAATTGCATTTATGCTCAATATCAATCACCATGAAAATATAGTGAAAATACATGGATGTTGCACATCAGAGGAACCAGTTTATTTAATCGCTGAATATCTGCAATATGGTGATTTGCTTCACTTTCTGTGGGACGCAAGAGAGGTAAAACACTAATATATTTATATATATATATGTCAAATCCGTCACAAACACTTCTCAATATAGCTGCATATAATTTCTTCCGTCTACTGGGATTCAAAATTTAAAAAAAAACTGGTTCTACTTGTATTGAAATCATTGACAATAAGGTTTCCTAAATTCAGAAAACCATGCAGCATTTATAGCTTTAAAACATAAGGAACGGTTCGCTGATTATCACGAAATTCCAACAAAGTTCTGAATCCCAACATAAATTCCAGTCCTGAAACAAGCAAATTTTCAACATGGCTCTGCGTCAGCGTTCATATTGTCTTGAGTTTTCTCTATAGTAGTAGAAACGCCAAGTTCATTTGATATATATACTACGTCAATTTTATTATTCCAATCGCATTCTCCAGTATATTCAAACTTTTAGCTCGTGTCTACAAATCGAGTTTATTTTATGCTTTATCAGCCGTCAAAGGGTGCCAAAGATCCAGTTTACAACGTTACTGAACGATCGTTATGCATTATGGCTCGTGATGTCGCTAAGGCAATGGAGTTTCTTCAAAAAATTCGGATCATTCATGGGGATATCGCTGCCAGAAACATTCTTGTTGGAAAGCATGGCATATGTAAACTTTCAGACTTTGGTCTCGCCAACGACGTATATAGGTGAGAAAAATTGCGACAGAATCTTACAAATAATAAAATAAAATTACTTTTTTTGAATTGTATACTAATTGTGCAAAATACATATATACCTATCATTTCCATATTAATTTTAAGATATATATATGCGTTTGAATATTAGTCAAGGTTTTATTAAATTCATCATATTAATATATGTGATAATAGAGAAGATGCAGTAGTTTTGGCAAATGTTACACAATGTTCATAATACTATATTCATACATATTATTTAGATATGGAAATATAGGCAAAGGCCAAAGAGAACAAATAGTTCCATACAAATGGATAAGTCCGGAGCGAATGATGCCAGGAGAGGAGCCCATTACCAAACATAGTGATGTGTAAGTTTTATTTACATAGTTACTTTCAATTTGATCAAAAAACGAAAATTTTCTGGATACTTCTTTTGAAAATGAAATTTCTCTCATCCCCAATTTGTATCAGTTTGTGATCAAATATATATATATATATATGGTATATATATACTAGTGGGTTAGAGGCGATAGAGTGCTGCTCTTCCCATTTTAAAAAGTTTACTGCTGAAGATACTGTAACAAAACTACTTCGACTACCTGTCGTCAAACAAAGCAATAACAGACTAAGTCGGCTTATGGAAGAAAATGAGCTGTTTTCTTTCGACCCAGGTGCCAGGGTAGAATAAACAATCATAATCAGCCCACCTGTTCAAAATATTCATTCTTTATTTTTTCACCCAAAAGCGTCACAAATTAAACCGTATTAATAGCGAGAACAAAGAGCTATTGTGTTGTTATATTATATCCAGATTATCCAATATTTACCAAACCGTAGTAGGTTATGCCACAGGTCAGTGATCACTTACCTATTATTTACGGTTTCGTTTCTTAATATCTCGCATAGAACTGGCAAAAGCAATTTTATTTTTAAACATGGTCAAATGCAGATATTTATCGTGAGCCACGTTTTGAGACTGCTGCAATGACGTCTCACTTAAAGGTTAAATAAATTAGTCATTATTTGGGTACAGGTGGTCGTTCGGGAACTTATTGTACGAAATGTTTACTCTGGGATGTTCCCCTCATTCTGGCGTGAATTCGGAGGATTTACTGGATAAACTGAAGGCAGGATATAGAATGAAGAAACCAGACACTTGCAACGTTCAAATGTAAGTTGAATTTATCTTTCTGTAACCCGGAATTCGGTGCGCTCAGGACACGAGATATACATAGTAACCGGTTGATATGGAACTGGAGTCAAGCTAGATAAGATGAGTTTATTTCGACTCCATAATCAGCATAAAAGGCGATTAAGATTGATAAAAACAAATAAATAAAAACTGATTTTGAAATCAGGAGAACATAGAGCAAGTTTGATTGAAGACTCGACTTGTATCCATTCAGGGTTCAGAAATGATTTGGCCCAAGTCAAAAGTAGCAATGACTCAACACAACTTGATACTTAACGTTAGCGTTGACGCCCCTTTTCAAAAATAGAAATATAGTGATACTCCATTTCAGATATGGATTGATGAAACAATGCTGGGAATGGAAGCCTTCGTCTCGGCCTAGTTTCAGCTTGATTGTGAAAAAGCTAAGTGATACAATACAACAACTGCCATCAGATACAATGCAGCTCAACTTTGCAAACTCCCTAGGAAAACTTGACAGACAGGTAACATTGTAGATGAACCTTAAATGTTAAGTGAATATCCTAGGGTTTTTATTGCGACAAAATCAGGTATCAGTTAGCCATTGAAAATTTGATTACAAATCAATTGACCTAGCTCCTGAGATAATTATTCATTTATAACAAATCTATAATGTCTTATCTTACCAAGATGAACAAGTAATTAGTCATTCAAAAATCCTAAAATACTCAAAACTTTTTCCGTTCTCATATTTTCACGGAATTCAGGCATACGACAATGAAACAGCAATAGAAATGCAACCGAAGGATAACGTTTATGTTAACGGAAACGTTACTGTAGTTGAAAACGAGAATGAAAAACAAACGAGAGCAATATAGTTAGAACTACATGCTGTTACCAAGGATCGATCGACAATGTCAGTAGGTAGTCCACAGGCTCACCTACTATTAACATGTTTTTATAAAGCAAGCGCGGCCTGTTTTATGGTCGACGCACGCTTTCCGTCACCACAAGTTATGCAACAAAGAGGCCGTGTCTCGAAGATGGGAAGTGGTGTGGTAAAAAATCATAATATGGCTCAATACCGAACCGCGATCTTATCTAACTTTATTCACGCCGATAAAAGTAAGTTATTGCCGTGACTCCACGATTGTACATATTATTCTTTTCGTTAGTTTACGAACCCTACCTGAACAAAAGTCGTTGACGAACTCTTGCCACACGATGTCTCGTGCGATTATTCAATTACATTTCCGTGTCGTCATTGGATTCCTCAAATTATGGCACTCTTATTCTTTGATAAGGAATCCATTTCTTGAATAGAGCGAGTTGGACATTTATAATTATCTAATAAAATGATCAGTATTTTCGGAATTTCGTCAAAGATGGAGTAGTTCAATAATTAATGCTTCAGTTGTTCGCGAATATTTCAGTATCATTTATGTAAATATATCGTATTTTTGCCAAATATCCTTTTCGATACTTTTGCACGCTTTACATTTTGCACAATTTTTTTGTTTTACAACTACCTACCAAAAATAAATGTTTCACAATAAATATTAGTTTGTTTTGGTTATAAATTTTTATGCACGCTTGTCGCCAAATTACTAACTCCATCAAAGAGGAGCAGCAAATGATGGCGGACTCAAGTCAACAGTGGGCTATATAATCCGATATATATAAACTTGAACCCGATTTCCCCAACCAGAAACTAATAAAAGGTTAGAATCCAAAGACTTGAATTCGAAATTTACGTTAGTAAGTATCATTGAGAAATTTTCGTAAAAGAATTGAACTAGATATATCTGAAATTCTAAGTGAAACCAAAAACATTGGCCTCAGGTTGTCGACCATTCGTGTTTTCGGGCAAAATACAATTGACAATAATTCGGGTTTCAAGTAGCTAATAAGTAAAATTGAGAAAATTCCATTCTTTCGAGAATTCCTAAAAGTAATTATGGATAAGCTGCAAACTGTAGCCATGTGACGAGTAGAGAGTAACATATTGGTGAATTGTTCAATTTGTCGTGCTGAAACGCAATTTTCAGTTTTGATGGGATGAGGAAAAAAAGCAGGTACGTCGATAAAAGCCATCTGCGCATGCAAAGTTGAAAACATTGTTTTTAGAAAAGATCACTCTCACATAACAATGTGAACTAGTTTTACTCAAATCGGTCCGCAGCTCTCAGTCAACTCATCAAAAAGGTGCACGCGATATCTCACGAAAGCGAGATTGAATCTGCTCCAGACTGATCAGACCGCCGTCGGGTGCGGACGTGAAATATCGACGGTGGAATAGCTACTGGAGTAAGAAATATTTGGACGAAAACTTGGAAAGCCGGACGAATATAAACCCTACTGAGAAGATACATACAAACTTAAATCAAAACGATGCTGTTGGATATAGTACCGAAACGATAAGGATCAGTTCACATCAGATCATGCTGCCTGCGTGGAGTTTATCATGGAGAACGAAGCTGGGAATAACACGAACAGTCAAACGTCAAATGTAACGGATATTTGATGATGGATTCCATAAAAAAGACTAGCCTACTTACACAAACCACATGAATTTTGATTAAAACTAAAGTTGGAACGCCAGGGCGTGGAATGCTCTTGTCATATTTTACTTGGTTTGTTGTTGTTTACTTTTACGCTGTTTTTATTATTGTTGTTTATCGTCCGGTAGACTATTAGTTGAGTGCATGTGTAATCAAGTAAATTTTATCTCATATTGCGCACCGCTTGTTTGTTTGTTGTGTTCTACAATTCTCGCTAGTCCCTTGTACAGATATAGTATAAATTACACTCCATGTTGAAACTCCACATTCACAGTCAAGTATTTACGCCCGGATTATTTTTCGTGTCTCTCTCTTTTTTTAAAATTTACTTCAATGTGTTGTTTGCTGTGTGGGGTAAATGGGCACGTGCACCAGCACGTCTTAAATCTTTTTTAGATTTTGCCCACTTTCCTGATTTTCCGTACATTTGTTTGTTTTGCCCTGTATTGTCTATTTGTTTTGTTGTAACGGAAAATCGAAATAAACACTTACACTTAAGGTCCCATGAGCTGAAATGCTGGAAAATTACAATTCAAACCAAACAATCCGATAGTGTTTTCAAGTTCCCATGCTTGGGAGAAAGTATAATCTTGATTTCCCGAAATTGCGTGAGACCAGAATAATTTTCAGTAAAACGAGACGTATTTACAAATAACAAACATATATTGTACAGACATTTACAAAAATGTGGAACAAATCGAAACTATATTCATGATTATAACTTTTTTCGAAACATCCTACAAATCTACATTACCCATATATTGAAACGAATGTTACCCAGTGGAAAGAAACCGCAACCATGAAGCAGTGGCAGTGCTTCATGAACATGATAAATGTAAAATGAATAAGGGAATATGGGTAGAGAGAGAACCAGTACCAGAAATATAGATAAATTAACTGGTGGCAACTGCAACATCAGCCATTCGAACATCGGCAGTTTGTTGAATCAAATTTGGAACTGGGAAAATCTTCAGTACCTAAAACTGTTCCATTTCAGGTATACGAAATCTAAAAAATTATGTCGTTCATCTCTTAGACAGGAGCAGCTTTCAATGAAATGTTAGTTTTCTCAGATCTGTAATCTTGGTCGCACGGGCTATAACATTACAAAGTGAAAAGTGATAATTTACACCATCTGCGTGATAACCTTCCTCTTTGCATCGTAAGAAAATCTATTGGCCTGGAATGTTTCACTTTCATAAAAGCTTGACAGGTTTGAGATGTTAATGGCTCGAGCTTTCTCTGATAACTCTTTTTCTTGGATTTGGACATAATCTTGTATTTCTCCGAATCGATTCCGTAGGAATGAAGAATGATCGGAAATGAGCTGACGAAGAATGAAGAGCAGGAGTTCATTGTTATCTTTCTTAAAATTGAGATAACGTGAAAACGTTTTACGCATTCCCTTCATGATGCTGAATTTTTGAGTCTCGACAAAACTCTCGAGAATGATACGAATCGCGCAATTCACATCCTCGTCATTCACGTGCTGTCGGAGATGCATACGTGCCCTCGCTTCCGCCAATCGAATCATAGATTCAACATGACGAACTGTTATAGGGATGCTTCCAGTAGCCATTGATTCCCTTCGGAGATCAGCGTACATTCTTGCCACTTTATCCTGATCCATGGCATGAAGTTTGGGTTCCACTTTTTCCTTAGAATAAATAATGTACTTGCGGAGTAAATCTTGTGGAATCTTTTCTAAACTACTGGAATTGACCTCCGGGATCGGTTCTTGATCGTCGTCCTCGGCAGTAGGGTGATGACGACGATGACTACGAACAACAAATCGAGCGAGTAATTCATCTTTCAGAGGATCAGCTTGGTCCTTTACGACACATAAAACATCAAAACGGGAAAGAATAGGCTCTGTCAAGTCCACGTTATCAGAAAACATTAGAGAAGAATCATACCTGCCTCCAATAGGATTTGCAGCCGCAATAACACTACATCTTGCCTGAAGCGATGTTACGATACCTGCTTTTGATATGGAGATACTTTGTTGTTCCATGGCTTCATGGATACTGGTCCTATCTGCATCATTCATTTTATCAAATTCATCAATTAAACAAACCCCTTTGTCTGCAAGAACCAATGCACCGGCTTCCAAAGTCCACTCACGTGTCACAGGATGTCTTTGGACGTATGCTGTTAAACCTACTGCAGAAGCACCTTGACCAGTAGTAAAAACAGGACGATGGGCAGTTTTTTCGACATATTTCAGAAACTGAGATTTTGCTGTGCCAGGATCTCCACAAATAAGACAATTTATATCACCTCTGACCTTATGCTTCCCTCCTGGATTTTTGGCAACACCTCCAAACATTGCCAATGCAAGAGCATGCTTGATGTAATCATGCGCATAAATAGAAGGAGCTATACTACGAATGACACGTTCCTCTATTTTTTCATCTTTCGAAAGAGCAACTATAGCTTTCACGTCATCATCAGTAAGGGCAGAAACAGCCATTTTATCGTCTTTCTTTTCAACATAATTGGCCATGATTACTGTTGAAAACACAGGAAAACCATTTTTTGTGTTAAGCGAACCATCATAATTATTACTGTAAACTCCAGTTAGTTCTATTTCATCTCCAGGGTGACAAGTGTCAACCAAATCAGCTAACAAAATTGCATCTTTCGCTCTTGGCAATCTACCAGCTGAAACTTTACCTGGACTTTCTTGCACTGTAATTCTTTGGTAGTTTTGATAAACTGTTTGTTCCATGTTGATTTCGAAAGGGCCAATGCTTTGACATTCAGGGCAAGTACCAGGTCTCACTTCTTGATATTGACCTTGAAAATATGGCCCAAGAATATATTTACATTTCATACAATCGTACTTGATGAAACGCAATTGAGGCAAAATGGTCGTACAACTGGTAACAACTCCCCCTGTCCTTACGAGTTGATTGAGATGCAGCTGTCGAAGTGATCTGATATCTTCTATCAAAGGGAGTTCCGAGATTCTGACATGAATTTCCTTCGCAATATTCTCATATTTGGGGTACATAGCAAGCACAACATCTTTTGCAGCTTCGTCAAAAATGACTAACATTTCTGTAGGAGCTTCCGGTAAGAAAAAAGCCAAAACTTCCTGTGCACTCGCCAACAAGTTATAATCGACAATCAAACTCTCTTTGTTGTCTTCCACCATTTGTTTAATTTTTTCCTTAAATATGTGATTCCCTTTGGCATCGACGGTAGTGCGAAGAAAATTTTTGAACCGATTGAATATTTCCAAACGTGGCGCTTGCATAACCACCCATTCCTTCACTGTGTGACCTTTTGTATCTTCCAAATTTTCAATGCTCTCAATCATGTCATCATCATCTCCACCGTCTGCTGCCCTTTCCGCCATTCTTCTCCTATGGATGGGTCGTTCATCAGTGTCCTCATCACTATCATACAATAGCCCAGGCCTCATTCTTCCTCTACCAAATGCTTCTTCTCTATCACGTTTCTGAAGCATTCTAGAATAAAAAAATTTTTTTTTGTCAACATTTGGAAATGAGGAATGACAATTTGAATCACAATATGATAGTTTACATTAACAATATATGAAAAATAAAGATAAATGAAAATGAGAAACTTAGAAGTCCATAAAATAAGACCAAGATCTACAACAACGTGACTTCGGAATTACATAGGTTTCCTTGCCGTAGTAATCTTAAATGAAAAATTTTGATGCATAGGCTATGAGCTTAAAAAAGCAGCATTTTCGAAAGCATGAATGGTCAAAAACCCATCAGCTTTATTTAAGAAATGGGGATGCACCTGAGATTCACGACACCGAAAATGTTGCATTATGGATAGCAGCATTATAATACAAACAATGTGTCCAGATACCAATTTCTGGTAATGAATCTATTCTGCAATTCTTCTTTAAAACTTCTTTCATACCCAAAGTTCAGTATTTATCTGTTTGCTTGGCATTTAAATAATTTATTTACTGAAAAACCCTAAATTTCAACTATTTAAAATCCACAGTTATTTCAAATACCACCAGTTTCCTGGTAAATTAGTTTAGCATGAATTTGAGTAATCATGTGAGGAATCCTAGTATACAGGTAAATTTTTTCATAACCTGCAATTATCACTGTGTTTTCAAACTAAAAAGTAAATGTCAGCACAGCGATTTTTATGCTGAGTCTCGAAAAAATAAACGAATTCACCTATCAACTTCAGCTCTGGCAGAAGGTGACAAGGCTTCGTAATCTTCATCATCCATGCCCCGAGCGTCATAAACATCAAGTTCTGGTATTGGTCGATAATCTCGTTCAACATTATCACCGAATAAATCAACACCTTCAGTTTCTTCTTCCCCCTCGCCAATGTTCCCCTGAGAAAATATATATTTCAGTATATTATTTTGATATCATAAAAAATTTCAATATCCATTTCAGTATGGAATTGGTCCATGTGTTTGTAACTTAACATCAGGATATTAAGAGTCTGTAAATCTGTGGACTTATTCCAGTAGGGCAGAGTTCTCCAATTCTAAGATGTCCCGACATTCTGACATTTGGTTCAATAAAACAAACACTCTGGTCTCTGAAATGAAGGTGCCTAGGACGACCAAGTGCAGTTTTAAGTATTTTGTTGCGTCTGAAGCTGCCACAAAACCATGGCAGGATTTCCAAACCATGCCGCTATGGCCAAACCCATGTCAACTGACTTTTTAACTGCCACAAACCAATGGCGATCATTGGCGATCATCAAGTCTGCAGATTGCCTAAATTAATCACGGGGTCGTAACATGACCCAAATTGCATTTTTTTGCTGAAAATTTTACAGTAAACTTTTTTATTAGATAAATCGGATTCTTTATCCAAGAAATCCAAAGGTGACGATTTTAGATTGCACTTCCTTTTAGTATATTGTGCAAAGCTGCTTTGCCAATTTATGCCAATATGGGGGCCCAGACTGTCTCATAAATGAGGGGTTTGATGTCCTTTAATTAATGTGGCTATTCTTGGAATCGAATAAATGCGCCATACCGTATTCTGACCCATTTTTATTTCAGACTAATAGGGATTCCTGTTTCTGTGTTTATTTGGCATTTAAAAATTATGACAGTTATGAAGTATGCATTCTCTTCGCTTTGTATTCAGAGGAATGATTTTACTGCTTTGAATACTAAATTAGTTTTTAAGGTACAGGGTGATGATATACCGGAAGATTCCATTTCATAGACCAGTAATATTTTTGTTCTATGCAGCTACAGACTGACCTAGAGCTAGGGTGGCTTACCCACTTTGCGGCCATGACCTATTTGCGACCATCAACTTCATCGATTAAATTATTGCCGAAAAAATTAACGAATCGCGACGATATTTCTCACGCGTTATCGTCCACTTATCCCTCGTAGCTCTGCGAAATTACACTAAAATGCTGCCACAAACAAAAAAGTTACGACCAAAAACCCGACCGAAGAAAAAAAACGGGACCATTTTCCATGTCGCCAACTACCCATTGTCCCTTCAAAAAAGCTTGAAAATCCATACAAATATAAGAGATAGAAAGATGAAACTTGGCAGGTGGGTAGAGTTGTGTTTATTTTAACTATCTTTAAAGTTTCGCGTTTTTACATTTAAAGGAGTAGGAATAGGCCAGACTGGATTCCATGGCAGATGCACGCCCGAGGGCGCTAGCGCTCCACAAATATGCACGCGAGCGAATTTATTTTTGCACGCCGAAAATTTGCAATTGCTCATTAATGTAAATCGGTTTAAATAGTTTGTAAATCAATTATCTAGTAATATAAAGATGCCAAAAAATTATAACTTCACAATTGTCGACTAATACTAGATTGCAAGTTTGGCCTGATCGAAAAATGCGAAGCAAAAAACACCATATCGTGTTGAATGACAGGAATCCCGTGAGAAAGATCGCCTCCTCACCGACGCTGGCCAGTTATGGCTTTGATTCAGCGTATTTTTCATACAATAATTTTACACGGATGTACTGAACAGTACCGGTAACCAAAGTCGCACAACCACTCTCAAAATTAGCAACAAACTGTAGAAATAATGTTTGGGGGTCAAAGGTCAAACGTCCATTTTTGCTATGATTCAACATATTTTTTATCCAATACCGGTAATTTTACGCGGATGTATTGAGAGGTATCTTAGATCGAAGTCAGTTTCACGCTGGCGCAGTTGTTTTGCACGCCGTGAGCTATAATTGCAATCCAGAAATTCTTATTTGCACGCGGGAATTTCTGATTGCACGCCCGATTTCTCGTTCGAAAAGGCCATGAAATCCAGACTGGGGAATAGGGGGAGCGCATTTCCAATACACCGATAATATCTTTGTCGACCAATTTGCGACCACCGTGTTTTTGTCTGTTTGATTGCTGTGAATGTGATGAGGTGCTTTGTTTATAATTTGACGAGTTTTGTACGAAATAACCGTGTTCTTAAAATATATGACCGTAGAACCCCTGGCCGTAGAAAGTTAGAGGTTTAGCGTGTAGAATAAATGCCAATGCACCTTAACGGGATAGAAATATTGGTTTTTGTTTTATAGCGGTTTGAATGAAATCGTCCGCAGACTGCTGGACTGGCTACACCACCCTGGATTTCATGGCCTTTTTGAATAAGAAATCGGGCGTGCAATCAGAAATTCCGGCGTGCAAATCAGAATTCCAGGCGTGCAATTATAGCTTACTGCAGTACTGCGTCTGCGTGCAAAACAACTGCGCCCGCGTGCAACTGATTTTGATACTGTTCAATACATCCGCGTAAAATTATGGGATACAAAATACGTCGAATCAGAGCAAATATGGACGTTTGCCCTTTGACCCATAAACATTATTTCTATACTTGTCATTAATCTTGAGTGTTTGTGCGACTTAGTATATAAGTATAAGTTTATTATAGGCCTACTGTGATTAAATTGACACCGGTACTGTTCAGTACATCCCCGTAAAATTATTGGATAAAAAATACATTGAATCAGAGCAAAATGAACATAGGGTGGTGTAGCCAGTCTGCGGACGATTTCATTCAAACCGCTATAAAACAAAAACCAATATTTCTAACCCGTTAATTTTTCCACCGTAGGTGCATTGGCATTTATTCTACACGCTGAACTTCGAATTAACTTTCTACGACCAGGGGTTAAAGCTATACAAACCACCAAAGTACGACACTCTGAAGACGTATTTGCGACCGAAACGACCAGTGTGCGATCACGGATTTCAAGCCTTAAACATCGTTTCTGCTGCGTCGAGACTAGGGCATACGCAGCCATGCGTGAAAAAATGGGCTTCTAATTGCATTTCTGACCGTCATATATTTTAAGAACACGGTTATTTCAAACAAAATTCTTCAAATTATAAACAAAGCACCGCATCACAGCAATCAAACAGACAAAAACACGGTGGTCGCAAATTAGTTGACAAAGATTTTATTGACGTATTGGAAATGCGCACCCCCCTACTCCCCCTCCTTTGAAGGTAGAAACGCGAAACTTTAAAGATGGTTAAAAGAAACACAACTCTACCCACCTGCCAAGTTTCATCTCTTTATCTCTTATATTTGTATGGATTTTCAAGCTTCTTTGAGGGAATAATGGGTAGTTGGCGACATGGTAAAATGGTCCTTTTTTTTTCTTCGGTCAGGTTTTCGGTCGTAACTTTTTTATTTATGGCCGCATTTTAGTGTAATTTCGCAGAGCTACGAGGGATAAGTGGACGATAACGCGTGAGAAATATCGTCGCGGTTCGTTAATTTTTTCGGCATTAATTTAATCGATGAAGTTGATGGTCGCAGATAGGTCATGGCCGCAAAGTGGGTAAGCCACCCTACTTTGTCAATAATCCGTTAATTTTGGGAGTGTTTTTAGGTAGAATTATTGGATAAAAAATATGTTGAATCATCCAAATGGACGTTTGACCTTTGACTCCGAATATTATTTCTATACTTCGTCACTAACATTTTTCGATCAGGCCAAATCTCAGAATCTTGCAAGCTCAGTATTATGTATGTAGTCGACAATTGTAGAGCTACAGTTTGTTGGCTTTTCTATATTACCGGTACTGGATTATTGATTTATCACCATTTAAACCGATTTTCATTGGTGAGCAATTGCAAATTTTTGGCATGCAACATTGAATTAGCTCGGTGCCTTTTTACAGAATCAACAGGTGAATTCCAAACTGAAAACTCTTACTCAAAATACTCACTAATAAAGCATCAGCTTCACTCTCATCTTGAAATGGTGGAAGATCTTCTGCACCTCCTGGACTTGATGCAAAAGGCGCTCCCCTGCTGCTTGGACTGACCGGGTCGCTGATAGGGGTTCTTGGGTCGGATGGTATTCCGTTCATGCTGTCATCAGCCATAGTGAAAATAACTTCACAAATTAGGCTATATTAAAAATAAATTATACTAAAAACAACACGTTCAGAAATTATTGAATGAAAACGACAGACAAATACACGAACGAGCACCACAAACGAAAAGTAGCCTACAGCAAAGGCTCGCGGCATGACTTCTAACAACAGCTGATTCCCGCCACTGAGAGACACGTGACTTGTTGCGGCAAAAAATATTTACATTCGCCACGGTTCTCCTAAAACCCGCCCATATCCATGACCGGGGAGAGGTTTTATTACATGAATAACATTATTACTGACATTATCAAGTAAGTGTATACAGTAGTATGTATTAAATCCACATTTTAAGACCACATCAATTTATGTGGGTCATTCTGCAAAACAAATAGAGGTCATCTTGGCTCCCGACCCGTAAAGGTTTCCAAAAAAGTTATGTGCATGTTTTCGATAAGAAACTGAAAAAAGTTCTTCCTCCTTGAATACTCAAATTTGTCTTAATATCTTGAATAATGATTATCTTGATAAAAATATTAAGTTTAATATTCTTTAAAGTAGATGTTCCGAACACTGTATTCACTGTATTATAATACTATGAATTTAACCGTTTCGTAATAAAACTGTATATTGAAGGTCACGAGCCACTTTCAATTTTTGTAAAAGTATAGGCTACTCAAATGTTTTCTTTCTTCTGACACAAACTACTACCATGTACTTTATTATTGTTTTCCACCAAAAAGCCATTGTTAATAGTACTTCCTATCTATCATTATTGTTGTATCTGTGATAATCCGATTGCCTCCTTATTTTTTCTCTGTGTATTAAAGCCTGACCCGGTCCAATAATTATTTAATTACAAAAACTATTATAAATATTTATAAAAACTAATCTAAGCCCTTGATAATTGTTCTGATTCTATGAACCTGGCCGGACTCAGAAACTCCACGTGACCTATTAACATCACGACTTGCATTATTAACTTGAAAATATTTATTTCTATTTTATCGATATTTCATCACTAATGCTATATCTGATTGATTTTTGGACACGTCAGTGTACATAACGATCGTTTCAATATTATGTTGTTGTTGGATACGTCAGTGTACATAACGATCGTTTCAATATTATGTTGTTGTTCTTGTTAGTATTATACTTCTCTTTCGTCATGATGAAATCGCTTTCCTCTTCGAATACTGGACCAATTGCTTTGAAATTTTCAGTGGTTAAAGATTTATTTTTTTGCCAGAAGGCTATTACTTTTACTTATTTTAAATATTTCTGTGGACTTCAAGAGAATCGTTTTTTATTTGTCAGAATAAAAAATAGCGACACTTTGTGACGTGTACATATATTTGAGCACAGCTCTCTTGTTAGTATTATTCTTCTCTTTCGTCATGACGAAATCGCTTTCTCTTTAAATACTGGACCAATTGCTTTGAAATTTTCAGTGGTTAAAGTTTGATTTTTTGCCAGAACGCTATTACTTTTACTTATTTCAAAAATTTCTGTGGACTTCAAAAGATTCGTTTTTTATGTGTCAGAATAAAAATAGCGACACCATGTGACGTGTCCACATATTTGAGCACAGCTCCCTTGTTTATATACAGCATGGACCAGAGGCCTCGGTGACCTAACTGGTCTGGCATACTGATCCTCACAAATAAGTATCAACCAATTATTGTAAAGTTATATATATTTTTTTCTATTAGGCTACTTCAAATGTATCATAGTGTTGAGTCAACACTGTTGACAATGTTTGTGGTAATAAAATCTTTCTCTCCTACTGGAATATAGAGCATTCACGTTAAAGTGATCAACAAAGTTAACGATAAAAAAAAACATAATGTAGTTTAATTATAAGGGTAGATGAAGAAAGAAAGATATTTTGCGTTCGATGTAATTTTTTGTGGGCACTTGCTGAAAATCTGCCCCAACAATGAGGGCAAACTCTGCCAAAACAAAAAAAAAGCAACGTTTGTTTTAATTGTGTTGTTCTCTGTTTTTGTTTTTTGTATTGATCTTGATAGATTTTTCACGGTGTCCGTGCTTGGTGATCAGTTTCAATTTTCGCATTAGTTTACACCCGCAATCGTTCGTGCAATTTATTGAAAACTTAAACAGCTAATTATCGATAAAAATAGGAATCACGATGAAGAAGATAAATATAATTTATTGTTCGAAAAACAGAAACGCATTAAAAATGTATGTGAACAAGTGAGCGCGGCTCGTTGGTGTGGCGCATCGTGCTTAGCGTCTGGAATACGCTCGCCACCACATCTCTTATTACCCTGCGTGCGGGTTCTTTTCCCTGTGATAAGTATGAAAATCCGATCCTATTCTACGAAAATTTTATCAAACAGTATGTCCTTGAGCAACCATACACGAAATGTCCCTTTCGTTATCGGAGTCCGTTTGCAAACATATGATCGGCTTTCTTCACTCCTGTAATGAATGTGAAAATCCTATTCTATCCTACGTCAACTTTCTTCACACTGTTGGTATTCGAGCGGCGATTCACGAAATGCCCTTACCGTCAACGGAGTCAGTTAACAGCTAATGTTTATAAATGCGAAAAAAAAATAATCCGATTCAGATAAATACATTACACATACACAATGGTCCTATGGAATGGCTTATTTTATTGAGAATTAGAAATACGTTGACTTCCGCACCTCCCATAGCCCAATACACAAAATATAAGAACCATATGAAGATTTCGTGTCCAAAACTCAGCAAATCGTTGGATCAAATAACAGGCCCCGGAGAATCGAAAAAATATCTAAAATGTTCAAAACAGGTTTTCACATACATAAATATCAAGTTTTACATTATTAAATTTCAATATCACTTTGTGGTTAGAATATAAGCCCTCCAAGTCGACTTTAGTGAATACAAATGGGACAATATATTACGGCAAACTGATGATTTTTAATAACTTTGCCATACATGTATAATTATTTTATTGCCAGGAACGCGCTATTGACAAGATATCCAATTCAGGTATGAACCACAAGAGAATCTGAAAATAATCGCGTCATACGGATGACGGTATAGGTCACAAAATTTGGCATTTTTCTTATCAGAAAGACAAAGATTGCTGAAGTTGTGAGGAGTGAAAGCGTTTTTCCCCATGTAAACCCCTGAACACAAAAATCGAAACACAAAGGATATGAGGCCCGATAGGAAAAAAGTAACTTTGAAAAAAGGACTGTTTTATTTCATTTTCGGTATTCAATAATTAAGGCAAATATGTAATGATATTAGGGTGGCACTGGTACCATATCATACGCCGTTCGTGGAGTAATCCCACCAAAATAGATGGTCGGGAATGTTTAGAGGTGTCCCAATAAATGGATGAAGGATAAAATATCTTTGATTATCATTTAACAAGACAAGCAATTTCTGTCCAACAACACTGCTAAAAGGAGTCACACATCCATTTCTTAAACTAATAACGCCAAATCACATTTTTGTTCAGATTTTTTTTTTCTATTTATTCATTTGTATCATTTCACATTGTCCATTAGCAATTTGTATATTGTTACAAGTCTGCAATTAGTTTTTCCTTCGGTTTGACAAATACGTCAAATCACACTTTCAATGCGAAATTTACCATCGTGATTGTGTTTTATAGCGTAATATCAATAATAAAAACTTAGCGCTACGTGGAGCAAAGTGTTGTTGAGGGCATTTGGGCATTTGGATTGGTATATTTTATTGAGAATTGGAAATACGTTGGCCTCCGCTACTCTCATAGGCCAAAGGCCAATGCATGAAATATCAGGACCATATGGAGATTTCATGCCCATTAAAACAGCACAACTTTGCGTAAAATAACGGGACCATGAGATTTAAAATAAAATTGCAAAGAATTGGCATTTAGCGACTATCATTTCATCTTTATGCACTGAACATTTGAAGTCCCTTTGACCGTTAATTGCACTACATACAAACTGGTTTATACGTACATATCTTGTTTTACATTATTAAATTTATCAAGTTCAATATTGTGTTGTGGTTGGAATATAAGCCCTCGTGTCGACTTTATTGAATACAAATGAGACATTATACTATGGCAAACCGGTGATTGTAACATTGCCCAACATGTATATATAATTATTTTATTGTCAGGAACGTGCTATTGGCAAAAAAAAACAATTTAGTTTAAGAACCAACGGATTATATGAACGGTTGCAAATTATCGCTTTATGCGGAGGACGTATGATGGTATAGCTCACAAAAATGTGTATTTTATTTTTCACGAAGGATGAAGCTCGCTAAATTTGTGAAGAAAGAAAGCGTTTTCTCCCTTTGTAAACCTCTGAATAAAAAAAAAATCGAAAGCGAAGTGATATGAGGCCCGATAAAAAGGAATAAGGTTGAAAGGTTGAAAAAAACTGTTTTATTTTTTTTTCAGTATTTAATAAAGAGTAGTTTTTTGCATATCAATTGCTGGTCGTACAGGGCCTAGTTATGAATAAAATTCGCCAAAAGACTTTAAGGCATAACTTTATTGATATTAGGGTGATACTATTACCAGTACTAGAATTAGTAGTATATATATTTAGTAGTAGTATATATATATAGTATATATTTACGCTAGAATCGATTCTCGAGAATCGTCAGACTTTGTCCCAATTGTTTAAAATCTTCGGTGTAAAGGAGAAAGCACCAGAAAAAAATAAAAGATTTTCGATTATCGGTTGACATGACAACCAATTTCTGTCCAGACAACACTTCCAAATTGGGTCATACGTTCATCCTTGGGCTAATTACCCCAAATCACACTCTTTTTAAAGCTTTTTTTTAATATATATTTATTTGTATCATTTCACATTTGTATATTGTTTGTTGAAATTTTCCTATATATGATGAGAGACTGTTGCAAAAGTCTGCCACTGGTTTTTGCTTCGGTTTGACAAATACCTCAGATCACAACTTCATAGCGAAATTTAGCGTTGTGCTTATGCGTTATAGTACTAATATCAAGCAAAGTGATGAGTCTGGTATGAATGTCGGTTCAGTTATCACATCATTACCACCTTTACCTTGCGTTCATAAGATAAGTATGATTAAAGATCAATATGGAACAAAACAGATCATTCTAGTTGAACTAATAAGATTTCCGTTATTCTAATTCATGAAATTTAGCGCGCGCGATTGAGTGTTGCAAAAGAGAGTTTTTTGCGATAAATAATGAGAGCATTTTGAGGCGATGGAAATTTACATACGTGCGGGCATTCAGAGAAAATAAATAATTGGTTGGTAAATTGAGGTTGTATATCGTCGTATGTTTGACTCATCAACATATGTTCGACTTTTCTGGAAATGGTTGGGGATCATCTCACGTTTTCATTAAAATTTAGGTAATGATTAGTTCGATTGAATACAGTATTAGTCGAAATATATGGGCGAACAACCCATGTATGGAGTTTTTTCAATCTTTATTTCCGTGTGTTCTTACTTATTAAAGATAAATTAAAAAATCTGACTCAAAACTAACGGCGATTTACGTAATAATTGAATCGCCATATGTTTTTTCACCGAATTCCGACACTAAAATTTAGCTTTACTCTTAACAGGTAGATATTTCTTACATACAAAAATCAAGGAAATATTCATACGAATGTTTGAGTTTAGAAAAGTCTTGCAACCAATCGATTTGTTCTAAATAAACCTGACTTTTACTATGTGCTTGAGAATATGGACGTTTGTTCCTGGTAATGTAAAATGCACGTATTGAGATTTATTGTAGAAATTTAACGCGCGAACTTTAGTGTAGGAAAACAAACTATGTGTATATCTTGTGTCTCAAATTACATGCAAATAGGATTTAGTTGTTCGGTGGTTGCGTCAATTCCACATCAACGGGCATGATTTATCATATCCGTAGCGTACATGATGTAACAACCAATCTCCAAAAATAAATGAGAGTGGTCTGCAAAATATTTGACGACATTATCATGCAAAAGGTGATATCGAGATGATGTAGGCTAAGCAGTGACATAATACTGGAAAACAACAATTTGGTACAGGACAGAACAAGTAATTGGCAAGCTTGAGTATTTAGCAAAAGTTTCAAACTATTAACGTCATTGCTATAAAATGTATACACGGTTTTAGGACCAAACGCTCAATGTCTATATAATTGTTAAGGGATATCCGTTAATCCGTCGTTTTGTCGTGGGATAGGATTGGCTTTGTCCATAAATATAAGAAATAGACATCGTACTCAACATATAATCTAGTAAAATGCAATACTATATTGCGCTGAACAAAACGGGTTTCGGATTGATGCAACATGATTTGAATATATAAGTTTATCCATTCTTTTGTGCAAATTAAAAACTGAGTTTATATATTTTGTTCGCTAAGTGTTGACGTGCTAATCACCATGAAAGGTACAGGTGATAATTGAAAATGTCTACTACCAAAATGGAATAAGCTGGAAAACAACATTTTAGTCTGCTTATAGGGTTATTAAAAAAATTTAAATATGAACATTTCATCTTCAAAAACAACAAAATTATTTAGTTGACCGCATATGTGAGTTAGCACTCATTATGCGAGAATGTGAACAATAAAATATAGAAAGTTAAAAGAAATTTTGGATGCGTTCGTTCAACAGCTGTCTATGAAATCATTCTAAATAAAATTGAGACATCTGTAACAAATTGTATCCTGGATAGCTATTAAAAATCTCAAAACTGAGACACGGAGCTTTTGAAAATGTTCCATCTAATCTGTATCCTGATACGGTATAAAACTTTGTCACCACAAATCAATAAACAAGCGACTGGGAATGAGCAACAAAAGAAACATAGATTTGTTGACAGAGTGAGGTTTCCAGAAACCATGATTTCGGATCTCGCGTCTTAGAGATATCTTTTAGAGCTGTTAGTATTTGGTAGTTTTGCAATGTTTAGCAAACTAGCAGACACAAACATTCAATTATAGATTGATCGACGGCCTACTACAGCGTCTACTATTCTACTCAACTTCGTCCTACTATTTGTCTCAAGTTCGAGTTAGCATGCCTCGTATTTAGTCGACGAATTGAGCCATTTATTATCTGGGGACAATTCAACCAAAATCTTTCAAATTTGGCGAATGGTTGGTAGCCTACCTTGTTAAATAATATGAGCTGCGCATGTTTATAGTTATAATACCTTTTCCTCGCTGCATTTTCAGTGTTTGGGATTCAACGAAGTTTTGTAACGCTGTTTGCATTGTTCAGTGTACTATATTAAGGTCACATTGTTCTTCAGATTTTCATACTAGTTCTAAGTATATAACAGAAATATGAAGACGATTCCTGTTTTCGTGATGTTGATGTTTCTTTGTATTCCATCAAGAAATTCAGCTGACATGTGAGTATTAAAACCTTGTGCTAATGTTTTTCCAATGCTATATGAAATAGATATTACCCACAAAATTAACTTTTTTCATGTTTTGGCAAACATAAAAGAAACATTGCTCAAATCTCATAACAATACATATATTCCACTCCTTGACATAACCGCTATCAAAATCATATTTCTGAATATGGTTTCTCGCAAGAATTGAATCACCATAGTAATGCCCGGCATATATTTCAAAACGTATACCAAGTATTGGCACATGAAAAAATAATAAATCTTGGTTGCATGTTCCAAACATACATTATAAGTTTGTTTTAGAGGACACTTAAAACTCCAAAGAAGAGAAGATACAAAGAAACACGAGTTGACTACTATACAAAAGAAACTAATCGTTGATAAACATAATGAATTGAGAAGAGTAGTCAATCCACCGGCAGCCGATATGCTATATATGTCATGGGACAACGATCTTGAAAAGCTTGCTACAAGTTACTCAAGAAAATGCATATTTGAGCATAATCCGGTAAAATGTTCATTTGATATACTAACAGTCCAAGCGTCTTAGACAGTACACTTAAATAGTGACTTCCAAGCAAGCCTCGCACATACGTGAAAAATATATATATAGTAGGGGTGGCTGAATGTCGTGGCTGCGTAAAGTGTTGCCAAATTTCCAAACAGTCATCACCATAAAGCGTATATTCAATAATATTTTACTGGTATGCCAATTTATATAATCATTTCCTCCCGTGCGTTCAACAGAAATTATTCGTATATATATAAATGTCTTCAATAACTCATAATATTAGATAAGGTACGGTAATAAAATAGCTTTTATTGGACTAATAGACTTAATCAGGGATAATAATAGAATAACAAAGAACGAAACGTAATAAGAAAAATGTATTCAAGCCAGTGCGACCCGTGTCTAATCATATTTGCACTAAAGAGGTTTTGCTCCAGCAGTTTTTTATTCTTAGAAACAATCTGTTCCATCTCACTTTTAAGTTGCATTTTGATTCAAGTTACACGAACTGATTTTGACCGGTAGGCTATTGTTTTGTCATAGTGTCAATTAATTTGCTGTTATTACGTAATGAATGCGCGTAGCAATTAATGAGGTTGTAAAATATCATTTCTAGCAAATCAATCATTCGAATTGACCAATCTAAGTGCCCGGTATTGGAAACTCTACCCATAAAATAAGGACAAATATATTTTCTAAGATAAAGACCTTCGAAATAAGGACAAATCTTAGAAATAAGGACGTTGTGCCAGCCCTGCCTACAGCAATTTTACCCCACAAAAAATCGCCCTAACAACAACAAGATAATAACAAATAAACAGTTGATGGAATTATGATATCAATTCCCTAACAGGATAGAGCGTTAGAAGGATACAATTACATCGGAGAAAACCTGCACGTATCAAAAGGCCACGGAATAACTAATGAGTATGGTGCGAACGCTGTTATATCATGGGATAATGAGAAGCATGATTACACATACGCAACAAGATATTGCACACCGGGAAAGCCTTGTGGGCATTACACGCAGGTATTGATAGATTCACGGCGACAAGGAGTTTAGAAAAGAGATCATGGGTTCTCATCTTTTTTATCAAAAAACTCTTAGGATCGGGCAATGGTCATGATTTCATATACCCAATATTCCATTTTCAGGATTTATATTTGCTTACCAACAAGTTGGGGAACGATATTTAAAAAGGTTGTAAAAAGCAATTTTCAAGTCATCATCATCCTATATATATTTGTTGCAAATATGCATCATGAGCTGTTTTATTTAACCTTTTATAAAAATCTATTTTCCGCAGACTGCATGGGCTAAAAGCTACAAAGTTGGCTGTGGAATGACCACGTGTGACATTATCGACGTATTTGGGGCAATTTGGACAAACGCGATATTATTTACGTGTAACTATGCACCAGGAAGAAATTCTGGAAGTGAGTGTTATTTCCTAATATGTTTGTAAAATGGAACAAGATTATGTGACATGACATCTCAATACCTTGCTGTGGAATAACTCGCCCCAATATATCGCACTTATATGGCAACGAGTTGCATAGATTATCTGCCTGCATCACTCTGGAACCAATATTGATGGAATCATTTGCGATTAATCTCTTGAATCATCTCTTACATATGTAAGCTATTCAAAGTTCAATTTGCAATTCAAAAGTAATTGGAACATATTAGCTGAATATATATATAACAGTTCACCTAAACATAGGGGGAAGGAACATCGACCAGAACACAAAGGTTTTGTTTAATCCACTCTTTGTAAAACAGTTACTGCTTTTCATATACCCAAGGTCAAGCAATTTATACAGCTGGAACGCCATGCTCCAAATGTCCAAAATATGACAAGTGCGTTGAGAAACTATGTACCAATACAACAAGGGACTCATCAGGTCAGACATTTAATATATATATATATATATATTTCATGCAGTTTATGGTCATTAACTAAATATTGCGACTTTTTCGAATTTAAAACTGTGGTGAGCATTTTCTGTAGTAGCAGCAATTTGGCACGCGCTAAAGATGCTTGGATAAACGTTTTCGTTTCCACAACTTCGGATTCACAAAAATTTATTCTTTAAAGTTGTATGCATATATATATATATCAGATTCAGGAGTACATTATATTTTACATTACATTTATCACCCAATTTTATTTCTGTATAGCCCTTTTTGATGGCGCGTGGTCTGTGATCTATATAAAAACAAGGCCACATTAATTGATCGTTTGATTTATGAATAGGCTCTATCAGAATGACATCGGCGAACTCATGGAAGTTTGCGTTTATATTCACCGTCATCTTGCAATACGGAATACACATGTTTGACGACTAAAGATCAGCATGACAGGATCTACATGCATTGAAATCTTTCGATATTAACATGAGACTATTTTTTGTGACACACACGCTGTTATTGGACCTAGAAAATTTGTTAAAAGTAATTTTATAAACAGAAATCTACATTTTCGATTGAATTGTGGACTAAATTTGATTATTTATGAGCGCTGTTCTAAAACGGATTCAGATTCAGAAAACAGATTTTGGTTTGATTATAGTCACAGGTCGTAGTTATTGCATCTGTTTTTGATAGAATGTCACAATATTCCTGTTTGTCTGCTTTTATTATATATTATTTTGCACCATTTATGGCTATAGACTATTTGCACAACAACATTCGATATTTTGCACTTTACAATAGTTTTTTTTTTGTTTTTAAACGCTCCGTAATATTTTGATTGAATGATATAGTTTACCTCAGTTTCGAACTAATTGATCTTCAGAAAGCACTGTAGAGCTTGCAATCAATTGTTTAAAATGAAATATCACGGCGCTGATTTTAGCAATCATTTTTAATGTATATCTACCCCAGTACTCACATGCCTGTCTATAGTACCATACCTACCCACATTTGATGTAAGTGAAGATTAATGTCTACTTGGTATATATATAGAGATGTAGGCTACTAACATCGTTATTTTTGAACGATAACAATACAATATCTGACAGATACTTGACAGTTGTTGTTTGTTGATATTATAAAATTTTATTTCTTATTTAATTTTGATTTAAATATTTTAAAATCCAAATTATTTTGATTTGTCAAGGATTTTTTTAAACTAGTCAATGAGTTGTATATATCTAGTCTAAGACAGTAGTATTTCGATTGTAGCTATGTTTTTGCTGCTCCCACATATATATATCTCATTTGTGAGGAGGAAATGAAAGAAGATAATTATGGAATCAAACGAACAGCTTGCTTACACTTTTGTACATGATGATATACTTATGTATTTTAATCTTGTTAACTGATGCCGAATTAGAATAATTATGCAAATAAATGATTCACGAATTATTTGAATACTTACTATTAGCAATTTTCCGGCAATAGGAGTAATATGATTCAATTTTAATCTGTCATATCGTAAAGTAGTCGACAGGATATGTCTCAATGGATACATTGTGAACGATGTGTCATACATGATTGTATCGCTATTTAGTTGAATCATTGCTATTGCCTTTGACACAATTGGATGGTTGAATATTTGAAGTTGACATCATTTGTCAACTGGGTAAATAGGTTATTTTATTGTTGGCAACAATCTTTCTAATTACATGGCCGAACACGTCTTCTCGCAGGGCCGACTTGTGCGAGACGAATTGTGCGGGGCCAATTTTGGTTATATATAATAATACAAAAAACTGAAAAAAAAATTTCTGATAGAAGATGAATTCTTTTCTCACTTCAAATACTACGATATACTATCAAGTACAATTTGGGATTAAAGTAACGTTATCTTTCGGGCACCGCCTGCCGCGTAATATCTTCGTGAATGGCCGACCTCACATATTTTCTTGCATAGTTTGGCGGCGCGAAAAGATCTTTTCACCAGATTCCACATAGGAAAAACGTGTGCATCACAGTAGTTGGGAAAAGCAGTGCATCACCTAGAATTAGCATGGGGTTACGTAAGTGTGGAGCCCATTGCGGTCGGGTGGGTTTGGTACGTACGGATATATTGATCCAGAATAAATTTCCAGCTGCGAGGAATTCAGCAAACTTTAGGCAGATGAAACTTCTTCTGTAGGACGACTCTAAAGCATTTCAGCAACGACGCGAGCATTCTTGTGGCACATTGACTTAATAATCTGCTCTGCATCGGTTCAATGTACACACAAAGCATTAACAGGAAATCATAAAGATACAGAATATGGCCGGTATGATGCCACATATTAAACATATAATTGCGCCGACCGATCCTCAACTACAATCGAACTATTCAATGACAAAAGTTATATTGATACTCTATAAAAACTTAATTATAAAATATATTATGGCATAAAAACTATGGAAAATTGGAGGTATACAAAATTAATAAAACATTGGATTGACTTCTGCATGAACGTGCATATAAACTACAGGTAAATTTTGTGACAGAAGCAATATTTAATAGGTAAAGCTAATATAGATTCAATTAGTTTTAAAAAAAAAAAGTGAATTTCGTCTTTGTTCACAGAGATGTACACATATTATACAATAACAGGAGTGAAGATAGGTAGGCATTACCTATATGATGGGAGATAAAATTTCAAAAATAAATATTTTAGGTGGGCTAATAGTATCCCACAAAAATTAGTTTTCAAATTTGTCACAATTTAAAAGTATGTTTTTAATAATTCAGGCAGTAAAAATTATTGCTTTCATTATAAAATTTGCCACTTGGTTATAACTGAAGCCTAATTATAACCAGGTATCATATGACTTATATGCGGGATTACAACGCAGTCTGCAGGAATAAAAATATTGCAGATATAGTCATTCCTACTAATAAAGCACAGAGGAATTAGTATCTACCTATAAAAAAAGATTAAATCATTTAGTGATAATAATCATTGATGTAAAATCATTTGGGATAGGAATACTATCAGTATAAATTTACCATGTGTGGTATATACCCTTACTGATAATGATTGGCAGTTCATTTTATATTCTAAATTAAAATAAAACAATCACATCTATGACAATTATAGCATTGTTGCACAAAGCATAAACTACTGGTATAATTCTTAAAAACTACTTTTGAATTTTCAATACATTAGTTTTGATAATGACTAAACAGAGACATGGTCTAGGCCAAAATATGTGAAGCTTAAATAGCTTAAATGCACTTTGATCACTAAGTTTAAGAAAACTTAGTGGTCAGGGCGTCCAGCTACCTCTTCCCATACTATGTTTTTTCCTCTTTTAAGTAATTACCAAGACAGTACATCAGCACCAGTGATTAAAAATTGGTGCTTGTTAGTCATCCACACATTAACCCTCCACCTTGACAGGCACCATGAGTGCCAGCAGATCATCAGGTGGTGGATTTTTCTTTGTTACTATAATAAAAAGGAAATCGTGCACCCTGTCAAAACTATTAATCTCATACAGATCGCCATCTTCAGGTTTTACGAGTTGCATGTATCTGTTGATGAGAAAAATATTTTAAATAAAGGGAAAAAAATAGTGAGACATAAGAGTCTTGAAGTTGTTTGCTTTAGTCACAAATCAACCATAAGCATAGGAAAGTACTATAGTTGAAGATTTTTTAAGCAGATATGTCTGAAACTGATCAATATGGAATTAAGTATATTCGATAGCTCAAGTTCTCAATTTGAGGATTAACTCAAGAAGTTTTGTTAGAAAAATTGTAAATTTAAGCAATTAAGGTTTGACACTATAAATAAAGAGCCTTCATTTCATATTTGTAAACTGTATAAATTACAGAACCAATCGGCTTATCGTCTATCTCAAGTTTTCTGCATTTCCAAATTCAAATTCACGTAATATGAATCTACTCATGTGTGTCTTCTGTTCAAATGGCTTAATTTAGAGTATAGTCAATATTTCATATTTGAAAATGATATTATAGAACATATTCAGAAATGTATATTTTGATATTGACCATCGAAACTTAATAGTAATTGTTCATTCTATTATTTTACTCAGAATCTTTACCACAAACCTTGGCTTGAATATATTGAACAAAATTTGCACTATATTTCACCATACAAACTACTAAAGTCTCAGCATAATTCATAAAAGGTTTCAGAATAAAGAAATTTTTTTTTTAAAATACAACTTACTTTTCCTCTTCCAACACCTTTTTGTTCATGACATCTTGCATCAAGTTTGGCAGAATATCATTGACATTTTTTTCAAGAAAATGATACATATCTGTGTCAAGCATATCAATCACAAATGGTTTTCCAAACCTTAATAATAAAATGTAAACATTTAATGGGTTTATCTTATCTCACTTCGATCCAGGATAAGATTTTCATTTTTATCCTGAGGAGAGAAAAGGTGATAGGGTATAAACCAATGTGGACAGAAAGTCAATCTTTTCATAAAAAAACAAAATGATATCAAATGATCACATTCAAAATGTCAACTACAATTTTCTGATTTATTAATAACATATACTTGAAATTTATTATATTGAGACAAAGGAAATAATCATATGGAATAGAAAAATTAATTGATGGCATATCTAGGTATCAGGTGAAAATCAATTTTGCCATCAAAAGTTCAGACACTGCTTTTATGTCTCAAGGTTTAGGGAATATATAGTAGTGTATTTATATACGTGGCATGTCTCAGATAGTCAGACAATTTTTCGATATACAATTAACGTCAAGTGTGGTAGTTTTGAAACTATTACCTTATAGATCCAATGAGGGCCCTTCGAATTGTTTCAGGTTGCATATCATTAGAATTTGCAGTACAGAGATAATTGGTGTCCTGATAGCGTAAAAAAGTAGTAGCATTTCCTGCTGAATCGATCAGAAGTGGCCACTTTCCTGATTCTTTTATTTTAGTTGTAGAATCTTCCAATAGTACTTTACTGATTTGCTTCAAGTTACATGTGACACCTTCAGGTTTTGGAGGTTCAACTAAAAACATCTTAATAATATTAGCTTGATGGTAAAATAACACCAATTTACGAGTAAGAAATCACATGAGTCAACTCACACAAAACACCACATTGAAGCTAATGACATTTGAATGATGATTCTCTAAAACCCAGTCTCTCGAGATAACTTAGGCCGCAGCCTCAAGCGGTTTCAATTCCTTAGCACAATTTGTTTACCAACAAATGGTGAATATAGAAGTGGAAGAGTTTCAGATTGATATCACTTCAAGTCGCAAACATATTTTAGTTAGATTGAAACAGCTAGCGGGTCCGATCGAACGCTGGAATACGCGTGTTTTTAGTAGTTGTCTGTATGTAATTCATGATAGCTAAGCTGCTTTTGTTTTCGCTGAATAAATTGTTTATAATATATATTGTATTCTTTATAGATGAAATGAATAAAATTACTTCAATAATATGAATGTTTAAAATTTCAAACAGCGTGAGTAAATGCAATAAATCTGGATACTATGATGAAGTTATATTATATAGGCATATTAAGCAAAGACAATTTTAAAAATCAATATGCAATAGATATCTTCATAAATGCAAGGCAATATCACCTGCAGGTGGTGGTGCAATTTTTGCACTGGATGATCCTGCAGGTCCAGACTTGGACTTCTTTACAACTTTTTCTCCAGTTTTTGCTTTACCTTTAGCAGGACCAGATGCTGGTTTCACTTTGTATTTTTGTGAATTCATGATATTTATCGTATAGCAGAGTAAGCTAGACTATAAAAAAAAGCTTTGTAGTAACAGAAACTCTACTGCTTTGACTGAACGAGTAAATATTGTTTAATGAGATGACAAATACAATGAATAGTAGTCCATCCAAAAATTGATTGATTATTATATATTTTATTATACTTTAAACATATTAAAAAGTTTTCCTATTTATAGTTAGTATGAAAAATCAAATTGAGTCACACGAATCCATATTTCTGTATTTCGACTAGATCAAATCCATGCATCTGGAACAAATAACTGACTAACTGATCTCATAACTGATTCCTAACATACATACATACCGGTACTCGACATGGACTGCAGGACTGGTAAATGAATGGGAGGTGACGGTTTGTCACATTATTGAATCTTATGGGAAATATCTTGTCCTAAGTTCAGATAAATAATTCTAGAACTGAAGCTAATTCCGTTGCTATGACAACGTTTTATTCGTGCCCCTTGACCCTTCACCACAGTTTTACATAAATATAGTGGCTTTTTACGTATTTGTTTGTTCATGTTCCATTGTTGCCTCGCTACGCTTGAATGCGAATGCTCTCTCGGCCACCGCGATTTTGTAGTTCCTAGTCCTTGGTTGAAAACAACGGAGAATATCTGATATCCAGCATTGGTCTTCTATTTGATGGTAAATTTAAAATTTTCCCCCAAGACCGGAAAAGTTCGAAATAAATCGATTATAGTATAAGTAGAAATGAGTGTTCACATAATTGAGAACATTAAAATATGAACGAGTGTGAATCGAAAATGATTCTCACTCACCACAACTTTTTGTTGCTATAAGTCAAGGGTGGCCAACCTGCTTTTGACCACGATCGACTAAATTCTTCAATATAGCTCGCGATCGACTGATCGATAATAAGTACATACACACAAGGGAACGAGTATTGAATATGCAGATACCTGCGCATATATACAAAAAGGTTCCATTACATTTGAACCCACGTACATTTGAACCCATGACAATTGCACCTGTAGGTTCCATTACATTTGAACCCACGTACATTTGAACCCATGACAATTGCACCTGTATGCTATTGCACCTGTGGATTTTTTTTTGTTTTTCGGATAGTTGAACTCATAATAACCCTAACCCATGGGTTTTAACACCCGCATATAGATTGAACCCGTGGATATACACATGGGTTCAAATGTACGTGGGTTCAAATGTACGGTCACCGCACCTGTATGCTATTGCACCTATGGAATTTTTTTGTTTGTTTCACGGATAGTTAAACCCATACTAACCCTAACCCATGGGTTTTAGCACCTGCATATAGATTGAACCCGTGAATATACGCATGGGTTCAAATGTACATGGGTTCAAATGTACGGTGACCATACAAAAATTCCACCGCCGCCAATAAGCTCGGCTCTCTGGGCGAATTCTGAAATCGCCACGAAAATTTGTATTTTAAATTTTATTTGATTATGTGATTGTACCGGGAGTAGGCTAAATTTTCATCACTTGTTTAAGATTTATTAGAATCAGATTTGAGGCCTGTCTAATTTTTAGTCGTAAGTGTTGAAAACGATAATCGGCAAATTCATTCCCAAACTTTGACGGCGTTTTAAAAGTTACAACAGGCGCTGCATGAAACTGGTTTAAGGTTCATTATTTGGGGGTAGGTTATTGAATTCACTCAACATCAGACGCGATCGACTAAGCCTCTAGGTCTAGGAGCATGAATGTTTGAAAGTATTCGTGTTAGGTGGTAATTACTTTTTATTTTATATAAAAACACGTTTAAATGGGATTTGGCAGTATGGGTTTATTATTTTAATGGCGTGACTGTGGTCAGCTAAGGTAGGATGTGCTTCTTGGAACGAATACAGGCGGAGCGAGTACATATGGATAATTAGTGTGGATTTCATTGCTTATTGCTAATAGTGCATGTTATTTGACTGTAACAAGGTCGTTGCTCGATTTCATTTCCTATATGATATTTCCATGTAACGTTTTATGTGAAAAAGTTATTGACGTATTCACCCCCCTCGCTCAATTGTTGCTTGTCTTTGTTTTATGGTTTTGGGTTAGTCAGAAATTAGGTTTCTTCCCGTATATATACTTACGTTAAGGTTTTCAGTGTATACTTCAATATATATCTGTATTATTTTAATTCGATCGTACAACTCCGAAATATAGGAATATTTGGCATTACAATTGTGTGCTTAGTTGACCTCTGAAGAAGTCACTCCGGGATTACTACGCTGAAGTACGTTTAATAGTACCGGAAAACAACACGCTGATAATAGTGATTATCTTTCCCTATTCAGGCATCACTGACGGATTGATGCCCTTTGTGAGTTTGGTCAGGATTGCAGCAGTGCAGTTGTGATTGTTTCAGTTAGATTTTGAGTGTTTAAGGATATTTTATATCTGCAAAAGTGCCTCTAAGTCTCAAGTAGGTTATCAAAGATGTTTACTCTTGGTTTTATGACTATTAGATTGGGATTGTTAGATATTTTGATGCTACACAGTAGGATATTATTGTTTAGTACCGGTACAGTGTACCGGTTACAGTTGTTTTGGCGTTGTATTTTTAGTTTATTCATGAAATTGGCTATCAACAATGCTGTTCAAATCTTGTGCACCTGTGGAATTGTTTGTGGGTTTTTTTAAAGTGCCCGCCATGGGTTATTCTCAGCCTATTTTGCAAATTGTAAGTAGCTGGTTTAGTGTACCGGATTATAGGGGATTTATTTTGGCTGCTATTGAAAGTTGTCTTTGATTGCAGGGACCGTCTTTAATTTTTATTGTTTTCTCATATTGTACTGCCTGGTATTTGTTATTTTTATTGTATGCTTTTTGTTACATTAATTTGATTGGAGTATTTGATTGTATTAAGATTGTAATTATTAAATAGAACAAAATAGTATAAATTGAAGTGAATATTGGGAGGAAACTTGACGTCAGATCATATTGGAAGATATTCTGAACTCGGATAATTATTACATAGACTGCCGGTACGCTACAAAATTTGGCGAGCACACGCCAGGATATCTTCTAAACATAATATGCCACGCAGAAATAGAAAGAACGCTCAAATGAAGGGAGAGGATGACTTCGTTGCTCGAATGAAGGTACTGGAGGCTATATGGACAACGATGGAAGCGCGAGTAGAAGGGATCGAAGGAGCAGTAGATGAACTTGGGAATGATGTAAAACAGTGTTATGACAGTGCGATGGTACTTAATCAAGATGTGAGAGATTGGCGAGAGGAGCTGCAAGTGACCTGCAAGTGACACTGCATGGTTTTCAGGAGAACGTGATTGAGACATTAGTGAAAAGCAAAAGTGCCGAAGTCGGTTTGAACAAATCCGGAGGAATAGCTGAAGGGGCAGGCGAAATGGCACCACAGAGTTATGTGATGAGGGAGGACCAGAGTGACAAGGCAGTGCACACTGAGTCAAAAGTTACACCACCTGACAACAACTGCGGAAGTAGACCGATGCCGGAAATGGAGTCTCCACCTATCATGCCCAGGTATCCGGTTGGTTTTTCTACCCCTATGACAAAGGGTTGTACTAGTGCATGTGGGATTATGTTCAGGCCAGAAAGACAGCCGGAGAAGTTTGATGGATCGGAGCCTTGAGGCTCATTTCTGTACCATTTTAAAGCTATAGCCAAGTCTAATGGTTGGGATATGGACACGATGGGTAGCGAATTGGGCCTTTGCATGGTAGGCAATGCCCTGAGTCATTTATTAGAATTGTCTATGGATGAGCGTGAATGTTTTGAGTCGATCGTACGCCATTTTGAGAAGTATTTTGAAGTGGAAGGTGGTATTGAAGCGCTTTTAGTCAGCGCGTGAAGTTGGCAAGAGAAACCTATAATGAATTTGGCGTTGCATTGAGACAGCTTGCTAGGCGAGCTTATCCATACTTGAGACCCGCTGACCGAGATGACTTGGCAAAATCGCAATTTTTGCGAGGATTAGACGACAAAGTTCGTTTGCACATTGGTCTTTTGCAACCCGCCACATTGGAAGATGCAATGTCGTTGGTTACCAGATATCAATATTATGAGAAGTCATGGGAACCCGCAAAAAAGGTGATCATACCAAGGGCTACTGTTGCAAAGATTTCTAGCGATAAGGCCGAGGTGACATTTGGAGCTGATATAGTCCAGGAGATTTTAAACCGCCTGGCACAACTGAAGACCTTAGTTGCGGAAATGTCGAGATCCCGCGTATCTCCGACTTCTCGTACTTCTTGTTTCAGATGCGGACAGGTGGGGCATAGGATCAGTGATTGTCGTAGTCCACAAGCTCTTACACTACCGTCCACACCAGGGCTGGGCAATTATTTTTGCTCGAGGGCCACATTGCAAATCAAAATGCAGTGGCGGGCCGGACTAATTTGAGTCAACCCACATTGCGTTTTTTATTGTATTTTATTACACAATTGAATGAAATAAAATCTAATACAATTGTTATTTTTAATGAGACGTGTGTATGCTCTGCTGCGCCTTAACAAGTCCTTGAATGTCGGGTTCAATGGCAGACGTAGATATTCTCAGCAAATCAGAAAGATGTTCATCGGTGAGAGACGACCGAAATTTCGATTTGGTAAAATTCATTACTGAGAAGGTTTGCTCGCAAATATAAGTGGATCCGAAAAGAACTAGCATCTTTTGAGCATGTCTCCTTATGTTGGGAAAACTTTTTTTATTTAGAGAGGAATAAAAATCCAGAATTTCAGATGATTTAAATTTTTCCTGAAGTAAAGTGTCACACTGCAAATCAATAAGCTCGAGTTGTGCATCAGATGGTATGTTTTCCACGTTACTGGTGGAAGGAGAAGAGACCATACTCATTTTATTTTCAAGTAATCGGAAATCTTCAAATCGTCTTAAAAATTCAGCATGCAGTGCATCTAGCATTGTAGAGTACTTTGAAAATCATTTGCAGATGTGGTAGCTGTGTTGAGTGTGGGAAAATGAGCGAGATTATTGTTCTGTAATTGGCGTGAAAGAAACTGCAATTTCGTTATGAACGATTTTACCAAGCTGTGCATATTATGCACAAACAGTTTTTTACTTTGGAGTTTGCAATTCAACTCATTCAATAGAGCAGTGACATCAACAACAAAAGCAAAATCAGATAACCATTTCTTATCTGAAAGCTGCGGAATATCCTTGTTCTTTGTTTGACAGAATTCTCGAATCTCCTGCTGCGAGTCCCAAACTCGCTTCAGTATTTTGCCTAAACTGAGCCATCTCACAGTTGTATGATATCCTATGTCAGTGTGCTCATTTTCTTGCTCTTCCAACAGGGAAATAAACTGTCTGTGATTTAGTGCTCGAGACCTGATGAAGTTAACTAGTTTTTTAACAACATCAGTGACATGGCTTATTTTTAGCACTGACTTGCACAATACCTGTTGATGTATGATACAATGTAAAAACACTAACTGCTGCTTTGGGTCAATTTCATTAACTCTGTCTTTCATGCGCTTCAACAATCCCACATTTTTTCCTGTAAGATTTGGGCACCCATCTGTCGTCACTCCCGCCAATTTTTCCCATTTAAGTCCCAACTTATCCATGGATGCATCTACCTCGCTAAAAATATCTGCACCTGTTGTTGTTCCTTTCATTGGTCTTATAGCAGCTATTTCTTCAGTAATTTTGAAATCACAATTAATTCCACGAACGAAAATAAGCAACTGAGCAGTGTCGCGTACATCACAACTCTCGTCTAACGCTAAAGTGAAGAAGTCAAATTGTTTGACATAATGTAGCAACTGATCTCTTAAATCTCCTGCGATACACTCAACCCTTCTGGTGACAGTTCTTCTCGATAGCGGAACTTGTTTAAAAGCATCTGTTTTATCAGGACAAACAATTGCTGCCGTCTCTACTAAACATTCTTTGACGAACTCCCCTTCAGAAAATGGTTTGCTGTTTTGAGCGATTTTGTGAGCTATTACGAAACTGGCCATGACAGCTGCATCATTAGATGCATGGAGTCGTGTGAAAAACTTTGCTGTTTTTCGAGCTTTGCTACCATACTCTCCGCTGTTTGCGCCATTTCATTATTACTTAGATTTTTGTATTTTTTTGCATGTTTTGTCTCAAAATGCCTTTTTAAATTAAAAACCTTAATAACCGCGACCTTCTCCTTGCAAACCAGACAAACAGCTATCCCATCGACTTCTGTGAATAAATACTTCGCTGTCCAACTTTTGTTAAAAATTCTGCATTCTGTGTCAACTTTTCTTTTCTTGTTTTCGGCTGACATTTTGCAACTTTGTAGATCTAGCACAGGTTTAGAATTGACGCTACAGTTCAAGTTACATAAATAAAAGGATAAACAAAGAATAAAATAAAGCTGGGCGCAATTCAACAATTTATCTACATACCACTACTTCTACAATATTTGAAACGCTGAGTAGCGCAGAGCTGACTAGCCTAACTCTATCCTTCTTAATTGGGACACGAATCAAAACGCGACTCATCGAAATTACGCGCGCAAAATTCACGCTTCGATTACTCTGCTGTTCAGTAATCACGTGCAAAAACAAGCGCTGATCGTTGCGACAAAGATGACTACAGATAGCAGTTGGTACTATGCCATGGTCTAATCTAAAATACACAAAGCTACCAAAACGCTTATTTCTATTACATTAATGAAATTTGCCCTCAAAGTATATTTTATATGTAAATAAAAAATGTAAGTGTCTTAATTTAGAAATCTGCTCGCGGGCCGGATGAAACGTTGCCGCGGGCCGGATGCGGCCCGCGGGCCGGAGCTTGCCCAGGCCTGGTCCACACCATGTCCCCGCTGTAAGCAAACGGGTCATTGGGCTCGAGATTGTCCAAACAACACGGGTGGACCGACTTGTTTCCGATGCGCACAACCAGGGCATATTAGCCGAAACTGTTCCCAGTTCACTGAACAAAGACCAGTAAGTAGTGCTTCCACTCCCAACCAGTCTTTAAACTCGGAACAGCAGGGATGAGGTCCGCACTCCCTGCTAACAGTCGATCGTACGCCATTTTGAGAAGTATTTTGAAGTGGAAGGTGGTATTGAAGCGCTTTGAGTCGCTTTTAGTCAGCGCGTGAAGTTGGCAAGAGAAACCTATAATGAATTTGGCGTTGCATTGAGACAGCTTGCTAGGCGAGCTTATCCATACTTGAGACCCGCTGACCGAGATGACTTGGCAAAATCGCAATTTTTGCGAGGATTAGACGACAAAGTTCGTTTGCACATTGGTCTTTTGCAACCCGCCACATTGGAAGATGCAATGTCGTTGGCTACCAGATATCAATATTATGAGAAGTCATGGGAACCCGCAAAAAAGGTGATCATACCAAGGGCTACTGTTGCAAAGATTTCTAGCGATAAGGCCGAGGTGACATTTGGAGCTGATATAGTCCAGGAGATTTTAAACCGCCTGGCACAACTGAAGACCTTAGTTGCGGAAATGTCGAGATCCCGCGTATCTCCGACTTCTCGTACTTCTTGTTTCAGATGCGGACAGGTGGGGCATAGAATCAGTGATTGTCGTAGTCCACAAGCTCATACACTACCGTCCACACCAGGGCTGGGCAATTATTTTTGCTCGAGGGCCACATTGCAAATCAAAATGCAGTGGCGGGCCGGACTAATTTGAGTCAACCCACATTGCGTTTTTTATTGTATTTTATTACACAATTGAATGAAATAAAATCTAATACAATTGTTATTGTTAATGAGACGTGTGTATGCTCTGCTGCGCCTTAACAAGTCCTTGAATGTCGGGTTCAATGGCAGACGTAGATATTCTCAGCAAATCAGAAAGATGTTCATCGGTGAGAGACGACCGAAATTTCGATTTGGTAAAATTCATTACTGAGAAGGTTTGCTCGCAAATATAAGTGGATCCGAAAAGAACTAGCATCTTTTGAGCATGTCTCCTTATGTTGGGAAAACTTTTTTTATTTAGAGAGGAATAAAAATCCAGAATTTCAGATGATTTAAATTTTTCCTGAAGTAAAGTGTCACACTGCAAATCAATAAGCTCGAGTTGTGCATCAGATGGTATGTTTTCCACGTTACTGGTGGAAGGAGAAGAGACCATACTCATTTTATTTTCAATTAATCGGAAATCTTCAAATCGTCTTAAAAATTCAGCATGCAGTGCATCTAGCATTGTAGAGTACTTTTGAAAATCATTTGCAGATGTGGTAGCTGTGTTGAGTGTGGGAAAATGAGCGAGATTATTGTTCTGTAATTGGCGTGAAAGAAACTGCAATTTCGTTATGAACGATTTTACCAAGCTGTGCATATTATGCACAAACAGTTTTTTACTTTGGAGTTTGCAATTCAACTCATTCAATAGAGCAGTGACATCAACAACAAAAGCAAAATCAGATAACCATTTCTTATCTGAAAGCTGCGGAATATCCTTGTTCTTTGTTTGACAGAATTCTCGAATCTCCTGCTGCGAGTCCCAAACTCGCTTCAGTATTTTGCCTAAACTGAGCCATCTCACAGTTGTATGATATCCTATGTCAGTGTGCTCATTTTCTTGCTCTTCCAACAGGGAAATAAACTGTCTGTGATTTAGTGCTCGAGACCTGATGAAGTTAACTAGTTTTTTAACAACATCAGTGACATGGCTTATTTTTAGCACTGACTTGCACAATACCTGTTGATGTATGATACAATGTAAAAACACTAACTGCTGCTTTGGGTCAATTTCATTAACTCTGTCTTTCATGCGCTTCAACAATCCCACATTTTTTCCTGTAAGATTTGGGCACCCATCTGTCGTCACTCCCGCCAATTTTTCCCATTTAAGTCCCAACTTATCCATGGATGCATCTACCTCGCTAAAAATATCTGCACCTGTTGTTGTTCCTTTCATTGGTCTTATAGCAGCTATTTCTTCAGTAATTTTGAAATCACAAGTAATTCCACGAACGAAAATAAGCAACTGAGCAGTGTCGCGTACATCACAACTCTCGTCTAACGCTAAAGTGAAGAAGTCAAATTGTTTGACATAATGTAGCAACTGATCTCTTAAATCTCCTGCGATACACTCAACCCTTCTGGTGACAGTTCTTCTCGATAGCGGAACTTGTTTAAAAGCATCTGTTTTATCAGGACAAACAATTGCTGCCGTCTCTACTAAACATTCTTTGACGAACTCCCCTTCAGAAAATGGTTTGCTGTTTTGAGCGATTTTGTGAGCTATTACGAAACTGGCCATGACAGCTGCATCATTAGATGCATGGAGTCGTGTGAAAAAACTTTGCTGTTTTTCGAGCTTTGCTACCATACTCTCCGCTGTTTGCGCCATTTCATTATTACTTAGATTTTTGTATTTTTTTGCATGTTTTGTCTCAAAATGCCTTTTTAAATTAAAAACCTTAATAACCGCGACCTTCTCCTTGCAAACCAGACAAACAGCTATCCCATCGACTTCTGTGAATAAATACTTCGCTGTCCAACTTTTGTTAAAAATTCTGCATTCTGTGTCAACTTTTCTTTTCTTGTTTTCGGCTGACATTTTGCAACTTTGTAGATCTAGCACAGGTTTAGAATTGACGCTACAGTTCAAGTTACATAAATAAAAGGATAAACAAAGAATAAAATAAAGCTGGGCGCAATTCAACAATTTATCTACATACCACTACTTCTACAATATTTGAAACGCTGAGTAGCGCAGAGCTGACTAGCCTAACTCTATCCTTCTTAATTGGGACACGAATCAAAACGCGACTCATCGAAATTACGCGCGCAAAATTCACGCTTCGATTACTCTGCTGTTCAGTAATCACGTGCAAAAACAAGCGCTGATCGTTGCGACAAAGATGACTACAGATAGCAGTTGGTACTATGCCATGGTCTAATCTAAAATACACAAAGCTACCAAAACGCTTATTTCTATTACATTAATGAAATTTGCCCTCAAAGTATATTTTATATGTAAATAAAAAATGTAAGTGTCTTAATTTAGAAATCTGCTCGCGGGCCGGATGAAACGTTGCCGCGGGCCGGATGCGGCCCGCGGGCCGGAGCTTGCCCAGGCCTGGTCCACACCATGTCCCCGCTGTAAGCAAACGGGTCATTGGGCTCGAGATTGTCCAAACAACACGGGTGGACCGACTTGTTTCCGATGCGCACAACCAGGGCATATTAGCCGAAACTGTTCCCAGACCACTGAACAAAGACCAGTAAGTAGTGCTTCCACTCCCAACCAGTCTTTAAACTCGGAACAGCAGGGATGAGGTCCGCACTCCCTGCTAACATGATTTTAGATGATGATATGGACCCACTTCTATCGACTATGATTTCTTCTCTTACATGGACTAATGGATGGCATGTCAAGGCTTGGTCAATAACGTGCTTGTTTTGTTTTTGATTGAAACCGGTGCGGGTGTCTCGCTCATTGACACCGCTGTTTACTCGATGTTACAGGAAAATTCGGACATTCCAGAACTGCATTCTTTTCAAGTACCACTGCGTACTGCCAGTGGCGAGTCATTAGTGTCTCATGGTGCACTTGATGTCAACCTGACAATTGAAAGCTGGTCTGTGGAGCACACGGTTGTTGTCGCTGATTTAGGGTCACGAATGAGCATTCTAGGTATGGACTATCTTGGCAAATGGGACTGTGTTCTGTATCCCTCGTCGGGTCGCTTTGTTCTTGAGGAACAAGATGTTACTGTGCAGCACCAAACATCGGTTCCTTGCTGTCGTGTGACGGTAGAGGAGAATGTGGTTATACCGGACGGCTCTGGAATTGTTGTACTTGCTCAGCTACAGCAGCCGTGGTCCGTCCAGAGACCTAACATAGTAGCCGTTGTTGAGCCAGTGGAGATAGGCAACATCAATTTGGTCGCTCCGCTGACGTTGGTTGACCCGTCTAAGAAGGAGGTACCCGTTTGGATGAACAATGAGACGGACTATGATGCTGTCCTACCCACAGGATCTTTAATTGGCATAGCTCAACTATACTTTGTCCGTGAAACAATGGTGGCGCCAGTCTCTGAAACGGCGGAAGAATTCAATGGATTACCTGACCATCTTCAGGACTTGATAACATCGACGGAAGGACTTTCGCCTGATCAGCCTACCGACAATTGTTTTTTTTGTTAAGGGAGTTTGAGGACATATTTGTCGGCCTCGATGTAGAACTCGGGCGTACATCGGTTGCTCGCCATCACATAGTAACTACAACACCGCAGCCTATTCAGCAGGCTCCGCGACGTCTGGGCTGGGCAAGGAGACAAATAGCAGAGGATGCTGTTGACAAGATGCTAGATCAAGGGGTTATTGAGCTGAGTGACAGTCCATACTCGTCACCCATTGTTCTGATACCAAAAAAAGACGGCACTACTCGTTTTTGTATCGATTTCAGATTACTTAATTAAATTATGTACAAGGACGCTTACCCTTTACCTCGTATCGATGACATCGTGGAGTCCCTTAGCGGGTCAAGTTGGTTCTCGACGCTTGACTTGGCTAGTGGCTACTGGCAGGTGGAAGTTGATCCGTCGGACAGAGCGAAAACTGCTTTCAGTCTTCCGGGAAAAGGACACTATCAATTTGTAGTCGTGCCCTTTGGTCTATCCAATGCACCTGCAACCTTCGAGCGGATGATGGATCGAGTGTTGGATGGAATTATCGGGAAAGGATGTTCTAATTATTTGGATGACGTTTTAGCCCACGGATCCGATTTTGACACTTCATTGAGCAGTTTACGGGAGGTTTTTCTTCGACTTCAGGGCGCTGGTTTGAAACTCAAGCCGACTAAATGCCAGTTGTATCGTAGATTAGTTACCTACCTGGGGTACGAAATTTCTGCTGAAGGGGTTCGCTGTGATTCTCACAATGTAGCAGCTATAGTCGAGTGGGAAACACCTCAGGGGGTATCAGATGTTAGAAGTTTCTTGGGAACTGCCAATTATTATAGACGTTTTGTACCAGGTTATGCTACTATAGCTTCGCCTTTAGTCCGCTTGACTCGAAAGAATGTGAAATTTGAGTGGAGTGGTGACTGTCAGGAAGCATTTGGAATCATTAAGCGTCTTTTGACATCTGCTCCTATCCTGGCTTTTCCATTGGTTCAGGGAGAGTTTATTTTGGACACCGACGCAAGTGGCTCTGGTACTGGTGCTGTGTTATCACAATTGCAAGATGGGGAAGAACATGTTATTGCTTATTTCAGCAGAACTCTATCCAAGACGGAACGCCGATACTGTACCATTGAAAGGGAGTTGTTGGCAGTGATTCAATCCGTACCACATTTTCGCCATTATTTGTGGGGAAGGCACTTTTTGATTCGCACTGATCATGGTGCCTTGAAGTGGCTTTTAAATTTCCGAGAACCCGAAGGAAAGGTGGCTCGCTGGATCTCTACAATGTTCACGTATGATTTCAGCCTTGAACATCGAGCAGGGTCTAAACATGGTAATGCCGATGGTCTATCTCGTCAAACCAGACGCTGTAAGCGCCCGGACTGCCCAGATTGTGTATCTACTTCACAGGAACCTGATATCAATGTTCGTGTAGTAGCACCTCTGTATAATGCTGACTTGCCTGGGATACCAACAAGCTGTAACTGGATGGACACATACACGGAGGAAAGGATTCGAACTTGCCAAGCCGAGGACCCTCATCTTTCTGCAGCTATTGCCTGGAAGCGTCGTTCATATCATAAACCCCAGCCACACGATTATATACATGAATCTCTAGAGACCAAGCGTTATCTAGCTCAATGGCATTTGTTATATTTGACTGGTGAAATTTTGTATCGCAAGTGGATACCCGGAACATTGACTAGTGCTCCCGCTTATCAATTTTGCATTCCTGGGGCATTGAGAAGAGAAATCTTCCAGCATTTACACAGTGCCCGTACCTCCGGACATTTAGGCTCTATTAAAACATTCAAGAGTGTTCGTGCTCGTTTTTACTGGCCTGGTTTTGAAAGAGATATTTTGCTCTGGTGCCGGTTTTGCAAACCTTGCGCTGCGGCTATGATGACTCACGGGCGCAAACAGGGGGATTTACGACAACTGCACTGCGGATCTCCCATGGAACGGGTTGTCATGGATTTCTTGGGACCACTACCACATACCAAGAATGGAAATGAACATCTTCTGGTGCTATCAGATTATTTCACCAAGTGGGTGGAGTGTTATCCACTTCCCAATCAGACTGCAGAGGTAACAGCCGATGTGCTGGTCACCCAGTTCTTCGCAAGATTTGGAGTTTCTCGGAGTATTCACACTGATCAGGATCGAGATTTTGAATCTCGGTTGTTCACCGAGATGTGCGACTTATACGGTATAGTCAAGACGCATACGATACCTTATCACCCTCGATCCTAAGGACAAGTGGAGAGGTTTAATCGAACGATTCAGCAAATGCTCAAGCCTTATGTGAACGATCATCGAGACGATTGGGATGGCCATGTTCCTTCCCTATCTGTGCATGGCTTACAGAGCTACAGTGCATGAAAGTACCCAGTTTACACCCAATTGTCTTATGCTTGGCCAAGAGATTGACATCCCTATCGATGTCATGTATGGGCGTCCGACTCAAACTCCTCTACATCCTTGTTATACCGAATATGTGGAATGGTTTAAAGATACTGAGGAATAAGTCACTGAGGAATCTTTTGTATGTGCCAGAAATCATTTGAATCAAGCTGCCTTGCGACAGAAGAGAAATTTTGATGTTCATGTGCAACCACAGAAGTTTGAAGAGGGAGACCTTGTATGGTACTATTACCCACCCAAGAAGAAGAAGCTGAGTTCTCCATGGCAGGGTTCTTTTACAGTTAGGAGATGTCTCTCAAATCACACATATGAGATACGACGGAATCCAGGCGACAAGACGCGTGTGGTTCATGTGGATAATTTGCGACCTTTTATTCATGAAGAGACCCAGGAACCAAGTGCTTTCTTAGATTATAGCCTGGTGGATTCGGGGGAACAGACATCGGAAGAGGCGATTCTGCGGAACACACCAGGAGAGGCGAATCTTCAGCCTTGTGAGGAAATAATACCTTGGTACGAGTTGCCCAACCCAGAGGGACAAACTTTAAGGATGTCTAAGCGTGAGCGTAGACAACCTGCATATTTTAAAGACTTTGTGTAAATATTTTGTGTTGACTACTGCTTCTTTCGTTGTTTAATATTTCTAATGAAGATGAAAACATTCTTTCATTATGTTCCATCTAGAAGAGGGGGGTAATGTGACGACCCTTGTTTTATCTTTTAAATGTTGTCATGTGATAATATTGCTATATTTTGTATTTTTTAACACTGAAGACCCTGAGGGCGCTGTGACACTGTCGATTTGTTTTTTGGTATCCTGTTAGCCTATGCTGTGGTTTGCAGCAGTGCTGTTGTGATTGTTTCAGTTAGATTTTGAGTGTTTAAGGGTATTTTATATCTGAAAAAGTGCCTCCAAGTCTCAAGTAGGTTATCAAAGATGTTTACTCTTGGTTTTAGGACTATTAAATTGGGATTGTTAGATATTTTGATGCTAGAAAGTAGGATGATATTATTGTTTAGTACCGGTACAGTGTACCGTTTACAGTTGTTTTGGCGTTGTATTTTTAGTTTATTCATGAAATTGGCTATCAACAATGCTGTTCAAATCTTGTGGAGCTGTGGAATTGTTTGTCTCAGCCTATTTTGCAAATTGTAAGTAGCTGGT